ATTTTCATTTAGAACTCAATTTTGTTCTCTCGAGATTTCTAATTCCCTACCGTTGGATTTTCACTCGCTAGCTCGGACCGTTAAATAACCCTAACTCTAGGTGATATGATTAAGCATTATATGCAGTTTTTTCTCATAGATTACCTGAGTTTAAGCTATAAGAGAAGTGACACGCCCACAATATTTTTTTTCTGGCGTCATTAAGATGGATGTACCTTCCACTGTTCCTTTTAACTGAAAATTGAGATGCATGTTCTCCACTCTCTTTCTTGGGTGTCTCAGGGGGCTAAATTTTGGAAGGGAGTAAAAACTTTTAATGACTCTATTTGATATTTTTTACTTAATTTTTTTAACTTTAGAAAATTATTATTTTAATAATGAGATTATACATATACATGATAAACGAAAAATCTATCTGCCCAAAGGGTAGGGGTCAAAGCTAGTCTATTGTACAACTAGTAGTCTAGTACGGATACTTGATGTGACTGATACTACAATGAGCATGTAATCAAGACAATATACATGCATCTTGCGTACTATACAATTGAAACCAACCTAATCCAACTTATATTTGATCAAAGATAAACGAATGGCTACTGAACTCCCATCAAGAACGACTGCACGCCAACTTATGTTTAACAACAAGAGCATTATTCAATATTCACCAAAGCAACAAGCACTAAGGATCCACCTCCTTGCAACAACTCCAGGCCCCTTCCAATTTCGTCCAATCTCCACAGATGAGCCATTATAACCCATAACAAAATATTGAAACAGGATTTAAGTAGAGAGCCAAAACATAGTAGCACAAGCAGTGCAAGATAAGGTTTGCTCTAGTCTAAAACTCTCCTAAATCACCAGTTGCCTGCAAGGTTCATCCTTTGAAACAGTGGATAATCTATCTGCAAGTTGAGTGTGTGAAATGCGCTCCTTCAGACAGTGAGCGCCCTGCACAAACAATCCACGGAATCAATCACTTGTAAGGGGTTGTTTTGGTACTAACCTTACATCTTCCCTTTGATTATGAAATGAGTTGGTTTGTAACAAATTGTTTTCTTTATTTTGTGTGAATCTGAACATCAATTTTCAGCTTTGTGGGTAATATCATCCAACTATGTTGGTCTACATTTACAATTCTTACAAACCAAACACTTAACACTCTTAACCAAATTCTTTCAAAAGGACGGTGAGACAATTTTGTTCCATAAGGGATTACACAAGATAGAAGATACTGCCCAGACAAAAAGAAGAGGAGCATTAAGCTAACAGGCACTAGGTAGAAGACAAGGCTTGATTTTTGCTATTCATGAGGTCTGCAACACTCACAATCACATTCACATCTACCGAAAGACAATTCTATTAAAGTTTAGGTACTCCGCGAAACATGAAACAAAACCTTTTAATGGACGAAACAGAAAAAGGTTACATATGATGATATGTAATATGTATAAAGAAAGCAAGACTGATGTGTGATTAAGGTGATGGTTTGGTTATGGAATGATACCTTAACTAGAAGCCGGTTCTCGCCAATGGGTTCCCCGACAATAACAATGTGGACTATTGAACATGATCAAATTCCAAAGTAGCAACCTCACTTCGGATGTCATGGCCAACATTCACAATTTTCTAAACTCAGGAACAAAAAAACCCTATAAGCATACAAATAGACACATAGATTATCACATTGTATGAGCAAAACAGATCAGACACAAAATAAGCTAACAAAGAATAGTAAGTGAAATGATATGATTGTACTGTAGATCACCTAATTAGGAGGAGGAAAAGCAGATGAGAGGAATTCCTCATCTTCTACAAAGATCTGAAGATTATTTAACTTCATCAGGAACTCAACAGTTGCTTCATCGAAGTCGAGCAGAAAAGCCAGTTTGATTATCCCCTTAGCGATTACTTCAGAGAAACGACAAGCAAATTCAATCAGACTCATCTTGCTCCTGCTGCTGCTACCAGTTTTCTTCTCCATTCTCTGTACATACAACTTGTCATCGTCCTTGTCCTAGCGAACCATTTCTGTGGCTTTCACCTTTCTCGATACTTCCCCTGAAGATAAAGTCAAGTTGTAGCTTACACTCAGAGGCTCCACCATCTCCAAGACTGTCACATTAAGGAGGGCCTTCACTTTCTCGTGCCTCTCCTTTGCATCCATGTCGAGAGTTGGATCAGCTAGAAAGGCGAGTATGACCTTCACTAGCTCTTTCCCAACGGAACACGTCCTCTGGTTTCAGCTGTCTGAGTTCTCAACTCCTTGTTTTCCTTTTCTTTCCTGACCAAGTCTGACTATTGGTGTCTGAGTTTTCTTCTTTCTTCTGCACAGACTCAGAAATTCGGCGAGCTCCTATTGCCCTGTAAACTTCCAGCAACTTAGTCCGAGGCAACTCAGGCAAAGCTTGGTTCAGGATACCAGGCGAAAATCAGATACTCCGAGAAGAGGTCTAAAATTAATGTGTTATATATATTATTTTCTAGTTTATACTATACGAACATAAAATATTATGTTTTTCACTTCAATTTTCGGTCCGATTACGAAAAGAGCATATTACGAAATTTAGCCAACAATTTTTTTTGCTGGTATGAAGCCAACAAATGTATTTTTTGGATCGATGAAATTCCCTACAACACTCGTCAAAGTTGGACGAAACTGAAATTTAGTCCCGTCAATTTGGATGAAATTGAAATTTAACCCCGTTAAAGTATCACCCGCCACTTCAGCCCTCAAAGCTCGAAACATTTCACGGTTCGGTTAACTTCGAAGCGCACACAGCTTTGCCCGCCGGAAAATCACGAAGCGAGAAATTCCTTGTCGAGGAGGAAGTGTGTTTAGCTATGCAACTAAGCTTCGCCCGTGCGTGTTTCCACTCCCGGCCGATTTGCTCTGCGCCGCGGCAACTCTCAACGGTAGTGCCGAAGCCCCAAATCCCTCTATTCGAGAGGCCACCAATTCATGCCGCAACTTCGCTCCAGCTCCAGAAATGGCATGAATGGGCCAAAACTCTCGCGTCTTCAGTTGGATCGTCGTTTGTCGAAGCCGACAATGGCCCTGATTCAACCCTCCTGTGTAGAGAGCTGAACTGGCTTTTAGAGGACGCAATTGAACATCCCTCCTCGTTACGACATGCAAGCAAGGAAGGTGTTTGTGAAAATGTCAAGCTGAGGGTCAGTCTGGATGATCTTTACAACTTGTGGAAAGACCGGATCGAGAATAGGAGGCCTTTGCAGTATCTTGTTGGGTGTGAGCACTGGAGAGATTTGGTGCTGAGTGTTCAGGAAGGGGTTTTGATTCCGAGGCCAGAGACTGAACTAATTGTGGACTTGGTGGAGGAATTGGTGTCTAGAACGGATGATTTGCGAAAGGGGACGTGGGCAGATTTGGGGACTGGGAGTGGCGCTCTTGCCATTGGAATTGGGAAGGTTTTGGGGAGTTCTGGCAGTGTCATTGCCACGGATGTAAGTCCGCTTGCAGTTTCTGTGGCCAACTTTAATGTGCAGAGGTATAGCCTCCAGGTCAGTGTGCATCTAGTTTTGCCGAGTTGCTTTAGAATTCGACGTTCTCCAAAATTTGCTGTAGTTCTATACTTCCTTTCATGTTTGGACTATAATGTCATTTGTTTGTTCCCAGTTTAGCTACTTACAATCCAGTCGATTTCTGCATTTCCTCAAAGGTTTAATTCTCATCTTGAAAACAGGACCTGATTGAGGTGAGACAGGGTTCTTGGTTTGAGCCGTTGGGTAATTTAGAAGGAAAACTTTCAGGTCTTGTGAGTAACCCACCCTATATTCCAAGCAACCATATGCCCCACCTTCAAGCTGAAGTTGGCAGACATGAACCGAAGCTTGCATTAGATGGTGGTGACTGTGGCATGGATAGTCTTCTCCTGCTTTCTGCTGGAGCTGCTAAAATGTTGAGAGCTGGTGGATTTTTTGCCTTTGAGGCAAGTTAATTGACAATCCGTAGTTCTCTCTGCTTTCAGTAGTTGGGAAGTATCATTCATGTGCTGTTATAATATGCTTTATTAGAGAGGTCTGTATCAAGGCCATACCTGCTATCACATCTAAGTCTGAGATAACTGTTGCTCTGTTACTGAGTTTATTTGTATGGTCCTCCTTGCTATAACCTGTATACTGAGATCTGATTGATTATGTTAATCCCCCTTATCTACTTTTTGTCGTGTGCTTCAGACAAATGGTGAAGAGCAATGCAAGTATCTAGTAGAGTACATTCAAAGAGAAATCTCTGGCAGCTTCTGCAATCTCAACATAGTGCCTGATTTTGCCGGAATTGAAAGATTTGTTACTGGGTTCCACCAATAATAAGCATTCTTGTTGTTGCATGACAATGAGAGCTGTTGTAAGTAGTACCTTGAGAAAAAAGGTAATTACTAAGCACTTTGGTGCATATTCGTTACAGTTTCTCCACATTACTTAAATGGGTTTGACTATAATCTAATCATTTTGCAAAAGTCCTTCACCTTGAATAACTTTTGTAATTTGGCAGGTATGGGAAATGCCATTTGCTGGCACAGCTCTACCTGATCTTCAAGATTCACAAAGTGGGATCAGCAAAAATTTTGACAGACGACTGAGTAACATGAATGATAGACTAGATAGACTGGTAATGTTCAATGTGGTTTAGGTTAAGATTGCCTTGCTTCAAGATGAAATGATATGCTCAGATTGTATTATGGTTCCTCTGATGTAAACGTCTTGAGTATATACTACTGGTTGACTCATGAATACTAGAAGTGAAACGTTGATACCATGCAATGTGAACAAGATTTTGAAAGAAAAAGCATCAGTTTCTGTTATGATGTCCCATTTGGTATGTATACAATAACACAGTAGTTACAATGGGGGTGAAATTGGCTCCTTTATCTCCCTCTTTCTCATCACTAAATAAATTTGAAGTCAACTCTGCGGGAATGATATGACATTGCTAGCCTCAATATCTTTTATATACGTCAAGTTGAAGAATTAAGTCGTTCCACCTCCATCTATTCCCATTCTGGTAAGCTTTTCCCCCTCCCCCCTTTTCAATCATTCAACTAAAGTCAACTAATCCTGGTCAGAGAATTTGCTCCCTTACCATAACTGTACAGTTGTGATTTTGTTTATCAGCTAAGCTAAGCTCCTGTTTCTGGATTTGGAATAGAAAAATCCGAGGTGTCTGTCCTATAGTGACAGACAAACTCGTTGGGATGATATAATATTTAGATTTCACGTCCACCAAGTTGTTATTAGTTTATTTGAACCAATATGGTCAATGAGTTGACTGCACAATTTTCTGGGCCTCTTCGTATTTTCAAGAACTTCTCAAACTCAGTAAATTGATCCCATGGTTTGATTTTTTTTTTCTTCCTTGTTTAATTCCTTTGAGATGGGCGGTGTTGTGGCCATAGTTTTCTGGTTCTGTTTCTTTGCACTGCTAATTGGACATGGCTACACCCATCCATTGTGTACTGATTCAAGTAAGTGTCTTTCTTTGCCATTTTGTGCATTTTCTTCTCAGATTTGTCTTCTGATCAATCATACTCTTTTTGGGTTTGTTTTGGTTCGGAAAATAGGAGAACCATTTACTACAAAACCCTCTCTTGGCTTCTGTCAGTACAATGGAAGTGTGTGCTGTAACTCCACTCGTGATCTTCAGTTGCAGAACCAGTTCAATGCAATGAATGTGCCAGCCGCTCCACGTTGTGCGTCCATCATCAAATCCATACTTTGCTCAGTGAGTAGTAGCTTCTAAGTTCTACCCATGTAATTTTTATTCTTCTGTTACAAAATAGTTTCCATTTCCTAACAACTTGATTTTCTGGTTGTGAACTTTCTGGGGTGGCAGAGATGTGATCCATTTTCAGCAGAGTTATATGGGACTGGATCTGTACCTCGGTTGGTACCCAACCTATGCAATGCCTATTGCTTTGAAGTTTGGAATCAATGTCACAATGTCTCAGTATCAAACTCTGTATTTGCTCCGAGCGGGGGAGCTGGTGCAGCATCAGGAAAGTCCTTTACCAAGTTGACTGATTTCTGGGATTCAGAGACTGGTTTCTGCAGTGCATTTGGAGGGGCTAACACAACATGTTTCGGAGGAGGGCCAGTTTTGAAGCACAATAATATACCAGGAACATTACCTTCAAGCGGAATCTGCCTGGAGAAAATTGCCAATGGGTCATACCTCGACATGACTGCATTGCCAGATGGGTCAAATCGGGTTCTTCTGGCAAGCCAGTCCGGCAAGATTTGGCTGGCGACTCTGCCAGAAGAAGGGTCTGGGAAAGTGTTGGAGCTCGATGAATCGAATCCGTTTCTTGACCTGACTGATCAGTTACATTTCGACAGCGAGTTTGGGCTGATGGGGATAGCCTTCCATCCTGAGTTTGAACAGAATGGCCGATTATTCGCTTCATATAACTGTGATAAGGTGACATCACCCGGATGCTCAGGGAGATGCTCGTGTAACTCAGATTTCGGTTGTGATCCTTCACTGCTTCCTTCAAAAGATGGAGGACTGCCTTGTCAATTCCATAGCGTTGTAGCTGAGTACAGTGCCAATGGTACTGCATTGCAACCTCCGAGCACGGTATAGAAGGAAAAAAGGTCTTCTTGTGTTGTTTAACTATGTCTTGTTCTGATTTTTTACTTTGCATCGGGTTGGTAAATGCAGGGGATGAGGTTACTTCCGCAGGAAGTAAGGAGAATATTGACAATGGGGCTTCCTTACAGTGCACATCATGGTGGTCAAATACTGTTTGGACCTGAAGATGGATATTTGTACTTTATGATGGGGGATGGTGGAAGCAAAGGCGATCCTCAAAATTTCTCACAAGAGAAGAAGTCTTTGCTTGGGAAGATCTTGAGGCTTGATATTGACAATGTAGCAAGTGAGCTGTTTTTGAACAGTTCAATCTTTATCTTATGCCATTATTTACTGTTTTCATGACTCAAGATGTTCCTGATATTCTTGAACTGTAGGTGCAAAAGTAATAAATGACTTGGGTTTATGGGGGAATTACTCCATCCCTAGAGATAACCCATTTACAGAAGATAAGGATTTCAAACCTGAAATCTGGGCAATGGGGTTTCGCAATCCTTGGGGATGTAGCTTTGATGCAACTAGACCTTCATATTTCCTCTGTGCCGATGTTGGCGAGGTAAGCCTTGCATTTTCCTTATAGTTGCCTTGTAGTTCAAGTTACATGGGAAAACTGGCGAAATGAAGGGGGAGTTTGATATAACAGGAAATGTTTGAAGAGGTGAACCTTGTGAGCAAGGGCGGGAACTATGGATGGCGGATTTATGAAGGGCCTTTCATTTACAACGACACAAATTCAAAGGTGACGGCGAATTCATCTACCATGAAAAGCTCCATGAACCCAATCTTTCCTGTGCTGGGGTACAATCACTCTGAGGTCAATAAAGTTGAAACTGGATCTGCTTCCATCACTGGTGGCTATTTCTACCGCTCAACTACCGACCCATGTATGTATGGAAGGTACGGAAGCTCAAACTCCAACCCTTAGCACAGTTTAGATTCCAAGCTGCTCAACCGATAGCACATTGCTTGTGAACAACTTTCATCACCACATTCGCTACTGAAATTTGAGGTTGACCAAACTCAGCTCAACTAAATCAGTGTATTGTGTTTTACTTTTTTTCCTTCAGGTACCTTTATGCTGATTTGTACGGTGGAAACGTGTGGGCAGGGACGGAGAACCCAGACGACAGTGGAAACTTCAGCACCAACCTTCTCGAGGTAAAATGCGCACACGACTCTCCTGTTGCGTGTTCGTCCGATGCAGGGACTAGTGCGCTGCCTTGGCTTGGTTACATATTCAGCTTTGGAGAGGACAACAGGAAAGACGTCTTCATCTTGGCCAGCAATGGTGTGTACAGAATCGCCCGTCCCAGTCGCTGCAACTTCGTCTGCCCAAAAGAAAATGCCACTCTTCGTGGCTCGCCCTCTTCCCCTACTCCTCGCTCTTCTGCTTCTGGACAAGGTCTCAGGTCCTCCATTATCATGCAGTTAACCCTCTTTCTCCTGATCTCCATTATCAGAATGTCATCTTTGTAAATGGAATCAGATACTGGGATTTGAGTGAACACGGAAATGCAATGGAATGGTTTGTCGTTGGCCCAAGATGTACCAGTTTAAATCATTCACGAGGCCTAATCTACTGGATCAGTCGTAGTTGGGCCTCTGACCTTGACCCAGCCCATGAGGTCCATGATAACGGATTATTTTCACGATAGGTTGAAAGAAAGTATTACCCGCCATCTGGCAGGAAAATCTGCTTCTCCTGTGGCGAGACCTGTAAAATAAACCCCATCAATGTCCTCCCTCTCCATCTCTGCTCTGCAATCCATTGATTCCGTTTCTTCTCCTCCATCTACTTCAATCCTCTCCGGTTTCCTTATACGCATACCTAAATCCCGCATTGATGCCTTCGCCTCCACGACTTCTACGACCACCGCCGGGGCCGGAGCCCACCTGGTCCACTCCGGCGCGACCAGGAAAGATGTATGGACCAGAAACCCAACGAGAAGACAAATCAAGGACCCGATTTTCTTGGACCGCACCATAGACATGAGCGAGCTCCTTTCTTCCATCAGGCAAACCCGAAACGAGCAGGAACTGTACTGCTTGTTGTCCCCGTACAACGACAGGCAACTTTCGATTCGTTTCATGGTCTCGCTCCTCTCGCGGGAACCGGATTGGCAGAGGTCGCTCGCGTTACTGGATTGGATCAACGAGGTGGCTCGGTACTCGCCGTCCGTGTTTGCGTACAACGTGGTCTTGAGGAACGTGTTGAGGGCGAAAAGATGGGAGCTTGCACACGGGCTGTTCGACGAAATGCGCCAGAGAGGTTTGGCGGCAGATAGGTATACTTACTCTACCCTCATTACCGAGTTTGGGAAGTCGGGGAAGTTTGATTCATCCCTGTTCTGGCTTCAACAGATGGAGCAAGACGGGGTGTCGGGTGATCTTGTGTTGTATAGTAACTTGATTGAGCTTGCTAGGAAGCTGTGTGATTACTCCAAGGCCATCTCCATCTTTATGAGGTTGAAAAGGAATGGGATTACCCCTGATTTGGTTGCGTATAACTCGATGATCAATGTGTTTGGGAAGGCAAAGCTTTTTAGGGAAGCGAGGATGTTGTTGAAGGAAATGAGGGATGTGGAGGTCATTCCTGATACCGTTAGTTACTCTACTCTGTTGACTGTTTATGTCGAAAATGACAAGTTTCTTGAGGCCTTGTCAGTATTTGCTGAGATGAATGAGGTGAAGTGCCCACTTGATCTCACGACGTGTAATATCATGATCGATGTTTATGGACAGCTCGATATGGCTAAAGAAGCGGATCGGTTGTTTTGGAGCATGAGGAAGATGGGAATCCAACCTACTGTAGTAAGTTACAACACGCTTTTGAGGGTTTATGGAGAAGCCGAGCTTTTCGGGGAGGCTATCCATCTATTTAGATTGATGCAGAGAAAAGACATTGAGCAAAACGTTGTCACTTATAACACGATGATCAATATCTATGGCAAAACGCTCGAGCATGAGAAGGCTACAAATCTCATTCAGGAAATGCAGAAGAAAGGTATTGAGCCCAACCCCATCACCTACTCGACAATCATTTCCATCTGGGAAAAGGCAGGAAAATTAGACAGGGCGGCAATGTTATTTCAGAAGCTAAGGAGTTCGGGGGCTGAGATTGATGTTGTACTCTATCAAACAATGATCGTGGCTTATGAGAAGGCAGGGTTGGTTGCTCACTCCAAACGTCTCCTCCATGAACTGAAGAGACCCGATAATATCCCTAGGGACACCGCGATCAAAATTCTCGCTAGAGCTGGTAGAATAGAAGAGGCAACATGGGTCTTCAGGCAGGCTTTTGATGCAGGGGAGGTTAAGGACATTTCTGTCTTCGGATGCTTGATTAATCTCTTCTCCAGGAACAAGAAACACGTGAATGTGATCGAGGTGTTTGAGAAGATGAGAGGAGCTGGATACTTCCCCGACTCTGATGTGATTGCTCTAGTCCTGAATGCATATGGGAAGCTCAGGGAATTCGATATAGCAGATGCTGTTTATGCGGAAATGCAAGAAGAAGGGTGTGTGTTCCCAGATGAAGTCCACTTCCAGATGTTGAGTCTCTACGGTGCAAGGAGGGATTTTGTTGCAGTGGAATCCCTATTCGAGAAGCTGGACTCCGATCCTAACGTCAACAAGAAGGAACTGCATCTTGTTGTTGCCGGCATATTTGAAAGGGCAAACAGACTGAATGATGCATCGAGGATCATGAACCGAATGAGGGCGGTTGCAATGTCGGGAACTTATGACCACATGAATTGAAATGGGGGTCCTCTGATGTCGTGCTGAATCTTATACATTTCTATATGTTGCGACTTGTGAGTAATGCTATTGTAAATCCTTCTTCTGTCCCTGTGTTTTAGAATGTGAAGTAGTGGAAGTTGCTCAAATTCTTCTGTTCAGCTATGTCATAAAGGAGGGCAAACTTGGTGTGGAGCCTTCAAGCGGCAGGACTTGTGGAAAACGAGAGAAAAACTGTGAAGGTAATGAATCTCTCTCTCTCTCTCTCTCTCTCCATTGCCGATACCTTGCTTGTGCTATGATTAGGTTATAAGCAAATGGTGTGGGGAAGGGATGAGTTAGGTACGGATGGTTGGTTGATGGGGTTAAGTGTATAGATGTCCCTTTGTTTGCGAACCTTTTTGCGATCAATTATGGCGATGTGATCTTGAAGGGCAGCTTAAGAGTCGTCGTTTCTGAGAAAAATGAGGCAAGACTTTCACGTCGTGTTACATGAAATGTTACAGTTAAGAGTAGAAGAAAGAAGTTCCGTTGACATGAGCGTCTGTCCGGCTGTCGAGGTCGGGAATTAGTCATTGGAGAATATAACTCGTAGTAGTCATGGCCATGATGTAAGGCCGTATAGCACGTCAAGGTACCCAATTTTCATCTCTTCTTTCGGTCGTGTTAAATGGGATCAGAATGTTCATTGGCCATTGGTGGACTACTTCACTATGACACCCACCAGAGACGTATGTCGAATTCTGGAAAGACCTGAAACTTATGAAGTCTGGCCTGAATTGAGACTTCAGAAAAGTTAGGTCTCGAAATACGTTAATGGTTTAACGCGATTAGTATATCGGTGATGAACTTATATGATGAAAGTGTCGAATGCATACGCAGTTTCTTTATCATCAAATTCAATTGGAGACATTGTTCTACTCAGCTTAATTAAAGAAATGACAGTAATTTTTGTTGTATAGCCGGCTAAACAGTGGTTTTCGCAAGATTCTTCTTCTTCCAAAACGATAGATTCTCAAGTTGTTATAGCTCCCAGCGTACCCTTAGCAAGTCACTGTTTCCAAAAACTGATATGTCTGCTAGTTCTCTCTCTAATCCTTTCTTTCCATTGATTGTTTTCGGGCTCAACAATGGGTCAAGGAGAATTTAAACTCATACTTTACTTTGTTTGATTGACAATAACTATACAAATACCACACACACAAGTGTCAATTAAAGACTGTTTGACATGATGAATTTCATTTTCAGGGGCTTAACCTATTGTTACAACGTGAAGATACATTCGATGTTAGTTTTGGGCCTTTGGAATCAAAATTACTTATCCATAAAACATGAATGTAGCATTCAATTATTTTGTTAATTTGTTGCCTAACATCAGTTTCAATGCTTCTCTCAATGCAATTAATTATGTTTAGAATGTGGACCTCTAGATTGATATGCATATTCAACATCGATAGTAACATAAATTCACTGAATATTCACATTATTAAAACTCCAATTTTCAAGTTCTATCAAGTCATTTTATGGTTGGCGAGATGTAAGAACATGAATCAATGCGGATTAAGAGAAAGAGAAAACTGCAATGGTATTCAGTGTTCACTAACTTCATTGACTTGGTAACTTTACATCCCCCAACACCCATCCTCCCTAGGCCCTAGCCATAAAACCAGAAATTACTGTCTGCAATAAAATAACAAAGAGGTCAAATCCATTTCCTCAATTAGTTTTAAATTTTTTGGTAAATTCCATTCCACACCAAAACCAAAATTCCACAACGAAAAGGAAAAACAAAGGAAGAATTTAAAAAAAAAAGAGCGAAGGAAAGGAGATTTTAGATTTAAAAACTCTTTTTTCTCTTAAAAAACAATAAAGAAGGTAAAAATGTCGTCTTCCCTCGTCTAAAAAAACCAGCTAATATCGTTAACCTTCCTTTACTCCTCTTCTGCCGCTATTCCCTCCTCCTCCTCTCTCTCCCCTCCTCCGCCGTCGCCATCATCGTCGCCGCCCGGCCACCGCGTTCTTCTCCCCCATTCTCTCTACCTAATTTATAACCTCCCACCCACGAACCCCACCATCTTCCCACCTCCAACTAATTCGAAACCCAGAATACATTTTTATCTGAATAACCAAATTTTGAGGGGAAAAAAACGGCTTCTTCTTCCTTACTAATCCCTACTGCTCGTCTCTCTAAGTAAGGAAACTAAACAGCAACCCAACTACCCAAATTCCCAATGAAGCGGTTGAAGAGCTACTACAGTCATTTCCGGCACCACCAGGGTGCGTCGGCGGACCGGCGGCGGTGGATCTTCCCACTGGCGATCGGCTCGCTCTTCTCTCTCTTCCTCCTATTGCTCACCACCGTCTCTTCCCCCGCGGGGGTTCCTATCTTCCCCTTCTACCGCTCAATCTACTCCTTCAGCTCCAAATTCGTGGAGCCCAAGCTGCAGCCTTTGCCGGTCTCTACTCTCCCTCCGCCGCCGCGGTTCGCCTACTTGATCTCGGGGTCAAAGGGGGATGGGAACATGCTCAAAAGGACTTTGCTGGCTCTCTACCATCCCAACAACCGCTACGTCGTGCACTTGGACGCCGAATCGCCGCCGGAGGAGCGCGCGGATCTGGCCGATTTCGTTCGGGACCATAGGGTTTTCGTGAAATTCGGCAATGTGAAGATGATCGCCAAGGCGAACCTCGTCACTTACAGGGGGCCGACCATGGTGGCCAATACGCTTCACGCTGCTGCGATCTTGCTGAGGGAAGGGTCCGATTGGGATTGGTTTATCAATCTCAGCGCCTCCGATTACCCCCTCGTGACTCAGGACGGTGAGTTTTTTCCTTCTTTTTCTGGACAGAATTGCTGAGTCTGTGATCTAGTGATGAACCCGTTTTGATTATGTTTTTGATTGGTTGATAGATCTGCTGCACGTGTTTTCTTATCTGCCGAGGGATCTTAATTTCATCGATCATACAAGCGACATTGGCTGGAAAGAGTGAGTGAATAGTTTCCCAAGTGGTTGTTCTTCTGCTGGATTTTAGTATCAAGTTTTGTTCTTGATATATGAATTTGCTTCAATGTGGCAGGTTTCAGAGGGCAAAGCCGCTTATAGTCGATCCTGGGTTGTATATGAACAAGAAATCTGATGTTTTCTGGATAACACAGCGGAGAAGTGTGCCGACAGCTTTCAAGCTTTTCACAGGTATGGATTCTTTGTTCCAAATTGAATGGAAAAGTGTTAGTTATTTGCTTCTCCTGCTTTTAGATTGTGCTTAGCATATAAGGTTTAGCTTCAGTTTCTGTCCTGGTTTTTTTTGACTGTTGGTAAATGCTCCAAAGGGTGTAGTTGTCTTGTTTATCCTTTCGGAACTAAGATGTGATTAGCTGCTGAAAAGTTTAGTTCATGGTTTGTCTGAACTGAACCTAGTGCTGCAATGGTGGAGGCTTTAAAGTTGAACTGTGAGATAGATTATGAATTCCGAGGTACGGGAAAGTTGAAGCCCTAAGGATCTTTGAAAGAGTGTCCCTACATATAGTTAACCATGTTTCTCTTTTGTGCTGGTTAGCAAGTCACTTGATTATTGGGTTTGAAAGAAGTAGGGAGAAAGAGGGCCTGAAGTATTTGAAACGATCTTTGTGTTTGGTGCCTTGCTTTAATGGTATATAGGTAACACTGGTTTTTAGTTGGCCAAGCAAGCAAAGGTTTGTTCTTGGTTATAGGAGTCCCAGTGATTCATTCCATAGGACCTGGTCTAGATGAAATCTGGCACATTTCAAAGTTCAGGAGCAGTTCTTCAGGAATGGAGATATTGATAGGGGAAAAGGAAAGGTAATCTGAAAGTGGTTATTTCCCATAAATCCTTGTTCTTCTTACTCAAACAACTTCTTGCTCAACGGACTGCAAGAACGCAAAATGAATCAGCAGAGAATTTAAATATACAATAATGATGTGATTTTGGGAAGTCCAATGTTTCATCTCTGATCCAAATTCAATTCAATAGTATAGGACTCTGCATACCGTGATTTCCCACATGCCAATCGGCCATCAAGAATGGTCAAAGGATCATTCTTTCTAACCTTTTCCCGAACTTATGAACTGCTGGTTTCTCATTTCGTATACAGGTTCTGCATGGATGGTGCTTTCTCGGCCATTCATCGATTACACAATCTGGGGTTGGGACAATTTGCCTCGAACAACCCTAATGTACTACTCAAACTTCATATCATCCCCAGAAGGCTACTTCCACACAGTCATCTGCAACGCCCTCGAGTTCCGCAACACAACTGTAAATAGTGACCTCCACTTCATCGCGTGGGACAACCCTCCGAAGCAACATCCTCACCACCTGACTATCGCTGACATGGACAAAATGGTTGAGAGTAACGCCCCATTTGCTCGGAAGTTCAGGCAGGATGATCCTGTCCTCGACAGAGTAGACTCAGAGCTCCTGTCAAGAGGTCCCGGCATGTTCACCCCTGGTGGCTGGTGCATTGGGAGTCGAGGGGAGAACGGAACTGATCCCTGCTCCATCATCGGTAACACCACAGTTGTCAGACCGGGCCCTGGAGCGAAAAGACTGGAAACGCTGATTGGATCTCTCCTATCCACTGAGAATTTCCGACCAAGGCAGTGCAAATGATGAAAAAAGAAAAGAGTTTGATAGCATTTATCAAGCATGTCAGCATACTGGGTACGGGGAACGAACGGTAAGATGAAGCTGAATGTACACTCGAATTCACGGTGTTATACATGGTGATGGAAGGCTATGGCGAGAAGGAACTAGGAAGATACAGCTGGGATTTACTTCTGCACATTGATTATCACGGTAAAAACCCATTCATACCCTGTTACTAGTCACCCCTAGAACTTGTTTCTTTTTTTGGTTTTCGGTGTGGAATTAGTGATATCTTCCATGTTCAAGGTCATTTCCTCCCCCTGTAACATTAGCAATGAAAATCGAGATTGATGCTGAATGAAAATGAATAGGTCCAGAAAGAGGAAGGGTTCTAATGTAAGGTCTGTCACTGTACTGGCATGTTACTACATACACATCTTGGTTGGTAATTCGTTTGCCAGAAATTGCAGGCTGGAATTCTATCCTCTTTTTGTGTCTTTATCTATCCTCCATCCCAAACGCGCACGCACCATGGCAAGGCTGCGGGCAGTTGTTGTAGTTTAGAGGGTTAAGCTGATTTGCAGGAAGTGCATCAGCGGGAATCTAGGCACAGCTGAACCAGAGATTGAGGTCACGGGTTGTAGTAGCATACAAAACAAACTGTTTCCTTTCTAATTTCTATATGGTTGTTAAACGGATTGAATGTGTACGAATTGGGTGATAGACAAATGACAAAGATCTGGTTATGCATATGATACATACATGAGAAATATTCAAATATGGCAATTTCATATATAAAAAAACATTCCCTTTAAAATACATTTAGTAACTCTTCATCCAGAAAGATTCTCATATTTTTCATTTTTAATGAAGATTCTCATATTACACGAGGCATCATAACTCATAAGTCATATTTTTCATTTTCTTCTAGGTAATTAAATAAATTATTATTTGATGATGTGGCAATCATGCATAGGCCACATAAGTAGTTTTTGCTCAGTCATTAACTGTGAGAATGTTTGACCGTTAGTTTTAACGGTCAAAATAAATTCCGGGCCAAATTTGTCAAATAATTTCAAAAGTGGGCCATAAATGTCTTATTTGAAAAATGAGGCCAGAATTGTCATTAACGCTAAACTTCGGGCCAAACTAAGGTATTAACCCAAAATACATTTAGTAACTCTTCATCCAGAAAGATTCTCATATTTTTCTTTTTTAATGAAGATTCTCATATTACACGAGGCATCATAACTCATAAGTCATAGGTTGTCAACCCGCGGGTTGACCCACTTTGACCCTGACCCGGTGAGAAAAACGGGCCGCACGCACCCGCCGGGTCGACCGCTATAAGGTACCGGGTTGGAGGTCAAATTGTGTCATTTTTTTCTTTGTTTTGCGAAATGCGCCTATTTTCCGATTTTTCTTTTCGCCTAACTCAATCTTTGGAATCCTAAGTTGAACATTTGAATATTAATGTTATATAAGTGTGTGTGAATTTTCACTATATGTTGAATCTAAGTACGAAATGTTATTTTGGTGTAATATTATATGTTATAACTCATATGTTAGATGAGATTTGATATAATTTATCAGGATAAGTACAATATAATGACGTTTTCCATATTTCCGGGCTAAAACGGGTGACCCATTAACCCTTGACCCACTAACTCAACCGGGTCCGGGTCAACCCGCGGGTTGACAACTTTCATAAGCATGAGAAAATAAAGAAGCTCTTTTTATTTTAAAATAAATTGTAAACAAAATGAAATTTTCTAGCCTTTATATTCGTTTCCCTCTTTCCCTCTGCAGAAGCAGAACCCCCCTCCCTGTCCCTCCCTCCCTCCCTCCCTCCCTCCCTCCTTCGTTCGTGTTCGTTCTTCCTCACCTATCAAATTTGAATAAGAAAAGGAAAGGCAGGAAGGGGGAAAAAAGAAGGGCAGTCCTTCTTTTCTTCTACAGGGGTATTCTTCCTTTCTTTCTTGTTTTCTCCTCTCAACTGAAACAACAAGTCCAAAGCATAAAGAAATGGGGTCGGAAGGCGAGATGGCGAGGAAACCCAGATTCCTGTGCCTGCACGGGTTCAGGACCAGCGCAGCAATCTTGAAGAAGCAGCTCACCATCAAATGGCCGGAATCCGTCCTCCAGAACCTCGATCTAGTCTTCGTCGATGCCCCTTACCCCGCCGAGGGCAAATCAGAGGTCGAAGGGATCTTCGACCCTCCTTATTACGAGTGGTTCCAATTCAACAAGGTACCCCTTTTGAATCCCAATTCCTCTGTTTTTTATGTCTTTTTCTTGAACTTCTGCCGTATTCAAAACTTTCTCCGGGCTGATTGTTGCAGGAGTTCACGGAGTACAGGAATTTTGAAGAGTGCTTAGCTTACATAGAGGAATTAATGATCAAGCATGCTCCCATTGACGGCCTTCTCGGTTTCTCACAGGTTCAAGTCTTTCCCTTTCCTTTTTTCCTTTTGGAAGTTTGTATGAATTGGTTCTTGTGGGCACCATCTCATGTAGAAATGCATGCGAAATTTGTTTGGGGCAGGGAGCAATTCTGTCGGCTGGACTTCCAGGTCTGCAATCCAAGGTTAGATTTCCTTCCACGTTTTAAAAATGGTTTCCATGTGCGTGTGTTGTTGGGTTTGTTACGAAGACTGTATAAGTAACGATAGTTCGAAAACGAGAGACTACGATTGTGATATAGTCGTGATTGCAATGAAAATGAGCAGGGTTTGGCGCTGGCTAAAGTGCCGAAGATCAAGTTTCTGATAATAGTCGGAGGGGCGAAATTCAAGGCAAAATCAGTGGCCGACGACGCTTACGCTTCTCCCATACAATGTCCATCCCTCCACTTTCTCGGTAAAGTTTTTCTTTTTCATTCCATGGGATTCCTTTTTTGAGCTGTGAATTGTTTAGTGGTGAGCATTTGTTTGGCTGGTCGTCTGTGAGAGTGGAATGGCCGTTACAGCTTTCAAATGTGCTTCCCTACCTACCTCTCTTTTCTTTCAGAGCTCCCACCAGTCACCCTCTGCTGATGCAGAGAGATAGAGAGAGAACACTAATTTAATGCAGACGTAAGTGCTGATGTAGATGGCTGGCTAATTTACTGGTTTTGGTTGGTTTGGTCAGGGGAGCTGGATTTCTTGAAGCCACATGGTAAGGAACTGCTGTTACATTGTGGAGATGCTGTGGTGGTTCATCACCCTAGGGGCCATACCATTCCCAGACTTGGTAAATTCATTCACTCTTTTACCAAAATTCAATCACGCGTTTGAACTCGACCACAATCCTCGTATGACAAGAAAGTCGTACTAATGTATTTGCGATTCGTAACTGTTTGATGTATGTGCAATTGCAATTTTATTTAGGCATAATTGATGAATTTGTGGGTGATTTCTTTCTTTTGTTGCATCAGATGAAAAGGGGCTGGCAACGGTGAACGGCTTCGTCGAGAGGATCCAAAACCTGGTGAAACAAGAAGAAGGGAAGAACACCCCAGGCCCCAACAATGATTTTTACGTAGGGGCTGTTTGATTAGTTGGAGGATACATATGATTGTTCTTCATCATTTTTATGATTACAATAAAGCAGATGAAGGACCAATTATATGTTCTCTAATCTCTATGGCACTCTCGTACTAATCAGCTTATCAAACCGATGGCAATCCCAATAATGCCGGTACGAATATAACACTGAATTCACTCGAATTGATGAAAACTAGTATGTTCATCAGGTTGCTTAGCGTGATAATATCGTGATTACTTAATAACCTTAACATGAACGTCATATATAAAATTATCGTTTACTATAATTTATTATAAGAACGGGTTCGGATTACTGGCTGATTTAGTGGAACCGTCAAAACAATTGTAGTGGAGGGACAATTCTTTGTTTGTACGAATAGGGGCACATCAAATGGTCTTTAATAGTTGGGCTGGTAATTATATGTATCGTCTCGATTTGACTGGTATACTATTTTAACAATGATTAATAGGAAAAAACTATAACGTGAACTAATACCATTCAACCCTGATTATTATTTTTATTTCTCGTTTTCTCTTTTACTTTTCCTAGCTTCCTTGTCGACTTTACGTGACTAGTTTGAATTTGATAAACTTTTTGTATGCCTTTTTTGAGATAGTTCGAATGATTTCTTAGAAGTTAGAACCTATTATGATTGATGATATGTATTTGAAATTTAGTGTTCAATTCTAAAATTAGTTTGGTTGTATATTCTTTTTCTAGTTTATACAATATAAACGAGTCTATCAATGATTAGCTATGAAATCATAAAATATTTTAAAAAAAAAAATTCGCTTCAACTTCCACTGGTTCACAAAAAAGAGCATATTTCCAAATTTAGCCAACAAGTTTTTTAATTGGGAACAAATGAATTTGTTGGAGCAATGAAATTCCCTACAATATTCGTCAAAGTTGGACGAAACTGAAATTTAGTCACGTCGATTTGGATGTTATTATTAGTATATAAATAGCGCCTAATTGCATAAGGGGTCCAGTGGATAACGAAAGAGTCTACCATAAATAGGGGTGTGCAATGGTTCGGTCCGTACCGGACCATACCGGACCAAACCGTTGTTAAGAGCGGACCAGACCAGATCGAGTAAAATGCGGTCCGGTCCTTGTTCCTCATGAATTTTATAATTACTGAAGAAATGATGGACCGAGTTCATATTTGGATCGAACCGAACCAGACCAAATGCAAGAATGGTCCGGTTCTTGGTCCTAACATGTCTTTCACTAATGGACCACGGTTCTCATGAGTTTGGTCCAGTCCGGACCGAACTGAACCGTTGCACACCCCTAACCATAAGTAGCCTGCATCCCACACGGATAGTCGTCGCTCATCCTTACCATTTATCTGAGTCGTCGTTTAAGGTGGGTGTAGAGTACTTTTCCTGTACGTCACGCGTCCATATACAACCTCAATTTTAATCTCACCCGTTGAATCCTCTCTTGGCATCGTCGCTTCATCGAACACGTTTTCCCATGCGTTTTCTCTTGTTCAATGGCTGGCGGTTGACAGAGTTTAGGGTGGCATCGACATTTCAGATTCTCTTCTTTTTTTCGTGATTCGCTCCTACTCCTGATGCATCTCCTTTTATTCCCGGCGTTTCTTCTTCATCCCAAAATTTGCAGCCCTCTACTTCTTCGTTAAGATGGACTCTGTAGTAGGACTGTCCATTTGGTTTTGGTTTTTTTGTGTTAACCGAAACCAAACCAATTGGGAAGTTAATGGTTTCAGTTTTTTGGTTTTAAACCAATAAGCAAACTTAATGGTTTTGGTTTGGTTAAAACCGAAAAACCAATAGAAACCAATAAGAATAAATTATTTATCAACATTTTTGTTTTGTTTCTTTTGACATGCATGCCAACCAATAATTTATAATGGTCATTTACCGTTATTATGACGTTAATTCAATAAAAAGGAGGGAAATGAAAATAAATATGAGTACATGTTGGTTTTTTGGTTATCCAAACCAAAACCAAAATCATTAAAGCGCTTATTGGTTTTTGGCAACCGAAAACCAATAAGGGCCTTAATGGTTTTGATTTTGGTTTTGGTTTTGGATTTGGTTTTTGATTTTTGGTTTTGCATACTTAATGGTTTGGTTAACCAAACCAAATTGACAGCCCTACTCTGTACCAGTCTTAGAGACAATCGCCGGCTTGTGTTGGTCGCCAGAAATCCTGCCAGAAAATGCAGTGTGGATTTCTAGCCTCTTTTCGGGTCATTTAGTTTCTCTATCCTTCCTCCATCCCAAACGTGCACGCATGATGGCAGGGCAGTTGTTGTAATTCAGAGGGTTAAGCTGATTTACAGGAAGTCATAAAAAATCAAAATAAAATTGTTTTGAATTGTACGGATCAAGTTTGAATACCTCCACATCGTTTGCTTCGATTGTGAATGCTATAATCCACTCTCCAGTTCCAGTCCATCTATTCCTGCAAATCTTCAGAATGAGAGTATCAGAGTCAACGTGAACTAGTAAACCTTCCAAGTCTACAGAAGGCAAACTGGCCACTGCCAATTTGTAGAATATTGTGAGTGGGCCCACTCCCCAGAAAGTCTATGGCCCAAAGAACTTGGGGCCAAGAACTTTGGGCCCACCAACCATCCCTGGCCTGACATGGAGAAGAAAAGAAAAGTCAAAATTTCATATTATCTACCTTCGACGCTGCAAATTCAAGACCCAATAATAGAAGAAGAAGATGATGAAGAAAGAAGAAACGTAGGTAGAGATGAAAAGATTCACATACAGTACTCCTTCCCATGTCTAGCTAGCTACCGTACCGTAGTGGACAAGAAATTGAGAGGGCTCTGTCGGTATAGCTACCAACGCTAAAACCATCTCTCCTGCGACAAGAAACCCCCCAACTCCTCTCCCAATCGTCTCACTCTTCTCGATCGCTCCCCAAATAGTTCCTCACCAATGCCTCTCTCCCTCCATCTCTCTATATATAAAGAGGCAGATGATAAACTAATGATTATGGACGCTTCTCCTCGTCATATATAGACAGCCCCGAGCTGTGTTAATGCTGGAAGGTTTAACCACTAATTATTTTTTTATTTAATTAGTTTAGTATTGTTATTATATGCGGGTCAATTCGTGGAAAAGGCCGGGGCTGGTGGCTATTTTCCAGGGGGATTTTCCAGGAAACTATTATGTCACGAGGAAAAGTGACTGTCATCTGTCTATGTTCACACACACCATGCGTTGAATAGTAGTGTAGATAAATAAGTAAATATGTTTGTTTCTATATGTGTAGTTGGCAGCATTTTCCATGGTACGAGGATGATGATGACCGCTTCCAAAGGTTGTAATGGAACATTTCATGCCCCTTTTTTCAAGGTTTAGTTTGTTGATGAATATGGTTTCTATTAGTCAAAATATTGTTGTCCTGTGTATGGTTGTCATGCTGGTGGGATGTTGGTCGGTTGAATTTGGTTCAGCTGATACCGGTTATGAAATTGATATAATTTTTCATCGGTATGATCGACATGATCAATTTATTATATACTTTTTTGTGGTAAAAATTTATTATATACTTTACTAATATACAAGTTAAAAGTTGATGTCATTTTTTGGATTCGGGTATAAACGTGTAGATGTTGATGTTAAATGTTGTATTTAAATGAATGTTTATTATTTTATTTGGAATGTCGTATTATGTTAAGTCGACATGAACCGACACAAATTAAACCAATTGTACCACTAATCATACAATTTCACTTGCTAAACCGACCCAATTTCTCTCCGAAGTTTATATATTTTGCATTTTTACTATATTGAGCGGTCTTAATGGCCTAATGGGCACTTGGGTAAATGGATACTTGGGCTTTTGTTGGGCTAGAATCTAGATAGCTTGGGCCTTATTCGTCTTTAGAGCAGAATTTCTTCCGCCACACAAGCTCGCTTTCATTATTTTGACGGTTAAACTGGATGGGCTTTGCATAAAATGAGAATTGGCCCAAATCACAGTGCGAATTGCGAAACTGATATGAAACCATCGACACCACGATGTATCCTCCTCAAGAGTTCTGACAAACGGATGATGGAACCGCAATAACTGGAATCTTACATTTTACTGCTCAAATTAACAAAGCTAGAAGGAAAGTGAATGTCCAGAAAGATCTCAGTTAGATGAAATGCTACTTGGGACCAGCTACTGCTGATTGTACTTGCTTTCTTCTTTGCTAGCAGAATTTTCCTCTTTCGTTTCTTCAACAATGGCACTGATCTCTTTCTCCTCCTTGTTCATTCCTTCTTCCTCTGCTTTCGATCTCGCCTCCTCCTCTTCCGCCGCGGCGGCTTCAAGTCCCTGCACCAGACTACTCAAGCAAACCTCGGCATTCGGCGGGACGGTCTTCGGCATCAAATGCTCAGCAACGTCAGCCGGGGTTATCTTAGTTTGTTCTAGTAACTGGCGAATTTTGTCGAACAGTTGGTGGTCATCCAGCAGAAGGTAATTCTTGGCCAACACTCTGAATGCCTCGAAGCTGCAGTAGGAAAGCTCAACGTGTTTGTCCATCCTACCTTTCCTGATTAGGGCTGGATCGAGTTTCTCAACGTGATTGGTGGTGAAAACGATAAGTCTCTCCCCGCCGCAAGCTGACCATAGCCCGTCGATGAAGTTCAAGAGCCCTGAAAGAGTTACTTGGCTTTGTTTAGGTTCCCTGTCTTCCTTCGGCGGTTTCGGCTTCTGATCCTGCTCGCTCGTTGCTTCTTCGCTCTCCTTCGGCTTCCTTCGTTGAGCAGTGAGATCGAGAGAGCAATCGATGTCCTCGATCACGACCACGGATTTGCTCGAGGTCTCGATTAGAAGCTTCCGAAGCTCGGTGTTGTCCTTCACGGCGGTTAATTCTAGGTCATAGATGTCATAATTCAGAAGATTTGCCATGGCTGCAATCATGGTGGACTTCCCGGTCCCAGGAGGACCATAGAGAAGGTAACCCCTCTTCCAAGCTCTTCCGATTCTCGCATAGAACTCTTCCGCTTGGCTAAACGTGGTCAAATCCTCGAGAATTTCCTTCTTCTTTTCTGCCTCCAACGCAAGTGTCTCGAAAGTTGCTGGATGCTCAAACATCACATGGCTCCAGTGCGATCCATTGTTGGTGTAGAGCTTCCGCTGCCGGTTTCTAACATTGATTGCTTTCCCTTCCTTCAGGACATGGCTTAGATACGGCCCAATGACGAGATCCCTATGCCGCTTGTGAAAAGTCAGTTTGTAATACCTTTTCTCATCCTTGACTGGATAGAAAGAAAGCGTTTGGTTCTTGGAGATGTTCTTCCCAGAAGCCCACCAAAACTTGATCCCTTGAAATTCATCAGCAACCTCTTCGTGATCATCCATGCTAAGCACCAAGGACTGATTGTTCTTCAGTACGTCGGCCTTCAGCCGCTTGGCTTGGGTCGATGAAGTTGAGCTAAGATAGTTCTCGATAGCGGAGTAGAGCTCGCTGCGCATCAGACGCTCGCCTGTGAATTCACTGAAAGTGATTTGGATGTAAGGGTAGACGAAGGAGAAGGCTTTCTGGAAGTATTTATCTATGTTGTGGCGGAGTTGGTATGGGAAGTACTGCTGAAACAGAGCCCAAACGAACATCAAACTAGCAACTATGGATCCCAGGTGAGTTAAAACATCCCCTGGCTTCATCCTGTTAAACCCTCTTCCTCTACTACCTCTATTCTCTTCGGGGAAACTCGCTGAATCAATCATGGCTCTTGTGGTGTGTGATTCACGGGTTATCTTTTTAGGGAGTTGAATATATAAAGAAGGCGACTTTGGGGTACAAGACTACAAGTACATACGTGGATCGAGTGGCCAATACGTGTGCAGAGAATGACAGGTACAGCCTAGTACCTATGTCGGCTATTGCATCCTTTTCTGCCAAGTTACGACAAACTACCTTTTCTTTTCTTCCTATATCGTGAGGACGATAAGTTTCCATCTCTAACATTAGGACAAATCACTAGAGACGTTGTCTAATTGAGTACTTAAATTATTTACCTAATATTCAAGCCGATTTGGTTTACCTTTCATCTAGCTGGCGTAGGAAGTGACATAGAAATGTCTTGGAGGGCAAGCTATATTAACCTGTGAGTAGCATCAAACATTAAAGTCGATTTGGTCTACTCTTTTATCTAGCTAGCTGACGTAGGAAGTGACACTGAAATGTCTTGGAGAGCAAGCTATTTTAGACTGTGAGTAGCATGAACCCTTTTAGCCTTTTATTAACCTCGAGTATAGAACCTTTGAGTGACCATTTTGGCCATTGGTCGGATTGATTTAGCTTTGATCCTAGGCTTCTTCAATGATGAATTATAGATTGATGGCTCCTGGATGTTGCAAAGGATCAAGCACATGCTGAGTATAGGAACCTTTTGAGTGCCCCTTTCAGAGTTATTTTGGCCTGCTCTGGTTCGTTCTTCGAATTGGGAAGGCATGCTGAGATTAGTGCATAGTCTTGATGAATATGAACTTTTAGAGGAGCCAAAGCCCTATTACCCACGAAAAGAAAAGGAAAACCGGGACACATTTCAAACCTTTTTGTGTTTGATTCTCAATAATACAAGATAGAACTTCTGTTGCTGCTGATAGTCTAATTTTATGATGTTTGATTCTTTAAACAGTGGCCATTTCTGGCGGGTGCATTTGGTTGCTTTCACAAGTTGGCTTTTCTCACAAAATAAGAGCTTCCTAGCATTTGTTTGACAGATTCCTAGCAATTATTGTTCAGCTAATAGCATTTAGGATTTAGATCACTTTTGTTTGATTTAATTGGAGTGAGTATAAGCAACTGACAGAGATCAGATATAATTTCCCCATCTATTAACTCTTGACAACCTTTTAGATTCGTAACGGCCATCGCCAAAGCGAAAGCCCGAACAGAGTGCTAAAACTAGATTAGACAATATGATAAAGAGTAACTGTGCACGAAACACATACTGCGAACTAAACGAGAATAATTAGTAAAAGAAATAAATGTCATATTAATCCAATAGCTATTTGCATGTCAACTAAATATTAACAATGGCAAACAATTGGTTTTAAGAGGGAGACTATTAATCATCAGATACAACAGGTTTCGTGCTAGGCTCTTTGTCATGTTGCTCTCCAGCAGCTAAAGGTAATGCTGTTTGTATTTGCAATCCTGTATGGCCAGTGCTTCCCTTGTTTTCTTTTGGTTTCTTCAACAATGGCAGTGATTTCTGTATTCTTATTGATAGTTTCCCCAACTTTCAATCTCGCACGTTCTACAGCCGCTTCTAGGCTGTGCATTAGACTGTTCAAGCACACCTGAGGATCCGGAGGGAGAGTCTTGGGCATCAAATGTTCTGCAATCTCAGCCGGGGTCATCTTAGTTTGTTTCATTAACAGGCCAATCTTGCCGAACAGTTGGTGGTCATCTAGCATAAGGTAATTTTTGGCCAACGTTTTGAATGCTTCAAAACTACAGTACAAAAGTTCAATGTGTTTGTCCATTCTTCCTTTCCTTATGAGAGCTGGATCGAGTTTCTTGACGTTATTGGTCGTGAAAACAATCAACCTTTCTCCTTTGCAGGCTGACCATATTCCGTCTATGAAGTTTAACAGCCCGGAAAGAGTAACTTGGCTTGGTTTAGGCTCTCTGTCAGTAAGATACTTCTGCCTTGTAAGCTTCGGGACCTCTACTTCTTGTTTTACCTTCGTCTGCTTCCTCTTCCCAGTAAGATCAAGAGAACAATCAATGTCCTCAATCACAATCACCGATTTGCTCGTTGTCTCAATTAGAAATTTCCTCAGCTCAGCATTATCCTTGACGGATGTTAATTCAAGGTCATATATATCATAGTTCAGAAGATTGGCCATGGCTGCGATCATTGTGGACTTCCCAGTCCCCGGAGGACCATACAGAAGGTAACCCCTCTTCCAAGCTCTTCCAATTTTCGCATAATACTCTTCCGCTTGGCTAAAGGTGATCAAGTCTTCAAGAATTTCCTTCTTCCGCTTTGCTTCCAACGCAAGCGTTTCAAAGTTTGCAGGATGCTCAAACACCACATGTTTCCAAAATGGGCCGTTGTTAGTATAAAGCTTGCGCTGCCGATTTCTAACCTTAATCGCTTTCCCTTCCTTCATGACATGGCTCAGGTACGGCCCAATGATGAGATCCCTGTGCTGCTTGTGGAAAGTCAGCCTGTAGTACCTTGTCTTATTATGGAGCGAAGGTGATCCGGTACTGGACATGGTTTTCCCACAAGCCCACCATAGCTTGATCCCTTGAAATTCATCAGCAATCTCTTCAGAACTATCTACGCTAAGCGCCAGCTTGGACTGACTGTTCTTCAGTAAATCGGCCTTCAGGCGCTTGGCCTGCGTTGATGAATGATAGCTCAGGTAGCTCTCGATGTCGGAGTAGAGTTCAGTGCGCATCAGATTTTCGCTGCAGAGTTCACTGAAACGGATTTGAACGTAAGGGTTGACGAAGGGGAGAGCCCTCTGGCAGTATTTCTCTAGAATGACGCGGAGTTGGTACGGCAGTAATCTTCTATACTGTCGAACAAGAGACCAAACGAACATCAAAGTGGCGATTAACGATCCCAGGTGAGTAAAACCATTCCATGGGTTCGTCCTGTTAAACGATTTGACTATACTCTTAGCTTTTGCCATGTTGATTAATGGGGGATCTTCTATTATTGATATTCAAAAGGTTTATATAGAGCACCATTAGCCGATTTCCATAGTACATAGGAGAGGAAGAATGTATTTCTTAATAGGTTACTGACTTACTGTATTCTTGAACCATAGAGGAATTCTATCTCTATGGTGAATTGTACTCTGATAAGGACTAGTCACTTTTTTCTATTAACATTAGGACGATAAGCTCCCTCTAACATTAAGGGCAAATCAAGAATTAGAGTATTATTAATTCAGAACAAAATTAGACAAGATGATCGTGTTTTAGCTGGGGGCGCTAAACCGCTTTTGATTTTCTTGTTAAACTGAAAATTGGACCAGTTAGGTTAGGTACCCTTATTGGCTTTCTTATAGGCTTCAATCATTTATGTGCTAATCAGTTCTGTCGAAACCACAAAAGTACTAGAAACTATGTAAGCCGAAACACTTCGTGCCTGAGAGTGAATTATATTTGCATACCTGTGCCAAACCGTTAGACGGTTTCACTTGCTCCTGACCAAAACCAAACTGTTCGAGATCCTTTAACGGTTTTGCTTAATCATTATCCTTTTAAGAGAAAGTGCTATAAAACATTTCCGGTTTCGAGATTAACCAAATCGAACTGTTTTGCCGGTATTAGTTTTAGCTGACTAAAGAATCCTAAATGAATAAAGCCAGCATTAGGTTTCTGTAGTTTCAAAACACTCACAATACTTAACCAAAAATATGATCATAAACTATTGATGCCAAACATACCTCATCCAACCATTCATCTCTTTTGTTCAATCATTAATACCTCATCTTATTTATCTGCTTCATTCGTCCCCTTTCTAACTTGGCAGCCTGTTGAGGTCATGGTTGTGAACCTATTCAGGCAAATTTCGGCATGTTCTTTAACAGCCTTCTGCATCAAACTATCAGCTACATCAGCAGGGCTACTCTTGGTCTTCTCGAGTAGACCTCGAACGACCTCAAACAGTGGGGTGATTGTCAAGTGTCAACGCTAGGGTAGTTCTTAGCAAGAACCTTAAACCATTTTAAATCATAGTTACAAAGCTCCGTTATGCTTATCTATCCTTCCTCCCCTGATCAATGCTTTGTCCAGCATCTCAACATGGTTCTTCGTAAATTTTATTACCTCTCCCCTCCACTTGCTGACCAGATCCCAAAAATAATATTCAACAAACCCAGAGTTTAACCATGCTCATCGAGTGTAACTTAGAATCATATGCATAAAATTAACTAAACGAAATTAATCAGTAAAATGAAAGAACTGTCATGTTATTGCAAATGGCATTTCTAAGTTAGGAGGCCCACATCCTTACGTTTTTAATTGCAATGCCATATGCATGTCAACTACACTTTCAGAATGGCAGACAATGGGCAGTAAGAGATAAGAAACTACATGTGCTGCTTAATTACATGGTTTTGGGAGCGGATACGGGTATTGGTACAGTCTGAATCGGGTATTGACCCAACGCATACCCTACCCTACCCGCCAAAATTTGCACCGGATAATACCCGTACCCATATCCGGGCAAAGCAGGCATTACCTGCATTGATCGGACAGGGTCAGTTAGAATACCCGTGAATCCTGGTTGGGGTGTCATTCCTTTTTGTCCGGTGCTTCCCTTGTTTACTTCTTTTGTTTCTTCAAGGTCAGTGATTCCTTTCCTTTTTTTTGAACACACAGTGGTTTCTTTCTCCTGATGCAGTTCTTTCGCCTCTTCTGGTCTCACATTCACTGCAGCAGTCTCCTGATGTAGTTCTTTCAACGATTCCGGTCTCACATTCACTGCATCTGCTTTCGGTCTCGCATTGGCTGCAGCAGCTTTGGGTCTCGCATTCACTGCAGCCGCTTGAAGGCTCCTCACCAGACTATTCAAGCACACCTCAGGATCCGGGGGGTGAGTTTTGGGCATCAAATGCTCTGCAACATCAGCCGGGGTAATCTGAGTTTGTTGCAGTAACTGGCGAATCTTGTCAAAGAGTTGGTGATCATCTAGCAGAAGGTAATTCTTTGCCAACCCTTTGAACGCATCGAAGCTGCAGTATGAAAGTTTAATGTGTTTATCCATTCTTCCTTTCCTGATGAGAGCTGGATCGAGTTTCTCGACATAATTGGTCGTGAAAATGATCAGTCTTTCTCCTCCGCAAGCTGACCATAGCCCATCAATGCAGTTCAAAAGTCCCGAAAGGGTGACTAAGCTTAGTTTGGGCTCACTGTCTTCCCTCGTTGGTTTCTGTTTCGCAACCTCTGCTTGCTGCCTCCGCTGACCAGTGAGGTCCAGAGAACAATCAATGTCCTCAATCACAACCACAGATTTGCTCGTTGTCTCAATTAGAAGCTTCCTCAGCTCGGCATTATCCTTCACGGATGTCAATTCAAGGTCGAAGATATCATAGCTGAGAAGATTGGCTATGGCTGCGATCATGGTGGACTTCCCAGTCCCTGGAGGACCATACAAAAGGTAACCCCTCTTCCAAGCTCTTCCTATTCTCGCATAGTACTCTCCCGCTTGGCTAAACGTGATCAAGTCTTCAAGAATTTCCTTCTTCTTGTCTGCCTCCAGCGCAAGGTTTTCGAATGTTGCAGGATGCTCAAGCATTACATATCTCCACTGTGGACCATTGTTAGTAAAAAGCTTCCGCTGCCGGTTTCTAACTTTAATTGCTTTTCCTTCCTTCATGATATAGCTCAAATATGGTCCAACGACGAGATCCCTGTGCTTCTTGTGGAAAGTCAGCGTGTAATACCTTTTCTCATCATTTTGGGCAGAAAGTGTTACGGTGTTGGCGATGGTCTTCCCGGATACCCACCATAGCTTGACCCCTTGAAACTCATCTGTGATCTCTTCATGCTCGTCTGCGCTAAGCACCACCTTGGACAAGTTGTTATTGAGTAACTCGCCCTTCAGCCGCTTGGCTTGCGTGGATGAATGGGAGCTGAGATAGCTCTCAATGGCGGAGTAGAGTTCAGGGCGAGATAGCCGGTTGGTCTTGAGTTCATTGAAAGTGATCGTGACGTACGGGTAGACCATGTAGAGAGCCCTCTGGCAGTATCTCTCTACAGTGCCTTGGAGTTGGTACCGGAAAAACTGTTGCAAAAGAGACACCACGAACTTAATAGTGGCGATCATTGATCGCATTCCCAGGTGAGTAATCATACTACTAGACCTTGGATTGATAATCATCGTGTTATTAATTGCTCTTCCCCTGCTGCCTAAGTTCTTTTGGAGTTCTCGCATTGAATCCATCATAGCTCGTGACATGTTGATTCGTATGGGTTAATCTTCTATTACTCTATACTCTGAAAGTGTTTATATAGAGTACCATCAGCCGGTTTCCAAAAGTAAATAGGAAGGATATTCCTTATCCAATACGGACAAGGCAACTTTTCCTCTCCTTGTAGTATCAGGACTACAAGTTTCCTACTAACAGTAGGATAAATCAACTTGACTACTTGAGGAAGAATTTTCAACACACTTATAAAAATTATTATGATTTTTTTATGTAAAAGCAAACTGATTTTATGACAATCTCCTACTGACTACCTTCCTGTCTTTTAGGTTTAACAGCCATAGCCGAAGAAGATAATGATCGAATTTTAGTTCACTAGAAGAACCTAAATAAACAACCCAGTAGGTCTCTTTGTAGTTCCAAAACACTGACACATGATTAACGCTAAACATAATAAGAAACCTCAAATTCCAAACCTAACTAACCCAAACTTATCCACCCATTATTTCCCTTCATTCAATCTGTCCTTTCTTCTTTCTCTGCTTCATTCACTTGTTCTGCACTTATGCTTCCTTACTCTGTTCTCCTTCCTTGGCAGTCTTACTTTCGAGGTCCTGAATCAACCTGTTCAAGCAAATCTCTGCATCTTCTTCCACAGCCTTCTGCATCAGACTCTCAGCTACATCAGCAGGGCTAACCTTGGTCTTCTCCAGCAGGCCTCGAACGACCTCAAACAGCGGGTGAGTCTCAATACTAAGGTAGTTCTTAGCAAGCACCTTAAACCCTTCGAAATCGCAGTAAGAAAGCTCGATATGCTTGTCCATCCTTCCCTTCCTGATCAATGCCTCATCCAGCTTCTCCACATGGTTGGTCGTGAATATTATAACCCTCTCCCCTCCACTAGCTGACCAAATCCCATCAATGATATTCAACAACCCAGAAAGTGTCACATTGCTGCTGCTCTCAGTCTCATCTCCACTCTCCAACTCCTTGTCATCACCACCACTTCCACCATCATCTTCTTTCTTCTCCTCTTCACTCTCACCCTTCTTGGTAGCCTTCTTCTTGGCCTTCTTCTTCTTTCTTTGACCTGTAATCTCAAGCGAACAGTCAATATCCTCTATAACAACAACCGCCTTACTCGATATCTCAATCAGTAGCTTCCTCAAATCCGAATTGTCCTTCACCGCAGTCAGCTCCAGGTCATAGATGTCATAGCTCAAGAAGTTCGCTATAGCAGCAATCATGGTGGTCTTCCCAGTCCCCGGCGGACCATAGAGAAGGTAACCCCTCTTCCACGCCTTCCCAATCCTCGCATAGTACTCCTCCGACTTACTAAACGCCAGCAAATCATCCATGATCTCCCTCTTCCTCGCCGGATCAATCGCCAGAGTGTCAAACGACGCCGGATGCTTGAACACAATATGACTCCACGACGCCGTACTGGAACCCGTATACGACTTCTTCGACCCGTTGGCGTAAAGCTTCCTCTGCCTGTGTTGCTGCGAGATGGCGTTGCCTTCGTCGACGACGTGCTTCAGGTAAGCCCCAGTGACGATATCCCTGTGCTTTCTGTTGAACGTCAGCTTGTAGACCTTGTCCTTGCCGGAGTAGCTGTGTTTCTGCTTTGAGCTCTCCTTGGACCAGACTAGGGTGACGCCGGCGAAGGTGTCGGAGACCTCCTGGTGGTCTTCGATGGTTAACAGCAGCTTGTTCTTGTTTCCCTTGTAGGAGTCGGCCTTCAGGGACGTGGACTGCTGGATGGACTTGGAGCTGAGGTAGTTGTCGATGGCGGCGTAGGCGGTGTTGCGGCGGTAGTAGAAGTCGTCGGAGTACTCGTGGAAGGTGATCTGGATGTACGGGTAGAGGAAGGCGAAGAGGGACTTGTGGAGGAACTTGCCGATGTGGTTCTGGAAGTCACGGGGAAGGTTTCTGTGGAACATTGTGCAGAGGAAGAAGAGACTCGGGAGGAACGAGGTCAGTTGGCCCAACATCTTTGCAAGTCTTGATCTTTATTTCTCTGCAATGGTTTCTTTCTGGTTTAGTGGTAAGTGAATTCTGGTGATGTTCTTGAAGTTGTTTGTAGTTTTATGCCATGGTAAGAGGTCAAGAGCATGAAATGCTTGTGGCTGCAAATATTTGTCAGAGATGGAAAAGCCACCAGAATGTTATGCTCTGTTTCATTCATCGGAATTGTATTTTCTTTGTACTCTGCTCTGTTTTGTGAACAAGTGATAACTGTAGTATCACGGTAACAATCATAGGACGTTGTTGGCATGGCTTCCATTTGTTAGAATTGCATTTTGCCAAGGACAGCATATGGTCACATGGTCCAATCCGGTTTGGTCTAAAAGCCGATCGGTTTGCAATTGGACCAATTGGTATACACTTCTAGCCAAAACCCTCATGATCAAATCTTGAATCGTTTTACCTTGTTACAATTTAGTTATCGCTCTCTTCTGTAATCTTGTTATTATTCTCTGAATCGCTAGTCTCAACAAAACTCGATTGTAGAATGATCAACAGAGCAATTAGAGTTACTGGATAGTAGGGCTGGCGGACGGTTTTCCGGTTAGTAGTTAACCAGACGGTTTCAACCGAACCGACCGGTTTTCGGCTAGCGGACGGTTTTTCGGTTAGTAGTTAACCAGACGGTTTCAACCGAACCGACCGCGATCCCAATAGCAGCGGTCGGTTGGCGGTGGGAAATATCATGGGTCCGGTTAGCCGACTAACCGTGGTCGGAAACCGACGGTTAACCGGCTAACCGACCCCCTTCCCTATCCCAAAAACGATGTCGTCCCAGGGTCCCTATTACCCTAATCCCAAATCGACCGACCCCTTCCCCCTTCACCATCGTCGCGCAGCCCAGCCCTTCCCCTTCCCCCTTCACCGCCGACGTTCCAGACCTCCACCATCCCTTCCCCCTCCACCATCGTCGCCGTTCCACCTCGCCGGCTCCACCTCGACGGAATCCAGAACGAAGAAGGTCAGAGAAGAAGAAGAATCTGCCTTGTCTATGCTCTCTCCTCCGCTCTCTCGCTCTCCTTCTCTGCACGAATCCGACGAAGAAGGAGGAAAGTCGGAGAACTGGATTGATGAAGCCACTTCGAATCCACTAAATCTACAATCACCCTTGCCGCGGCGTGAGTTCAGTCAGTGACCGAGACGCCCGATTTGTCACTCTCGGGTCGAGCTGCTGCCGCCGCCTCCTCTGTTCTTGCCGATGAACGCAGGGAGGGTAGGGATGCTTCTCCCCGGTTGCCGAATCTCCAATTGGCTATGGTCGGCCGGCGATTTCGGCGATGAAGAAGCAGAGTCTCGTTGGGACCTGGCAATTTTGGGAGAAGCAGAGAGTTGAAGCTGGGTATTTGGGGAAGAAGTAGAGGGATGAACTGAAATTGGGAATTTTGGGGAGAAGTAGAGAGACAGAATTGGAGATGTTGGCATAGATGGATTCTTTTCCACCTCGGTTTTGACCGGGTAAGTTGTTGAACCGAACCGTCTCCTTCTTTTTCGGTGGCGCCGGTGTAACCGTGCATTAACCGAAACCGCCCGGTCGGTTTGCAGCTAAAAGGGGCTATGGGGTCGGTCGGTGCGCGGTAGGCACTGGTCTGGTCTCGGTTTAACCGAAATCCGATTTCTCAGTTTTCGATTAAACCGAGACCAGACCGGTTGACAACCCTACTGGATAGAGCAACAACAGTCCTGTTTTATTTCTTTCATCTAAACAGAGATCAGTGACTTGGTTCATGAAATGAATCTAGCCTCCATGATCAAAGATACACATCCAAACTTTAATAAATTCTAACCAAAACGACCCATAATTTTCAGAGTCTCACCTGAACAATCAGAGTTACCACACTTCATCGTTTACCATTCCTCTTCCTTCCTTTCCCTGCTACCTCATCGTCTTCCGACGATGACTCACCACTCTCCGACGACGATTCGCCACTTGCACCGTCACCATTTTCCTCTCCATTCACTTCATCTTCTTCTTCCGCTTTCTTCTTTCCTTGCTTCTTCTTCTTCAACTTCTCCAGAACCTTCACCAACTCCCTCAAACAACTCTCAACACCTTCCCTCTCCGACTTAGGCATCAAACACTCTGCAACATCCGCCGGCGTGATCTCCTTCTCTCCCAATAACAACTCGATCCTGTCAAACAATTCATGGCCTTCCAAATCCAGATAATTCCTCGCCAGCAGCTTAAACGCCTCGAAGCAGCAATACGACATCTCGATATGCCGATCCATCCTCCCTCTCCTTATCAATGCTGGATCAAGCTTATCGACGAAATTCGTGGTGAAGACGATGATCCTCTCCCCTCCACACGCAGACCATATCCCGTCGATGAAGTTCAGCAGCCCCGAGAGCGTCACCTTACTCCCCTTCTTGCTCTTCTTCTCTTCCTCATCCTTCTTCTTCTCCACTGGATCCTTCTTCTTATCATCTTCCTCGCTACTACTACTGCTCTCTTCGTCACTACTGCTACTACTGCTTTCATACTTCTTCTCCTTCCTTCTCTGCCCTGTGAGATCAATCGAGCAATCGATATCCTCGATTATGATGATCGACTTGCTGGTAGTCTCAATCAGCAACTTCCTGAGCTCGGAGTTGTCCTTCACTGTGGTTAACTCAAGATCGTAGATGTCATAGTCCAACAGGTTCGCCATTGCTGCAATCATCGTCGATTTCCCAGTTCCAGGCGGGCCATACAGAAGGTAGCCCCTCTTCCAAGGCTTCCCGATCTTAGTATAATACTCCTTCCCCTTACTGAACTTGATCAGATCATTCTTGATCGCCTCCTTCTCGTTCTCCGCCATAGCCAGAGTCTCGAAATTTGCAGGGTGCTCGAACTGGACATGACTCCACTTCGTCGACTGGTATTCGTACCAACTGTCGCTAGGATTGTTAGTATAAAGCTTCCTCTCCCTGTTCCTCACCGCGATCGCCTTCCCTTCCTTCAAAACCTTGTCGATGTACGATTTGGTAATGACGTCTCTATACCTCTTGTGGAAAGTCAGAGTATAGTACCTCCTCTCCTCTGTCTTCGGGTAGAACGAGAAGGAGGGCCTTTTGGGGGTGTTCTTGTTGGAACTCCACCAGATTTTGATCCCTTGGAACTCCTCCATCACCTGCTCGTGGTCGTCCATGGTGAGGACGAGGGACTTGCTGCCCTTCACGACGTCGGCCTTCAGGCGCTTCGCGGTGGCGGTGGTGTGGTCGGCGAGGTAGTTCTGGATGGCGAAGTAGGCGTCGCTGCGCTTCAGCTTCTCGCCGGTGAGCTCGTGGAAGGTGATCTGGATGTAAGGGTAGAAGTAGGTGACGAGCTTCTGGGTGTACTTGTGGGCGTGGCCGCGGAGTTCGTATGGGAAGTACTGCTGGAACATTGCGTAGATGAACATCAGGCCGGCGAGCGCCGAGCCTAAGCCGCCCCACCATGTCTGATCTCCTCCTCCTACGGTGGCCATTTTGGGGAAGTGGGTTGTGGTTATGGAGCTCTTATTTGTTGAAATGGAGGGTGTTTAAGTAGTACGGGAGAGTTGGGGGTTCTTTTACTTGGGGGCTAAGGTAAAGAAGAGGAGAGCAGCAGATTCCACCATGGCTGCTGCTGCGCTGCTGTTTGTTTGCAGTTTTCTTGCTTTTTAAAATGAAGCTTGGGAGCCACGCAGGGGATTTGGGTCCCTCTCAAGGTAAGAAATTCTACAGAGTAGGTATTTTCGCATCATCAATATCAAATAATTATTTTATGCAAAGGGGACAAAAGGTCCAATTATGTTAAGTTGTAGAGGAGAAATAAAGCTTTCCAAGTTTTGAATTTTCCGTTCATTTTGTGTTGCATGATTTCAGGAAAATTTTACAAGACTTGACTTAATTACTGGGTGGATCATGTTACTAATGTTTGGGGTGATTGTTGATTGTTAATCTGGAGGTTATCATAATTCATAGGATGAATTAGTCCTCCTCGACAATTCCTCTTCGGTAGTATGTAAAAAAATGTGTTTGGAGTAACTAACAATCAATAGTATCTATTGATTTAATGGAATTGTTGATAATAATTGCTATAAACACGTAATAAGCGATGTGGACGACCCTTAAACTCATGCTCAAATCAAATTCAGTACTCGACTCCATTTGAATCGAGATTACCTTAAGGTTCAATGACCCATTAATTAACCACCCCTTGATTACCTCCCCAGTGCACATGTCAAATGGTAACGCGTGATTAAGACCACGTAATCATATTTCCCTGTGAATGATTAAGACTTAATCACTACTTTAATCATGCTAGTATAGTCTTCCAACAATTGTTCTGTATGATCAGTTGAAAACCTGCATCGTGATGATGAAACCATGATCAAATCAAGACATCACAATCCAGGGAGAGAAAGCAAACCTGAATTAATCAGAACCTTCCTACAAAGAATGCAACCAGTGAGTCATATATAACATCTTTGATGGGTTTTCTTTTCTCCTATCAACAGTCAGTAGGAAGAGGGTATTGACAGTATCTACTGTTCTTCATACACAGAAAAAACCTCTCGTAAGCAGCCGCCATCTTCTCCGCAGTAAACATCGACCCTGCATAATCCCTGCACGCCATCCCCTTCCTCTGCAACACACGAACCCCGTCTCCAATCACCACCTCAAGAGCTTCGACCAGCGACTTGACGTTCGGCGAGAACGTGTACCCGAACCGGTCGTCCACCACCACCGTGCCCGTAATGCTGGGGTAATTGGGCGTCACAACGGGCTTCCCGCAGTGCATTGCTTCGATCAGAGTCAGGTCCAGCCCCTGCGGTCTCATCGTAGGGTTCACGAACACGTCGATCGCGTTGTAGAACTGTGACAGCTGAGATGGTTCCAGTGCGCCTAGCACTTTCACGTTTGGACCCAGCTCGGCGTACCTTCTTCCCCAGGGGCCTGATCCGGCCACCACCAGGCAGATTCCGGGGTACCTCGAGATCAGCGACGACATCGCCTCGTGGAGGATCGGGTGGCCTTTGTCACGAACCAGCCGGCCTGCCACTCCCATTACCAGAGTCGCGTTGCCTGAAATTTTTCATAGGATGAACAACCATGAAATTACTTGATTAGTATCCTACACTAAACTTGATAGTACGCGACAGATAAAAACGTCAAACTCAAATACATAGTTAGAAGTATCACATCAGCAAAGATGATGCAGTGTTTCGTATTAATGAAACGAAAAACCACTAAGTAAAGATTACGCGTCATGAGGGAGTAATTAAAGTAATTAACCCAAATTTGCCTGCCTGGAATGCCGTATTTCTCCCTGAATTCCTCCCCTGCATCAGGATTGTAAGTAAATTTGGAATCATCAACACCATTGAGAATCACATGGACATTCCTCTGCGGTAGCTGGTAAATCTTCACCAGCACCTCGCCGGCGCTATTACTGATACAGATGTGCTGCTTGTAGCTCCTGAAAAACCTGATCTCGTCCAGAAGCTTCGGCATGGCCACAGCAAGCTCCGCCGCTGCCGGAGTCGCCCCCGCCAATTCCCCTCTTGGATTCTCAAACAGCTCCTCGAACAGCTTGGAGTGCATGATCTCGTACCAGATCCCGTGCCACGTCACGGCCGTGTTGGGCACCGCCTTGGCCCGCCAGTGCGGCAGCGAGACGCTCTCCGTGTGCACGTAGTCGAAGGGGCGAGCGGCGGCGTTGATTTTGTGGAAGATCTCGAAGGCGAGGGAGCAGTTGACGGATCCGTGGTCGTTGGCGGCGAAGTAGACGTGGAGGTTGTTGTCGTGGATTTCAGGGTGTGGCCGGCGGTCGGAGGGGACGGTGAAGACGTGGATCTCGTGGCCCTTGTCGGCGAGGGCGCGGTAGAGGGTGGCGGCGTGGCGCTCCATTCCGCCCGGGTTGGCGCCGATCGGCCAGGTTTTGGAGAAGACGGCGAGCTTGAGCTTGTCTGATGTGGTGGTGGGGCCGAAACAGAGCTTGTTCCAGGGGAAGTTTGCGTCGCGGAGGTCGCCGGAGAAGGGTTTTGCGGCGGAGGGGAGGGAAGAAAAGGAGGAGGAGGGGGAGTGGAATTGGGTAAGTGGGGAGAGGAATAGGAAGAGGGAAGTGAAGAAAATGGCTGCCCAGGTGATGAATTTGGAGAATTTCATGGGGATTCGATTGTGGCGAGGAGATGATGAAACGTAAGTGGGTCTCGAGCTATGGTGCTTCAAGCCCATGGCTTTGGTATGGAGAATGAATGATTTTTGCACCCAGGGATTAATTGAGGGTGGGGGGAAGAATGGGGTATTTGTCAAAGGTTCACTTTGCGTCTCTTTTGTCCCTTTTTCTTCTTCTTCTTCTTGCTTGCTTTGGTCCGCCATTAATGGCGGATCTCCTCGAGTTCTTGCAGAGCAAGAAGGTGAGGCACATGGGATGGTTGGAATTTGTTTGACTCTTTTTGTTTAAGAAATTGCAGTTTTCAGAAACCCAAGGCAATCTGCCATGGTGCATTGAATGGACTAATCAATCTAATTGACTTTTCTTCTATTGATGGAGCAAGTTTTAGAGGGATAATTGCAGTGTACAGAAGGTGTGAAGGATTCCCCTTTTCTGGGTTTGGTGATTATGGCGCCACTTTAACGGCTCCTTCAAAGTGATGAGAAGAAGCTGTCATGGCACGTTAACATTCATGGTCCGGTCCAATGGGCCTAGGCCTGGGCCCGGGCCCGGACCCTGCCTCTCCATGATTGTATATTGATAGCCTTGATTACCAAATCTTGACTAAACGTTAAGTAGAATGCCATAAGATCACGTATATGGTAGATATTAAAGCAAATCACCTCAAAACTAGTCCAGAATGAAAGTGGATCGAAAGTAGTATTCATGATCAGCATGTCACGACTATTAGAGATGGCAACGAGTTGGATTGGTATTGGATAATGCATATTCGTTATCTTATTTAAAATAATTTGGATTTTATTCATATAAGAATCAGTTAGAATATTGAAACAATACTCATATTCAATCGAATTTTTGATATATACGACTATTCTGAAATAATAATTTCTCTTTATAACTTCAACCAATATGTTAACAATTAAACATACATCGACGTTACACAAATGAAAATTACAACAGTAAATAACTAGGACGAATAAAATGAGTTAAAACAATACAATTTCATGCAAACATTATATATTTATGATAAACATTTAATATGTTTAGAAAATAATGATAATTTTCCAAATAAAATATATATGCATTGTATAATCAGGTGGGTTCGAGTAGTATAGTGAGAAAACCATGCCTACTCATCACCCTATATTCGAGTTCGGATTTATACATACTTATTAAAATTCATTCTCTCCCTATCTGATTAGGCTGAATACTACAAATACGTATTCCATTAGGTATTAACTCGAATTTAAAAATTAATATATTGAATTTAGTTAATTTACCAGTAGAATAATTATAAGAAGGTAGCTTGGTGTTGCACATTGTGATCTACATATTACCCCACCATCTCCAATCTCCTTGTTGACATTATTCCACTACAAAGCCTTATGTAAACCCCCAATCTCAAGTACATTATATGCATCTTTGACCATATATACATCAATTTGCCTTTCACGAATCATACTCTGCCCTTATTTCCCATTCCCACAAATAATCTCACATCTCTTGCAGCTCGCCGCTGCCCCACGACGCAGGGCAAAACGTGACCACATACTCCTTGGCGTCACATTTCACCAGCGGCGGCGGCGAATCAAACGCGTAGCTGTAGTAACTCGGGCAAGCATCCTTGAACAACCTCGAGTAGACGCTCGGCCGGCACTTGGCCGGCGCGCCGTACTCATTCCTGCAGCAGAACGCGTCGTTGTTGAACGCCGTGCAAGCGCTCTTGCAGGCCACGACCCGACCCGACCCATCCCGGCTCAGCACCTGGAGCTCCGGCGGGCAGCAATCGTTCAGGTTCCTGACGCATCCGCCGACGGAGCACTTGGAGGAAAGGGGTTTGCTCATGACGGCGACGGGGAGATTGTAGCCGTCGACGAGGCTGACGTCATAGTAATTTGGGCTGGCCTTGTAGCCTTGGAGGGTGATTTCGACGAGGGTCGCCGGAGGGGTTCCGATCAGGCCGTTGCATTGGAGCCGGCCGTCGCAGTCCCCTGTTTCGCAGGCGGGTTGCCAGTTGGTCCGATTGGAGGCAGGGGTGGGTGGGAAGTTGCAGCCGGTTCGGGCCCAGATTCGGCCCGACCAGTCCCATGGAGCGATTATGCGTTGGGTTGAACCGGACGGGAGGGAGAAGCCGCCGTCGGCGATGACTGGGTGGCCGGCGTTGGAGGCTGTGGCTGGCCAGATTGGGAAGGGGCATTTGTTGTGTACGTAAAATGTGACTTGGTGGCCCAATGCTACCCCTGTAGATTAATGACCAATTTAGTTTGCAAGAAACCAACATTAATTAGCAAGTGAGTAAAAACTAAGATAAGGAATTTTCTATCATTTGACATGGTACTATGCTTTTTCTTTAACTACATGAAGAAAATTTGCTAATCAAGATAGGGTAAGAATCTTGATTTGGATTTATACAAATACTTGATTATTTTAATGGTTACGTCATGTTGACTTTCTTTTCCTATTTTCAACTAAAAAAAATAATATTAGTAATGTAATCAGAGTTATGCACGATCTATCGCACTGTTCTTATGTGGTGAGGATTTTTTTTTTTTGTTGTTGTCAAAATTCAGGTCAATCTAACTCACTCGAATGATGAACATCTCAAGTATGCAATACATTAGTTTTGGTCGTATAGATAGAATTCAGAGAGTATATTCAGTTCGATCATCAATAGGCCATACATGAATACGTTCTATTTGTAATCAATGAAAGTTGTTGACAACTTGACATGATAATTTCGAAAATAATCAACCATCAATAATAAAAACTCAGGCAAAAAAGGTTCAAAGTAACAAGAGAATCCACTATGGGCCTAAATTTCAAATCATTCCTAGCAACATCATGAAACGATCAAAGTAACACTCCGTCTCTCCACAAGAAGAATGAAGTGGCTGGTGAATGAGGCAGTAAGTGATCAAGTAAACCAAGAAAAATGGCAAATGGAGAATCGTTGAGCACGATTAGTTACCAAGGAGGTGCAATTGGATGGAGAATATGGAGGCAATGAATCCAATCTGCTGCAGCTGCTTCATTTTTTGAGGGGCAATGAGGAGGAAGAAACATAGAAGAGACTAGAGAGGTCGTGTATATATAGGGTATTCTAAATCCGGGTCATTAAGACTGTACAAAATTCCATTTTTGGGCATTGCTTTGGTCCTGAATTGCAGTTCACTCGAAAGACCAGTTACCCTCCCTTCAAAGAAAAACATCCCCCAACCAAAGGTTATTTCTAGTTAAGGTGGATTTGTGGAGCCATTCAGATTCTGCCATCTAACTTTGTTTAAGGTAAACTACTACCGAGGAGGTGGAGCCAATCAAGTTCTGACATATGCATTTGTTTAAGGTAAACTACTACAAGGGAGATCTATAACTTCGACGGAAAGGGGAACTACAGACTCTGTAATCAGGTTTTGCTTCGGTTAAAAGGAAGCACGCATGGTTTATGGGCATTCCTATGGCGGTAGCTTTCTTTTATCTTTTAAGAATAATTCGGCACAAGACTGTTAAGGTTCAGAAGAGCAAATTTGCAACGGTCTAAGCAAGGGAAACTGCAGAGGTTAAAGTACCAAGCTCAAATGCAAAACTTGAGCTACAACATGGATGATATATCGTGTTTGCTTAGCATAAACAAGGACAAAGGTATATACCGATATGCCGTGGAATACTTTCAGAACGATTTTGAAGGATGGATTGCTAAGCTTGTTCCAACTGAAGTGTTGAGAGTTGCAGACAAGGTTGTCAACCTGCACGTTGACCTAGAGCCGGTCGAGTTAGTGGGTCAAGGGTTAATGGGTAAACCGTTTTAGCGCGGTTTGACTCGGAAATATAGAAAAAAATCATTATATTGTACTTATCCTCATAAATTATATCAAATCTTATCTAACATGACTTTTAACATATAATATTACACCAAAATAACATATCGTACTTAGATCCAACATATAGTGAAAATTCACACACACTTATATAACATAAATATTCAAATGTTCAACTTAGGATTCCAAAGATTGAGTTAGGCGAAAAGAAAAATCGAAAAAAGGCGCATTTCGCAAACCAAAGAAAAAAAGGGTAAATTGCAACGTTAGTCACTGATATTACTAAAAACGTTCATGTTTAGTCACTGAAAATATTTAATTCCATTCATGGTCACTAAATTTAGTAAAATCGTCCAAGTTTAGTCACTCTCCGTCCAACTCCGTTAATTTTGTCTGATGTGGCAGTCAACTCTCAAAGTTGACCGTTAAATGTATGACGTGGAAATAAAAAATGAAAAATAAAAAATTTAAAATTGCCACCTCATTTATCACTACCGCTAAAATAAAATAAAAATTAAAAAATTATTAATTCTAATTCTCTTACTCCACCTCACTACCGCCTCCACCGCATGGTCCTACTCCTACAGCCCCTCCCTCTTTCTTCTACTCCTCCTCTCTTGTCCTCCGCCTCTGTCCTAGCCTCTACTCCGTCCTCCGCCTTTGTCCTCTCTCACATAGTCACCGCCGCAGTCGCCGCCGTATGCATCGATTCCATCGATTCAGCGCGTTGCTCCCACCAATATCTGCTAACCTCTCCACCACTCTTCTGAACGGCCGACTCTGTGAAGGATGATTAATTTTTGAATGCTTGAACGCGGCTACGGCTGGGCTGTTGAATCGAGGGTTTTCCGATTACGCTTCTGTGAATGCTAATTGGGACTTGACGATGATCCCAATAATCATCTCGATTTGGTTGGTGTTGGATCACCGACCCTCCATCTCCCGCTGCTCGCTATCGCATCTCCTTCGTCGCGGCCGGGACTGGGGATTTTTGAAGGCCAGAATCTCGAGTGGCGATGAGAGAAAGGCGTGAGGTTAGTTTGCAGGGGTGGTAATCGCCGTTCTCAAAGCGGCAATCTAAAAGCCTAAAGCAAATCGATTCCCTCTCTCCGTCGCTCGAATCCCTCTCTGGCTCTCTCGCGTCGGATGCAACTGAATTATTATTGTTAATATGAGACGCGCCGCCACCGCCGAAAAATGTACTCGCCATCGATGGGTTGCCGAAGCCGTTGGATGATGCAAAGGAAGCCAACTGATCGTACGACGGTCGGGGAGGGTTGCTCTGCTGCTTCCACGTAGAACAGGGGCTTCATCTGGTTGATGATTTGGAACTGGCCGCCGCTAGGGTATTTCGCCACGGGGGTTGGGGCAGGTAGCAGGTGGCAAGGAGGGTTGGTAGTGAGTTGGAAATTTTAAAATATTAAATATTAATTTTTTAATTGCCACGTGGCATATTTAACGGTCAATTGTAAGAGTTGACCGCCACATAAGCAAAACTTAACGGAGATGAACGGAGAGTGACCAAACTTGAACTCTTTAACTAACTTTAGTGATCACGAATGAAATTAAATATTTCGAGTGACCAAACATTAACGTTTTTTGTAATCTCAGTGACCAATAATGCAATTACCCCAAGAAAAAAATGACACAATTTAACCTCTAACCCGGTACCTTATAGAGGTCGGCCCGGCAGGTGCGTATGGCCCATTTTTCTCACCAGGTCAGGGTCAAAGTAGGTTGACCCGCGGGTCAACCCGCAAGTTGACAGCCTTGGTTGCAGACAATATCGGAATGTGAATTAACTTTACAGACTACGGAGGCAATGAAAAGTGCATGTACAAGTACAACAAAGTGTAAAATTGAGCTAATTCAATACAGATTGATCAAAATGAAGCAGCCATTTAACAATACAAAGGAGTTCACAACCAACATAGCTACCATCTATAATTACAACATCACTTCTTTCCGGTATGGATAGGGCGCTAATGACAGCAAACGCACCAACGTGGCATTCCAAACGCTCAATTCCGAAGAGGAATTTTATTCACCAATACATGTCGACAACCTGGACTTGATCTTGATGAATATTATCCGGTACCAGTTCTTGCAAACCCATATCCCTTCGATAAACTGAAAGCTAGCAAATTGACAAACAAACCCAACCATAAAGCATTCATGAACCAGAAGCCACAACATGGAGCCACTCTGGGTAGAGACGTTGACAGGGCTCCGTTCTTCGCTAGATTTGAACCAGAAACAAACCCTTACAGCGAGACTTCATGTTAAAAATACAAATTATTTTATCTGCTCAGAATATGAATGTCTCTTCTCATTGACTTTCTGTGAAAATCTCTGAAGTCTGACATGTGTTAATTTTGATTCATTACTCATCAACGCAGAACAAATATGGATTCAAAAACTCAGTAGGCCAAAAAAAAAATTCAAAACTACAATCAGAAAAAAATTGCTAAGTAAAATCAGAGCTCTCATCACAACTTTGAAAAGTATGTCTGCTCATGCAATTGTCAGAATAGCGTATATTGCCCACTAGGGGCAGGTAATCACAGAGCCCACAAAACAGAGAAAGAACAAACCTTTGGAATCAGATGCAGAGAGGAAAAGACTTAAAATGGTGAAGAGATCAGACTAAGAGTAAAATTAAATTGGATGTCCGTCACGGTTAAATCAGAAACACGGACCAATTGTTCTTCATCACATCTCTCCACCATCAAAATCAAACGCCCGGAAGAAAAATTCAAAACAAAAAAAAAAATGCTAACAGATTTGAATAGTTGGCTATCATCAGAGACTTAAATACATCGGTAATCACCGGAGATATTTCTCCGATCATATTGTTGCAGTATTTTTCTCATCACCTGACCGCTCAAGAACAACAACCCAAACACAAACGGAAAACCAACTGAGAGCGGAGAAGAGAACCCAGTATCGAGAAAGGAATTAAAATGGAATCTATCAGGAACACAGCAGCTCCGGCGATCGGAAGGAAGCACGATAAAATACTTGGGGAAAACAGAAAGGAGAAGCGCGGCAGTCTGCAGGGAATAGATGGAACCAGGAACTTTTTATATAAGCAAGAAGGGAAGGAGAAACCCTAGTGCTCCCAGGGTAGGGTTTCATTCTCCGGGCCGTCAGGGGTGGGGGAGCATTTCTTCAAATCTGGGCCCCCAAAAGGAGGAAGAGCTATGGGCCAGACATTGTTGAGCTTGGAAGCGTATTCTTTATTTAATGATTCCTGATGGGCTCACTAAGTAATGTAGCCCATGAGAAGGTCCAGACGTCCACGATCTGTTTATGTGATCTCCCCACACCCCAGAATATATTTTTTTTTTTTTGCAGGGTTTAGGGAATCATACCCACCGGCAATGTAGTCAAAAGTGAGATTCTACCTAGAAGCGGAAAATGGGTAAAATCGTAAAGCGTAAAATCAAAGCGTAAAATCGTAAGTTTTTTACGCATAAACGCATGCTATAAAATAGCTAAAATTTTCTGTTTAGTACGACACATACTATGTAAAATATAAGTATACGTAATTTAGATAATTTAATAAGCACCTGCAAATCATGTCTAAAGTAGAGAAACTTATAGCATCTTAACAATAAATTCATAAACATTGATCTTAACTATAAGTCACCTTCCCTTTATGCTAATGAATTTAGGAAGGGCCTAGCTGGTGAATTAGATTACTCTATTGAAACTAAGAGTGCATCCAAATACATTGTATGTATCTTTTTAATCTGAATTTTATCATATTGTTGGTGATTTAACTTTAAACTATGCTTTTTGTAATTAATTTCATGAAAAAAATACTTATTTGGTGAAGTATAAGCGTGAAGCGTTTTGGTGAGCTAGAAGCGTAAAAGCATAAGCTTTTAAGCTTTAAAGCGCAATTTAGTCCAATTTTATAAACTAAATATTTTATATAGAAACGAAAGCGATTTGGTGTCCTAAAAGCGTAAAATCGTAAGTTTTTTAGTTTTAAAACGCGATTTTAACTGCATTGTCGACCGGTCGGATCAGAAATATCGGATATCAAATCCAATGATAGGCTATTGTCGACCGGTCTTGCTTTTTCTATACGGATGCGGGATGTTAGAAAGAAGGGACAATTAGGTACGAAACAAAAAGGCTTTGTAGCAAACAAACCATAAAGCATAGAGGACGAATAGTAGGGGTGGAAAATGGTGCGATTTCGGTTAATCGCACGGAATAACGCGATTAATCGCAACCGCAAAAGGGGAAAATCACCAACTGCAAACAGTTAGCGGTTAGTTTCGGCTAACCACAATCACCGTCTACTCATATATACTAGACTAAATCTTCAGAGTTCATATAGTCTATGACATGATTAACGTCATTTCGTTCAGATTTTATGATAGATATTAGAGATAAAAAGACGTAAATAATCCATCAAAGTTAAAAATACACATGGAGACTAAACTAGATCAATTGATACTCACACTAACGAAATTCACTTATTTGGTGCGGTTAATTAATTTGTTATTCGGTGCGTTTTGTTGTTAGCCTACAAATCGCAAATGGTCCAATTTAGCTAACTACACCCGCATAAACCTCCTTTAAACGGGTTTTGGTAGCCGCAAATCGCACTTATTCGGTGCGGTTTCGGTTTGACCGCAACTGTCCCCACCCTCCTAACGAACAGGATGAGAATTGGCGGGTTTGAAGCAGATTTCGCCAAATGCTTACTTGTATTGGATCCCTTTGTCATATCAAGACTCAAACTAATATCTAATTGATTATATTATAACTGACTGTGATTCATACTTCTACAGTTCTGTTGGCCCATTTCAATGGAAACTGGTGGGGTACTTTTAACTAGTTTGGACCGGGTATTACTGGCTTGAAGTCAGTCGTACGTTAAGGAGTGTAATTTGGGTTTGAACATTTGATGTGAAAGTATAGTGTGTGTTTTCAATTGTTAGGCGTGGACTAATGGGGTGACTTGTTTACTGTGCTACTTTGTTTGTTATATTTGAAAAATCAAAATTTTGGTGAATTTTATATTTGAAATAATTGTGATCGATTTGGATGATTGTGGATTTGAACCATTATTGTTTGTTTGTTAAATGTGATGATTGATTTTGTTCAATTGGATTTATGTGTTTAACAGTTGATTTGTAATGCCGCCATCTTTAACAGATAAAATACCTGTAGGCATAAAGGAGTAAAATTTCATACAATGGGTTTAGGAACTATGTCGAATCCCACATCATAGGAAGTATTCTCGGAATCCACGGGTCCAAAAAGGATTTTTGGATTCGTAATTAGTGCCGTGGTCTCTTTCTTTGTTGCAAACACACAATGAATTTTAGCAAATGTTTGACGGGCAAGACTTCTATATTTGACCACCATTCTACCAAATCCAACACGCAATGGTTGTTTAGACAATCGGATGGAGATTTGGATATAGAGTTTAACATTATGACAAATGTAATGGGAGTGATATGTTTATATTTAAATTGTTTGAATGCACATTTTTCAGAATATGGACCGTTGGGACATGAAATTGCACTTCAAGTGTACAAATATTTTTCCTTTTGACAAAAAAAATTGATAAAAATGGACCTTTCTAATTCCAGTAAGTGATGGAACATGGACAATATATCTACATATCATCGTTTTACCATAAATTGAAACAAGCAATGCATAACCATTTCCTTATTGTCTAAAAAAAACACATCCAATTGTCAAATTTTGGATGATTATCATCAATGGCCGGATGATAACATCATATGATTTGACACGATCATTTCTTCTTAGCAAATAACCAAAGGTTATCTCATTGGCGCTAGCTACAGTGTACGGTAAGGTTCTCAAATTTTGTTGCTTTGCCGATCGAGACAAGGCAAAATTGAATGGCCATTAGGTATCAAAACCCTACAGTGCCCAATTATTAGATCGTTAATATTTTTTTATTTCTGAGTGATATCAATGGAAAATAATAGTTAAGCTTACAATTCTACTCAGGACCCCCTAAAAGACTCTAAAGAAGCCACCCTTAATAATCAAAAGATTCTAGCTCTACACGAGACAAAAGCAATGCTTTACGCGCCACTCTATGGGCAGCACTGTTGGCGGATCTAGATACCGCCCTAAACTCTATACAAACAGGCAAAGAGCTAAGGATCTGAAGATACTCTCATAAAACCGGACCACCAATCGAATCTTCTTAGATCGTTAATACCTAAGCCACATGAAATTGGCATATATCGACGAACCCAACCGAAGTCCCCCTCAAGAACAGGACAGGAGCAGCAGCATGATTCTGTTTCCTTTTTCGGTTCATTGTTCCATCAGATTGAATTTAAGAGTTTTTAAGACCCTCTAACCCCAATGTTCCCTAGGTTTCTCAGTCCACAAACGTAACATTCCTTCGCTTTCAACGCTCCAGTAGTTTGGTATATAGCACAATGGAAGGGAATTGTATTGTATCATCAATTATTCAATACCACCTTACATGCAAACCGATTGGTTCAATGGCAATGGCAAGATCGGCGGGCCAATCCAAGTTATAGGGGATGCTCAACTTTGTTGTCGAACTTGCTATGTGTATGATATGATCACTTATATATGATGCAAGTGGAGGGACAATTTATTCCGTGTGTTAGCTAGCTGCTGAGTTGTCTTTAGTTCGCATTTTGTTAAGTCATTAAATGACAAATCGAGCTACCTAATTGATGGCACGACAAGTCCTACAATAGTATGGTTTTGTTAGTTATGTATATGACTTCACATATGTGGTTTGTATAAGAGTTCTTAAAGTGTACAAGTTGTGACATCTTTGACCTAGAAAGGATATTAACGGCAAAAGGAAGGAAAATAATCGAGCCAAGGCCTTCATCGAATGGTACATGATCTTAATTAATTATCATCGTCGTGATAATTTGATGGGACGCATCATTAACAATCTTGAAATTCCGTCTACGAACTTTACATCTTCGTTCTCTAAAGCCAGAGAGATCGAAATACACTTTTTCACCGAATCAATAACAATATAATGAAACCCAACGCACGTCATAGAATTAGGATCATGTATCGTAAGGTTAAAAGTGAGTCTGAGTGCCAAGCTTAACCAAATTATCAAACTATATGGTCCTGGAACACCAACTAATATATTTTATACAAACTCATTAATTCCATCGAACAATTACATAATATAATCGTACTAATCGGCAATCGCCCTTAATTTTTATAAAATCAAATGGTTTATTAATTCCCTATGTACCGTTTGTTTCCACACTGTTAAATACGATCGAATATTTTCCCTAAGCACGAGGCCATGCACCCTATATATATATACCCCTCTAACAATGTAAGCAAATCCCCCACAACAAGGCAACACTCTCACCGCCCACTTCTCTCTCCACCACCAGAACCCAAAACAGCCCGGAAAAAAATGGCGGCAAAATCAAAAACCTTCCCGCCGGTGGAGGACTGCCCATCCATCGGCAGAGAGAACGACACCGTAGTAGCTGACATGGATGGAACCCTCCTCTGCGGCCGCAGCTCCTTCCCGTACTTCGCCCTCATCGCCTTCGAAGTCGGCGGCGTCCTCCGCCTCCTCTTCCTCCTCCTCGCCTCCCCATTCGCCGCCGCCCTCTACTACTTGATCTCCGAGTCTGCCGGGATTCAGGTTAGTGACGGAATCAGAAATCTAAATGAGTAACTGATTTTGAATTTCGATAATTGAGAAGGGAACTAAGGCATTAGCAACTAATCTATTTCGTAAATCTTTTCAAATTTTATATATAAATTATTTGTATTTTAATATAGCCTCTCCTGAATATAACCTAGCTCCGCCACTCATCCAGGTGCTGATCTTCGCGGCCTTCGCCGGGGCCCGCGTGGCGGACATCGAGTCGGTGGCGCGGGCCGTGCTGCCGAAGTTCTACTCGGGGGACCTGCACCCGGACACGTGGCGGGTGTTCTCGTCGTGCGGGAGGCGGTGGGTGCTGACGGCGAACCCGAGGATCATGGTGGAGCCGTTTCTCAAGGAGTTTTTGGGGGCGGATGTGGTGATGGGGACGGAGGTTGGGGCGGTGAGAGGGCGGGCGACGGGGTTTGTGAAAGGGCCGGCGGGGGTTCTTGTTGGGGTGAATAAGGCGGATGCGTTGATGGCGGCGGTTGGTGGAGGAGGGGCGGTGCCGGAGATTGGGCTCGGTGACCGGAAAACTGACCATCCTTTCATGCAGCTTTGCAAGGTAAGGTTTGAGTCACAATAAACTCTCTAGCACAGTGACCAAATACTCTTATCTCACCTAGGACAAAGGCGAATTTTTTTGGCTCCGTCAATCAATAACGGAGTCGGAAGTTAAAATTAGATGCGTTCTTTTTCCATAATATACATTACTGTAGTAGGGAATTTTGATTTTAGTGTATATAAATTAATGTTATGGTAACTCAATAACAACGAGCACTTCTACTATGCTATATAGTATTGGTGCTTTAATGTACAACTTAAAGTTGTACCATAACATTAAATGTATAAGTTTAGGTCGTACCATAAAGCAATTTGTACCATTATGTTATGGTACAACTTTACAACTTGAAGTTGTACCATCACATAAAGGTACAAGTTCAAGTTGTACCATAAAAGAATTTGTACAAAAAGTATAAGTACAATATGAAGTTGTACCATAACATAAATGTACAATTTTAAGTTGTACCATAAAGGCAAAAACCTATAGCATCTATACTATATAGCATTGTAAAATTTCTCAATAACAACATATGAGATTTAATACAATGACAATTCGTATATCAAATGAATTTTCTATGACTTGAATAAGCAAATAAAGAGATTTATTATTTTTACCAAAACTTATAGTCTGAGTGACTATTGGAATATTATGACTTATTAGTAATCTCAAAAATCCTATTATAAATAAAATTTTCACAATTTTAACGATATTATTTAAATATTGATTATACAGAAAGTGACTACCATAATGACAAGTCTAATTATTGAAAATTAACCTTGTTATTATCTCAATAAGTTATTTCTTGTCAATTGAACATATGAACATTGTTACATCTAACAAACAAAACATATGATCATTATTGTCACCGTTATAAACTTATAATACCTTGTTATTATCTCGAATACTTTAATTTTATTCCAAAATTTCCGTTATACATTTGTGGGGTTTCCTTGGAACAGGAAGGATACATAGTTCCACCAAAGTCAGAAGTCAAACCGGTCCCCGTTGACAAACTACCAAAGCCCATCGTCTTCCACGACGGCCGGCTGGTCCAAAAGCCCACTCCCTTAGCCGCGCTCTTCATCGTCTTATGGATCCCCGTCGGCTTCCTCCTGGCCTGCGTTCGCATCGCCGCCGGCTCGCTCCTCCCCATGCCCCTCGTCTACCACGCCTTCTGGGCCCTCGGCGTCCGCGTCCACGTCAAGGGCAGCCCGCCGCCGTCCGCGAAATCCGGCGAACAGACGGGAGTCCTGTTTATTTGCTCCCACCGCACTTTGCTCGACCCGATCTTCCTCTCCACCGCCCTCCGCCGCCCCATCCCCGCGGTGACCTACTCCCTGTCGCGCCTCTCCGAGTTGATCTCCCCCATCAAGACCGTCCGGCTCAGCCGGGACAGAGCCGCCGACGCCGGCATGATCAAGAAGCTTCTGGAAGACGGGGACCTCGTCATTTGCCCCGAGGGGACCACATGCAGGTACGTTATTTGTTGTAGACGGCTATCAGAGCGTTTGCATAAATGGAAGTGGAAAAGATTAATGAGAGGGCTTAAAGTGGTGCCAAGTTACCTAACTATAAGCCTAACTCTTCACTGGAAGTAGAAAACATACGGTTTGGTATAAATGAATTCTATAAGTTTTGAGAAATTCATTTTGAAATGAAACATTTTTGTGTTTGGTATTTAAAAATATTCATTTTCAATTCTAAATTTTGAATTCCATGGAATTGGAACTAGTTATAGCAATTCCGAAGAATTGAGATGAAATTTCCAAATGAATTCCACAAGTATTTACTAATTATAATAGAATAATATAATTATCCTGTTTTATTAACTAAATTACTTATATATATGGCATACCAAACACAGGAATTCATTTGACAATGAATTTTGCATGACAATTCATTTTATTTCTAAGGATGTGAATATGACATAGCAAATACAAAATTTTATTTGACAATGAATTCTAAGCAGTAATTCATTTTACAATGAAATGAATTCTCGATTCATTTGATACCAAACGATCTGTAAACCTAATTTGCCTGACTTAGGACAAGTCTGATAACAAACCCTAGTGGCTAGCTAGTGAACTTAATTAAATAAAGCAACATAGCAACAAGTGTAAAAGGAATATTTATCCTAGGCTAATAAATGTGTACACGAATGAATAAATCAAACCTAACACATATTGAATGCTATAAGAATCAAATTTATACATGTTGTAAGAAAGTACATGCACGAATGCTAAAAACTCCCTTAATTTATTGAAAGCTTTTAAGGTTAGTTGCTTCCTTATGGCCCACTACTTCGTTCCATCGGTCAAACTCTCCCCATCTCCTTTCAGTTGAGCATATTGATAACCTCTATTTACTAGTTATATCATCCACAATAGCCTGAATCTCGAGACACTCTCCGAACGACAGGTCGCCTTTTGAATTCAGTAGGTAGATAGAAGAAACTATTAGATAGATAAGGAGTAAGGTAGGCTAGCTGGCTGAATGAAACATTGTAAATGTTGGGAGGATGCACATCGACTCTTGATATGATATTCAAACTTTAGGTATAAAAAAATCATAGTGTTTTAATCTTGGCCGGTATAGATATTCCTAATTTTAATTAATTAACACTGATTAAATGATGCACAAATTATGATGACTAGTATGCTCGATTTCAAACCCAATGAATTTTTGTTTGAGAGCATGTAACGAATAAATAAGATAAGATTCCAAACTGGACGTATAAAAAGATTCCAATAATTCGAATAAATCGATTTTTCACTGACACAATATATAATACTTTATAGTTGCATAAAGTATTTCTCATTATATATACCCTTGTAGGGAGCCATTCCTGCTGAGGTTCTCGGCACTGTTCGCGGAGCTTACCGACGAGCTGGTTCCGGTGGCGATGTCGAACCGGATGAGCATGTTCCACGGAACCACGGCTCGAGGGTGGAAAGGGATGGACCCCTTCTACTTCTTCATGAACCCTAGCCCGGTGTACGAGGTGAGGTTCCTCAACAAGCTGCCCTACGATTTGACATGCGGCGCCGGCGGTAAGTCGAGCCATGAGGTGGCGAATTACATCCAGAGGACGATCGCCGCTACATTGTCGTACGAGTGCACCAGCTTCACCAGAAAAGATAAGTACAGGGCGCTCGCTGGGAACGACGGCATCGTGGGGGATCATAAGAAGGTGGCTAATGGCAACATGTCGCCATTTAAGGTCATGGGGTGTTAAAAGGCGTTGATCAGTGTTGAACAAATATGATGATGTTAATTACGACGCTTGTTATTAGTGGGGGTGTTTAGTAGAGCAGTCATATGAATCCAATGTCCAAGAAAGATGTGATTTTGATAATAGACAGATATGTTTACATGCATGCTGATAAATTGGAAGTTGAAAACCAAAATGTGCTTACCCGCGGTGAATAGTGAATCGTATACTTTATATTTTATGATAATTTTGGTGTGCGAGTGAATTCTCAGGGATAAATATTGTATGGTCTATATATAGTTTAATCACAAATATATCCCTAATAAAAGTTAATTACCGTACTTTATAAACCATTAAAGTCCCATAACTTAAAAATCCATATTTAATTTAAGTGCGATTGTCCACAGTACTACAACCTTACCTATGCCAATTTTCATTAAATCCCGTCAGCTACAATTTCATTTTAAGGTTGAGTGCCGTCTAAGGAAAGGTAAACCATTGGTAAAAGTGAAAGCGAGAGAACCCGAAGCAGATGTGTTTGTGTCAATTTCAAAACACACCATTAATTGAACAAACGTTACATTTCAGTCTTACTACTTAATCTAGTTTTCTATTCAACAAGCTCTAAGTTATAACTCATCGGGAAATTGTCGGAATCGAGAAAGCAAGAATATGAAAGCGAGAATCGAAAACAGATACACGATTTACGTGGTTCACTAACACAATGTGTGTTAGCTAGTCCACGGACAAGAGAGAGTCAATTTCACTATATCATATTATCATGGATATTTCAAATTATAGAGGAGATGAGAAGTATTTATACTTCTTCATGTGGGTCTAAACCTCATATAATATGGTAAAAGAAACGGTTAAACTAGAGCATGGATATCTATTATGTCCAGTTTAGAACACCAAATCTGTCAAACAAAGCTTCTTTTAAGACATGTAAAATTCTAACTAAAATAGCTGAAATATTGTCTCGATTAACAAGACATTATAATTATTGTGTTTAAAGCGTTCTTAGCTATTGAATTACTACAAAGAAGCTATCAAAAAACACAAAATCGGAAACTATGAATTCAATATAAGGCAAAAGAGGTAAACCACTTTGACCAGGGGTGGATCTAGGGTTTTAGGGGTGTCCCCGGACACCCTTAAATTTCGGAAAAATGATTATCCAACCTCCGGTGGTAATTTACGTATAGACAAAAAAATATAATTGATAGTGAGGGACATTCCTGAAATTTGAAAAAATGATTATCCTACTGTCATTTGTGTATAAAAATATAAATGGTAGGTTGGGTAATTCAAATCTAGAACATTATTATTAGTAGTAAACTTAATTTCCGTTGAGCTACAACCGACAACTCATTTGGTGTTCGATTTTGAACAATGTGTAATAGTAAAAAGTCATTCCCTATCTCTAATTATTTCAATCTAAACTAATTTCAATCTACCCTTAATTTATATTGATTTTATGATTGTACGACAAGTGTTGAAGAGTCTTTCAGCTTTGGGTTACATCAAGAACAAGTTTACAAATCGAATATGCGATAAGTTCCTGAATGATTGTCTAGTAGGGTATATAGAGAATTTTTTTAACACTATAAACACCAAGTGTATTCTACAGTTATTTTTGAATATGAAAACACATCATGGACTTTTTTAACCTATACGAGTAAGGTATTTTCATATTTATGATTTTATTTTTATTAATTATTTTTATTTTATTAAATTTATTTTTTAAAAGAGGACGCCCCTATGAAATTTTTTTGGGTCCGCCACTGACTTTGACAGATCAATTCGGTGTTTTACTTTATAGTTTCATAGGGCAAAAAATTATCTAATACATCCATCCGTTATAACAATATGATAAATTGTTTAATGATATGATAGTTAATGAACTAACATCCTAGATGAAAAACAGATATATGCAATGGAAAGATGAACAAGAATATAAAAATCTATCATGATTTTGCCTCTCTAATTTCCTTTATGCGTCATTTTTTCTATCTTGCTTTCAAGTTTTTAATTTATCCACTCACAACTTCTGCTAACCAACAATGACATCATGAACTAAGCAAATGGGTTATAAGTATGATCTCTAGATGAACTCCGTATAGAATTTATCTATTCTCATTCAAACAAAGCTTTACGGAATCTTATATTTACAAATCAATATTCAATAGTCTCCCTCGTCCTTATCATATGATTAATCAACTAAACAATAATAATTATAATGATGACATTACGAAATCAAATTACACTTTTGAACTTCCCACCAAAAAAGAACATAAGCTTCTGTTTGAGCACCAGCCAATCAAAACCGACCACGTCTCCAGAAAAGGAAAATATTTAAATAACTTTCCCCTTTCTTTTTTCATTTTTTTGGATATAAAGTTTCTTCCTTTTCTTTAATCGGCCCATCACCGGCAAATTCGACGGAGAACTGCCGGGCACGCCCCCCCCCCCACTAACTCAGAGTAAATAGTGATGGCCGAGAGCAGAAGAACCAGCCAACTCTGAACTCCCAGACCGCGTAGGACCCACCCCTGCTCCCTGTTCAACCAAACGAGTGAACCTACCGTTTCCGCGCGGCAGCCATTACCATTACCAAGCTGGCTGCCTGCTTCTCTCTCTTCCCCGTTTTTTCCTCGCCGTTTCGTTTTCTCTCTGATCTTTTTTCCCCTTCTTTCCCTCTCCCCCATTTTCTCCTCCTGCCCGATTGACTTCCCAGCAAGTCGTGGGGCCTTTTCACCGAATTTCGGAGGGATCGGGATTCCCCCCAGATGCACAGATCGCCTGCAGGGTTCCCCGCCGGCGCGCCCGAGTTCTCTGACTGCCAATTGGGTGCCAAGTTGAATCTCGCGAGTTAGGGAAAGCGGAAAAGAAAGAGAGAAGAAAAGGAAAAAAGAAAAATGGGTGCTTGTGCTTCGTCGAGGAGAAAAGGTTGTGTCGTGTTCCCTTTCCCTTCCAAGAGGAAAGTCGAGGAGAAGAGGAAGAGCGACAATGGAGAAGGTGGGAGGCGGAGGAGGAAATCCCGGAGACGGATTATCAAGCGGCGTGTTTCCTCTCGCAAGGTTGAAACCCTCGATCCTACCCGCCAAACCGATCGGACTTTCTCTAATCCTGTGTTTCAAGGTCGGGAGAAAAAAATCAATTCTGTTTCTTGATCTTTCTGTCTCTGTTTGAGTAAGTAGGGTTTGGGGTAAGTATTTGATTGGTTGGCTTTGTTCTGAACAACAGGAAGCATGGATGGTACTTGGTGTGATGCCACCTCTGAGCTTGAATCTGAATGGGATGACGAGTTTTATAGCGTTTATGAAGGTACACAATTTAGCCCTTTAGGTTCTTATAGTTTGTAGCATATCAGTGTTGAATGGAGATTCTTACCTGCAAACAAATTTATCTGCCACTAAATCTGTAGATGGGTACTCTGTCGTCGACTCTAATGACAATGGTTCTAGCCTAAGTGGTCCGCCTCATGATAGCATAGCCGTCGATTCAGCTCGAGATGTCTCTCGTGGAAGCGGTAATGAGCAGCCCAAGCACACACATTCTTCTTCGAGACTGAATGATGCTACTCAAAGGGAAGCGAATCCTGCTGCTGGAGAGGAAGTTTCAAGTGTGAGTATTGTGGCTGATAATCATTGTGGGATTCTACAAAATGCTTGCTTGCCTTGTATTCCTTCAAATGGTCCTACGGTGGAAAAGAAGAAATCGATGAATTCTGATACTGCCAGCTCAAAGAAAAAACCTATGCTTAGACTTTCATTTAAATGGAAGGAAGACCCTGTGCCTACATTATGTAAGTGTTCCACCACTTTGTACCTGTTCAATTTAACTTGCATAAGTGAGTGCTTGCGTGCATGCAAGTTTAATTTCTGATATGCTCTGAAGAAATCTGTAGTATTTGGATATAGGAATAGGATGATGCATAGCTTACTGAATTCCTGTAGCTTGTATTAGATATTGGGGATGGGGAGAGGGGGCATGGGTGGCAGTATTTGGCTTCCGACTTACTAATGGGAATAGTAAACAATTTGGTCATGTATCCATGAATAAATTTCCTTAATGGAAACTGTCTAGGCGATTTTAGTCGTTGAAGCAAACAAGAGTACATACGAGAACAAATAAAGGATTACCTTACCGCTCATATCTTTACCTTATTTAGGGATTTTCTTTTGATTCTCGTATTAACAACTGTTGCTCTGAAAAATATGTTATTTTACTCGCCTTTTCTAACCTCTCTTTTCTGTTCTTCTCCGTTTTCAATTTCAGTTTCTCCAAAGGGACTTTCCCAGAGACCAGTTGCTGGTTCTACTTTTCCTCACTGCCCCATTGATAAGAAGATTTCAGGTTGTTGGTCTCCTCTTGAGCCAAGTAGTTTCAAAGTACGGGGAAGGAACTACCTCCGGTGAGAACCATCATTCTCTTTTAAGGATTCTTTTTCATTGTTACATCTCCTCAAAACTGGATGAGGTAAAGGTTCCTCATATTGGTTTCTGCCACACTTCCATTTAGCTTTATTCAGTCATAACCTTTGATGAATGTCTAATTATCACTCTCCGTCGACCAGTTCTTCAAATATTACACCCGCGTATGGCATTGATTGTGTTTTATTCATTTTAGAGCCACAATGTTGTAGATTGTTTTCTTTCATAATTATTACTAGTACTTCTGATTCCAAATACTATGAACTTTACGGTTTAAATATGTCAGATATTCTGTACATTTTGGATACGAAGTTGAGTATTCACTTAATAATAACTAACACCTCCAGTAATGTCCAGTTCATGAATTGTGCTCAAGTGGAGCTAACTGCTGTGTTTCATCACTTCGTATGTTTTATGTTTCCAGGGACAAGAAGAAAGAGCCTGCACCAGAATGTGTTGCATTTCACCCTTTTGCTGCCGACATCTTCTTATCTGAGAGAAAAATTCCTCATATTGCTAGATATGTTGAACTCCCAACGTTTAGTGCCTATGATGAAGTCCCAGCTGTTCTTGTTGTTAATGTTCAGGTAGTGATATCTTCACATCATACTCTTAGTGGAAATAGTTGTGGAACATAGAATATCGTTTCTCAGTGTTCTATCAGATAATCTTGATCTTCTTACAGGTACCATTATATCCTGCCTCAATTCTGCACGGTGAAAGTGACGGAGAAGGAATGAATTTGGTTATGTATTTTAAGCTGTCTGAGAGTTACTCAAAAGAGCTCCCCACTCATTTCCGGGAAAATATTATGGTCTGTTGAGTTTATTTCCATCTCTATACTTTGCCCTTTTATTATACAATATTAGATTCAGCTGCTAATTTACTTTTCTGATGGATTTTCCTCTCTTCTGCAGAAACTCATTAATGATGAGGTTGAACGGGTCAAAGGTTTCCCTCTCGATACAATTGCACCATTTAGGGAAAGATTGAAAATTTTGGGCAGACTTGCAAATGTCAATGACCTTCAGTTAAGTGCTACCGAGAAGAAGCTCATGAATGCTTACAATGAGAAACCTGTTCTATCACGGCCTCAGCACGAATTTTACTTGGTAAATTCCAAATCTTTTAACAGATAATAAAACCTTTCTTTATTCTTGTCCATTTTTACTCTCGTCTTCATAGATGAAATCTTGTTGGAAAGAACAAAGTGGAGAAACATTATATAATGTAGCATTAGCTGCTCTGGAATGGTTAAAGGTTGGCAGTTCATATAGATGTAACCTACACTTACTTCATGGCAACTTTTACTTGGCAGGGAGAGAACTACTTTGAGATTGATTTGGATATGCACAGATTCAGCTACATCTCTCGGAAAGGTTTTGAAACATTCAATAACAGACTGAAGTACTGTATAATGGACTTTGGCCTGACAATTCAGGTAACCATCAATCCGTTTTGCTACCCTATTTGGAGACGGATTACGTGTTTAGCTTCATGGGCAACTTAACTTATCATGTTATCTCTTGGAACAGGGACACAAGGCAGAAGACTTGCCTGAACATATTCTGTGCTGTATGCGCCTAAACAACATTGACCACACTAAGTACAGCCAACTCGGATGTTGACTTGAGACTCTGGGAAAATGGGTTCATTTCACCGATTTCGCCCCCAAACGACGGCCTAATATGCAGCAGAGAGATTAAGGTTTTGGATCTTGGGGCGCCCATTCATCTGTACAGAGTTATGATGATTCAAGTGTTGTACAGGTCCCCAATGAAGAGAAAAGAAAAGTTCATTTCCGCCATGATTCAAGTCACAGTGCTTAGACCTTAGAGATATGTCAATTCTGCTATCTGTCTTTTGAGATGTGGAAACCAGATGTATAGCCCTTTGAGACCGATGTAAGCTTTGGTTGCCTGTCGGGCTGATAAGATTAGTTATATGTTGCAGTGCTCTATTCAGAAAGGCTTATTTTCAGCCCCGAGAAAGTATTGGACTATTGGTTAATGAAGAGGATAAAGCGAGAGTCAACTGTCGAGTTCTTTAGCATCTGTATATTGGGATTCTTCGTTCTTTATCAGAATATGGTTTTGTAGAAGTGGTTGAAATAAAAGATGCCAAAGAAGTACAACCAAGTTACTCTGAATTTTAGTTGGATCATTGCACCGTGCCTTTATATGAACTCTTCTTGTTATTGTCCGAAAAAGCATGGACTTCTCGGGTCCAATAACCATCTTTCAGCTAATCTAGCCTCCCGTGATAGAAATTGATGAGAATTGTGCTTGAGAACGCGAATATTGACTCCATTTTTTTGTGCTTTCTTGAGAGCCTTCGAAAAATAACCATCTTTCAATCAATCTAACTTTCTTTGATCCATATTAGATAGTGTGATAGAATTGTTAATTCAAAAACAATTTTTTTCGCAAACAAAGAGAGTGATCGAATCATTTATGTTCTATCAACAGGTCCTAACACGAATTAGATCAATGTTTAACTTTTACCATATATGCCAACTTATGAACAAATTTTACAATATGAGAGAATTTTGTGAATGTTGTATTGCGATTTGCGAACGAATCCGATCCGATGAATCACAAATTTCAATCGAGCACATGAAGTTCCCCCAATGGATCATGAAATGGAAAGAAAGGAAATGAACGAGTCCAAAACCGGAGAGAGATACATATCCAAGGAAAAGAACCAATGGCGGATAAGAAAATTAAGGAATAATATGATACAGTTTTAACAATAATAATATTCTTCATCATCATCATCATTTCCAATTATCAAGCAGTGGGAGGAGAACCCGTACAGCACCGGATGAAGAAATATGCGCCGCCTCCGTTTCGCCGCCGGTACTTCTGATCCCCGGTCGGCAACTGGATCGGCAAAGAGGACACCCTTGACAATCCGTCACTACCGCCGCCGCCGCTGCCGGAATCCCTATGACGATGATTCTCGTGCGAGGGCTGGAACTTCTCTTCTCTGCCGCTCCTTATGTTCCGAAGCAGCTGAATCTCGTGGCTCCTTCTCCCGGCCGTCGTCGGAGTGCCGGCGGAAATCGGGCCGCTGTAAGAGGTCAGAAGCGGGCCGCTCCTGTCGCTGACGTTCAAAAGCGGGCCGCTTCGGTCGGCGTTGAGATTCTCCCAGACCCGTCCGGAAGAGCCCTGACGCCGGAACGAAACCGATGATCTCTGCAACATTTGGCTGCTCACCTCCATTGCTGTAAATCCACCTTTGGATGATAATCAATCAATGTTTTTTCCCCTTTCTTTTGAATTTTTGATATTTTCCTTTGGTATTTCTTCTGAGCTTTTTGTGATCTCCTTACCTTAACGAACTTAACGGTTTTGGTTTTTGGCCTCTTCTGGTTTTGGCTCAATCTAATCCTATTTTGTTGTAGTAATTTAATTTCCTTCCTTTCCTTTTCCCTAACTTATTATTTGTTTTTTTTAGTAATTCTTTAATTGTATAAATTTCAGTTTCTTTTTTGTTATTTCCACGTCTTTATTTTAGTTTTTTGGTAGTATAATTACCTTCTTAATGAGGCCTTGTTTTGTGTTATTTATTTGTTGAATGTTTATTGTTCCCTTTTTCTTCGGAGGGGCAAAGAGAATTCGTCAAAAACGAAAATATGATTTGTCAAAAATAAATTTTCATCATTTGGTGGTTCTCCATAACCTCCAGTTTACATTTCATCCAATATATGATTTAGTCACTCGAATTATACAAATCTTTCATGTTTGTCATCCGAATTACTTTTTTTTCTTATTCGCCACTAACTTTACGAATCGTTTCATCTTTAGTCACTGGCCGTTACACTCCGTTAAATTTATCCTAAGTGGTAGTCAACTTTAAAGTTTGACCGTTAAATAGATGACGTGGAAATTAAAAATAATAATTTATTTATCCATCTCATCATTCTACTTACTTTATCAATATAATTTATCATACTAAAGTCGGCAGAGGGACCAGGATGGTCGCCGTCCACCGATCGACAAACTTCTCCTCCCACACGCTTTTTGTAATTTAATTAATTTTGTTTAATAAATAGTATGATAAATCATGTAAACAAAGGAAGTGGAATGATGAGGTGGAAAAATAAATAAATTTTTTTTTAATTTTTTAATTTCCACGTCATTTAGTTAACGGTCAAACTTTAAAGTTAACTGCCACGTAGGACAAATTTAACAGAGTGTAACGGCCGGTGATTAACGGTGAAACGATTTGTAAAGTTAGTGGCGAATAAGAAAGAAAAGTAATTCGGGTGACAAACGTGAAAGATTTGTATAATTCGAGTGACCAAACGTGTATTTAGCCATAAAAGTACTATATCGAAAAAGTATACACAATTCACACTACCTCTTATGCACATTCTGACAATTGAGCAAACTTGTGGAAGTAAGTTATTTTTTAGTTTGTGAAAATTCATCGTGAATCAACCCGTAAATTTCTATTCATGAGGTGTTTGAATAGGTTTTAACATTGATGACAAAGCCCCCATAATAGGCATCATGCCAATATCAAGTAACATTTCTTTCCTTCTTGTCATGAACGAGTCACTCATCCAATCAACCATATGATCGAAATCGTGTCCATGTCAACTATAATTCACTCATGTAATGTCAATCTCCATATTCAAATTTTGACGGGATATCATGATACCCACTTAATTTATTACTTTCAAAAGATAAAAGTAGCTATGTAGTATTGTGATCAAGTAAAAGGTATGGTTGCAACTTCTAATGTGTCAATAATGTTTCCCACTCCATATACTAAAATCCGAATATACTACCTAACCTTAGTACCTTACAATTCTTTCCGCCAAAAGGCAAAGAGGAGGAAGAAGAAGGGAGAGGAAAAACTCGTCATGCTACTTTTACCTCCTTTGTTCCCCATCCTTGATACATATATGCCTTCTGGAAATAAGCTTGACGTGATTTCATCACCACAAAGGAAAACAAAAAGATCAGCTAATGAAGTCTAAAGCAGAACAAAAAACAGAGTTAACATCAATTAATCAGTAATCAAAAGCAAGACGATCCAAAAGCTGAGGAAACTGTGACTGCATCATCTCCCTCTCCTTGTCCAACATGCTCTCCACAAATGAACTACTTCCACCACCGCACAATGCAGCTACCATGTCATCTCCATCATTTCGAGCTGAGAAATGTTCTGCTTCTGATGGTGGAGGTACTAGTGCCGCTGATGGCCCCTCCTCAATTGCCTTCTCTTCATCATGCTCATGCTGGAAACCTGACGACGATGCCAGCGTCGAATCGCTCACCAGAAACTCCCTCCACATCAACCCTTGAGCAGTTTGAGCCTCCGTTTGCTGTTGCTGACACGATGAGGAGAATGATTCTCTTGGCGAGCCAAGAAACGTTTCGGCAGAAGGCAGAGGAGATGATGATGCAGAGGCAGAGAAGTCCCAGGACAGAAACGTTTCGGCGCCAGCAGATGCTGCTGCTGCTGATGGTGGTGGTGTGAGGGAGAAGGAACCATTGTAATTGTCCTGTTGAGGAGTATGGTCATTATTGTTGTTGTTGACCATCATTAATGTGCTGTTATTGGAGCAAGACGAGGTTGGCGTTGTTGTGGTAGAAGAAGAAGGTGGTTCTGGTTTGAAGGCTTTTCTCATAAAGGGACCAGCTTGGTGGGTTGCTGAATTGGTCGTTGTAGTTGTGCCAGAAGGGATGTTGATGCCACTTATGGTGCCGAAATCGTTGAGGATCTTGGAGATTGGTTTGTGTGTTATCGGGTCGATCCCGATCTTCTGCAGCTTCTTCTTCAGTTTGGTGTTCCAGTAGTTCTTCACGTCGTTGTCTGTTCTCCCCGGCAGCTGCCTTGCTATCACTGACCACCTAAAGTGAAAACAAACGAGATAAAAGTTAACAGCAAGAGAGTAAAACTGTAAGATTAAACTTGGTTAAAGCTGCTAGCTTTTCTTACCTGCTGCCAATGGCTTCATGGAGTCTGATAATGAGTTCTTCCTCTTCAGGAGTGAAGTTGTCATGTTTCAGGTCAGGTCTCAAGTAATTCGTCCATCTCAGCCTGCAACTCTTTCCACATCTATTCAGTCCTGTGAAAGATAAAAGGATTAAGAAAGTAGTAGACCCAAATAAGTGCAAGAAACCATCATCAACTTCACTAATCTACAATGAAAATGTGGGGGCATCAATTAAGAGAAACAGTAAGTTAAAATGGGCACCATCTGAATAAAGAGAAAAAGGTTACCAGCTTTCTTGGGGACTAAAGTCCAGTTGCCAATGCCATGGGTGGCTACATAAGCAAGGATCTTGGCATCTTCCTCAGGAGTCCAAAGCCCTCTCTTCACATTAGACTTGTCACAGCATGGAGGCCTTCCCATTGTGATGAATGATTGCAATGGTGATGGTGTGTTTCTTTTCTTTCTTGGTTTGATTCAGTTTCTTGGGAGCTATGGTGGTGTAATGGTGATGCAATTCGAGCCGTGCATATATGACAGAGGGTGCTGCTGATGAGGGAGAGAGAGAGAATGGAAAGAGGGGGAAAACGTTTAACTAGTGAATGGGGGAGAAGGAGAAGGAAGAGGCAAGAACTGCATGGAAATTGGAGGAGCTTCTCTTCTCCACCCCTTATTAGCAACATTTGCATGATATATATTCCTTCTTCTGTTAGTATGAAAGAAAAATGAAAACAAGAGGGGGAAATTACAGTTGTTTCTCTCACATAATTTTGATAGAAAATGGCGTGAATGCATGCATGTTTGCCTTCTTTCTCTCTCTTGCATAGCATCATTCATATGCTTGGCTCTATCACACAGTTTATTCACTGGGGTTGGTTCTCTTGGAGTGAACTCATTCTCATATTAATTCCCTTTGTTTCAACTCCATTTGATTATCCAATGTTGTTAGGTAATTTTGATTCTTATTTAACCTTTATTTTCGATACGATATCATGATTCAATATAATTCTCGGCCTGAATCAGATCATGCCCACCTGTAAACGCTGTTGCTGTTTAAGGATGTCACTTACCAGACCTACATATACCAACTTCATTTCTTACCATTTTCACTGTAAACGACTGTGACTGATGCTCTATAACATTATCAAGTTCGGTGCGAACATACCTGCCAAAATGATATCTACACCTACAGCGCATTATAATAGAGCTACCCAAAGCCTTGATTCCGTTCTCATCTCAATGGACTACACTGAGCTCACTCCCTCTCTCTCTGTGCCTTTCTCCTGAGAAGAGCAGACCTTGCAACTCTTCCTACAGAATCCACTGTACTCATCAGAACCAACCATATACTTAGGATTCTTCTCACACTCCCCCGCTTTGGCCCACTTCTCACAGTTTTCATTCTCATCGCTGCATTCTGTATGGCCGCCTTCACCGTGTATGGATTCCTCAAATGATCTGACATGGATCCACTTTGTTGCCGACCACTTCTCTCCCTCTATAACAGGGCAGCTCCCATGCAGACTGAGTGGATCAGTCGTTGCATCAGGGTGGAGACTGAAGAACAGTAGTGCATCGCCCTTTTCGGGCTTCACTGCAGAAGTATTGGGCAATAGCAAGTTTCATCAGATTCAGAGTCCAAGCAGTGAATAAAACAATACAATTATGCTTAGCTCCACAATATATTCACTGGGCCTATGCAGAAAAAGAGCAAAGCAAATTACATCCATTTACTGCAACTCGTAGGCATCTGTTTAAAAGAAACAGAATATCATTTTGTTCACAAATCAAGCTACTGGGGCGACTATTCTAAATGACGAGGTAAGAAAATGTTCAATCGTGCTTTGCCAAGGCAATAAAGACTGTTTCTGACACTGTCTGGTGAACAAACATATACCATCTAATAAGATATTCCTCCTCTTAAATTTAAGTTCATTTTCTCCTAATCTGTTCTAGGTTCATAGATGTAGTCAAAATGACATACGATAATGAAACTGAATTTGCAAGAGAGTGAGTTCATGCACGGATAATTTCATATACAAAATTATAACTTCAAATATAAGGTAGTACCTGAATAACCATCCTTGGCACAATCAGACAAGTCGTCAGCCTTGGGTTGAGATTCCTTTCCCTGTAAGAAAAAGACACAAAGAACTTGTAAGCATCAGCCAAAAGCACAATGTATCAGAAATAGAAAAGAGAACCTTCAGAAATGACCTCTGCATTGGGAAATATCGTTTCTCCACCCTTTGCTACGTTAGACAAATACATCAACACGGTGGCTATCCGGTGTCCACCAAGCGCCTGATTAGCCTTGTCATGGAAATAGTCAAAATGTGGTTCATACTTCTGACCAAGCTCATAGCGTAAGATTTGAATTGCCTCTCCATTTTCTGATGAAAAAATGCAGGTCAGGAGAGAATAGAAAGAATATGCTTTCTGCTCACACAGAAGCTGGTAGAGAAGGCTGTGCAATGTATATGAACATATACCTACTGGAAGGAAAGTCCAAGCAGCAATCCTCTGCTCGATAGCAGCAACCACTTCATCCTTCACAATTCAAGCCAGAGCTCAATCATAAACAAGGAATGGAATTCGCGAAGCAAAGTAGCAGTAGCTAAAATAGTTCCCAACAACGAACAAGGGTTTGGCCTAGTGGTAATACTACTAGTCTAGAACCTGGAGGTCCTAGGTTCAAATCCCTTAAGTAGTACCTTAATGACAATAAATGAAACCTATATCACCCTTATCTAAAAAAAAAAAAAAATAGTTCCCAACAAATTGGCCAATCAACCATTGTCACAGTAAAGTCCCATACGCTCAAGTCGAATCAAAATTGAGAAGACCCACCTGATATTTCGACAGAAAAGTTCCAGAGCTTGTTCTGACTTCACTCTCTATACTCTTCCCCGAATCATTATCTGCTACCATTGATTTCTCAAGCGAGTCCTTAGCCTATCAATCGAGAATCCAAACATACACAGAAAGACTATTCCGATTCAAACTTCGCACATTTCCCACCTCTATTTGAATGAAATTCGCAAGAAGAGGAGAAGAAGAATCAACATTGGCCAATTACCAGTTCGATAAGGTGATCGCACTCGGCATCTGACAGAAACCCTTTGTAAAGAAAGGCCCTGTTCGTCAAGATCAAGAATTAAGAGAGTTAAGGCACATGAGATATCAGTTAAGAAGGGATCAAGAGAACAGAATAAGGACGAAAGTTCAGACCTTGGTCGCCATGAGAGCTGAGTGACGCGGGTGGGATCAAATGATTTCGAGAACAAGCCTTTGTTCAATCGCAGAACTGACCCCTCTCTTCAAAAAATACAAGAAACCAAACAGGTGATTAGACAAGCGATGCAGAGGTGATGTAAGAAAACAAAATGAAGAAATTTATACAGGCGGCGAGGATACATTTCGTCAGAGAAGGCACAGCGAGGGGAAATCAAGAGGAAACACAGAGAGGCCGCCAGGATATGAAGGCCGGACCGGAACTCCATTGACGATAGGATTTTGCTGGCCGTCGGAGCTGTGAATTGGGGAAAACAGCGCGTCGAATTTTGGGTTTTACAGGGTTTTCTTTGTCTTTAATGCTTTCGGGACTGAACGGGTGGAGGACAGGAATGCGGGCAGCAGGCCGCAGCGAGTGGGAACTGGGAACAACGAACGAACAAGGAAAGGAACCGAGAAAACTGTGGGTGAGATTCGGGAAAGGCAACGAGACGGCGTCAGATCAATTTATCGCCTATTATCGTTAAATATAGTTATATGTTCTTATATCGTGACATTGACATATCTTCAAAGTATCGTATCCGCAATTTGCCGCGTTTCGCTTTTTTCAGTTCACAATACCGTATTGGCATTGGCATTTGGGATTCCGGCAGGAAACTCTTCCGGTAAAGCGACTAAAAATGGCGGTTTCATCGTCACCGACCCTCTCCACTCTCTACTTCAGCACCAATCTTCTCTCGAGTTCTCCTGCTGCGCGGGCTCCCTTCGATTTGCCATGCTCTTCCTCCGCCTGCCGCCGCAGCCATTACACAGCCGTCGTTTGCTCTTACAGTAAGTAGCCACACGCTCTAATCTCTTCGTCTTGCTATTAATCTCCTACCGTATTTTCTTACCTCGATTTAGTACGCTTTCGGCTTCTGTATGTGTGAATTGAATTGAACTGTCACTGTCGGTGCCAGAACCGAAGAGCGAATTGGCTACTGGAGATAAGAGGTCGTTACTGGAAAGCTACGGTCTCGATCCTAATGCTTTCTTATCAGAGTCCGCCCCTAAGGTTAATATTTATTAATTTCTGGCTCTATTTCAAGGGAGGGAGGAAGCGGGGAAAAGCAATGAATGTTCAATTCTGTCGTTGCGTTGGTCTGGTGTTCGCAAGTAATTGATACCTCTATGGAGTTTTGAGTTATGGCTTGATTGTAATGGTAGGGAAGGAGAAGAAAAGAAGGGAAGAAGACTGAAAGAGGAAAGCAAGTCACGGAAGAGAAGGCACCTGAACCTGAAAGGACTACCCACAGGCTACTTCAGGTATGGGTTGCTTGATTGCTCCCCTGTGTGAGTAGTTTAGTGGTCAAAGACTTACGGATAGGACCTATGAGCTCCAAGATAATTAGATGACCGGATTATGATTCACGGATTATGATCTTCAGGCTCGGCTTTTACATTGTTTGATAAATGATCTTGTGAGAATCTTAGGTACTCGGAGGAAAGGCTAAAAGAAAGAAGTTGCTTTCGCCGAAGGGGATGGATGTCAGGCCAATGATGGAAGTGGTTAAAGGTTCAGCTTTTGACATATTGCAGGTTTTACTCTTCCCTAAACTTCGATTTTCTTCTTCTATTAACCAGATCATTTCATGCATTTTGGTATCTGAAAAGGTTGCTAGTGGGCTATGGAGTTGGCTTACTCATGCTCTTTTGCGTTGCTTGTAAGAATGGTTCTGGTATATACATGTATTGATGCCGACAGAATCTGCTGCTTTTTGCAGGCAGCTGGGGGATGTCCTGCATCTCTAAGGCCTGGGCGCTGGTTAGATTTGTTCAGTGGTACTGGATCAGTTGGTATTGAAGCTATCAGTAGGGGATGTGTTCAGGTATCACTAACTTAATTTTGTACAATGTGTTTGTTTCTTTTTTCTCTCCTCCCATTTTGTAAATGTTCACCCAATGGAAGTTTGTTTCTAGAGGATAAGCTGAATATTTCCGCCAAGAATGAGCTTTAAATCTGATAAATATGTACTTGATTTGTTTATTCGATTATTGCCCTGTAGTTGAACTTGTTGCTACAACTGTTTCAGGCTCATTTTGTTGAGATGGATCCCTGGGTTATTTCAAATGTTCTACAACCAAATTTGGAGTGGACTGGATTCCTAGACTTGTCAGTTGTACATGCTGTTCCTGTTGAAAACTTTCTAAAGCAGGCACAGCATTTTGTAGGTATGTATCATCTACTTTCCTAGACTCCATGATTCTCTTTAGCTCAGTTGGTTCCAGAAGTAGATGATGCATGAGCTTGGCGTATGGAGTGATCTCAACTTCATTGATGTAAACTGAGTTTAGTCAACCTTTTTATTGTGGGGAGTTCATAGACCTTATACAATTTGAATAAAAACTTAATTGTGCCTTCTTGATCACATCAATTTCTTCTGTAGGCGAGGACAGGACATTTGATTACATCAGTGTTACACCTCCGTATATGCTAGTTGACTATGCCATATTGATGGATCTCATTTCAAGATCAGGCATAATTGGAGAAAATACATTTATTGTAAGTGTTCTCTCATTCCTTATAAATTTTCTAGTTGGTTTTTTCCATTAAATGTTTACATCATCCTATGATACCAAATTCCATTGGTTTAGGTGGTGGAATATCCTCTAAGGACAAACATGCTAGATTCATGTGGATGCCTCATGAAGGTACATCTCCTATTACTGTAGCTTATCGCCATCTTTCTCCCGCCTGTGGTCACTTGTGCCTAATATATATTATCGTAAGGTTTAGCATCGAACAATTGTCTGCAGTCTAGATTTGAAGTTAGCATTGACCTAGTTCCAAACTGGTGGTTACACAGTGGTTGGAGATATCCAAAAGTCTTCCTAGTTGAGGGATCCTACTTGCCTTCTATTGTCCTTGTGTGTTATTGATCTATTGGTGTTTTTATCCAGTGTTTGTCATTTTCATGAGAAATTTGTTCAGGATGAAACAATAATCTGTGCATTTTCACTATCATAGTGTGATGATTTTGTTATGAAACTGCAGATAACTGATCGGCGCTTTGGGCGTACTCATTTAGCAATATATGGACCCACATGGGCTCAGAAGAAGAGAAAATAAGAGATTTTGCCTTAGAAAATGACAGAAGTTCGACTGCAGCTGAACATGTGAGTTGGGTTTCAAATTGTTGTCGTCAACCAAAGCTCCTTCAGCTAATCCCAGGTCTTGAGACAGCAGCTTTGATTGTTCTGTAAGGTACTCTTTCTTGTTATGGACTTATGATTACTTTCTCCGATTGAACAATTCTTGATGAAGAAAGTTGTATATATATATACACACATTCTTACAGGTTTTATGTTTCATTTGCCTCTTAGGTAGCCCCAGGGTTGCTAGATTAATATGGACTGCTTGGTTGACAACCTTACGAGCGAACTTTCCCAATTGTAAGAAATGCATAAAATATTTATGTATTTTGCCTGAGCTCAAGGCTTATGTCATTCTGTACTCTACAGATCCTTCACTTTCCTTCATAACCAATAGTGTTTCATCGCTGAAACTTTGTCAAGTTCTATGATTCCCTAAATCCTACGAGGTCATTATACGCAAGTCTAGATCTAAAGATGTTCCAAATATTACAATTAATCTGGTCAAGAATGTCTATGCACATGAAATCCTAAATTCCTCATCTATCTTACAGGACTAACAAGTCTACATCTGGCCTGACTCTTCTACTTACAGTTCAGTGACTAGGATTATTATTTACATAAGGATGGCAGCATCCTTTTGTGTGTTTTTAATAGTATTCGATCTTTATCTTGAGAAAATATCAATTGAGATGGGTTTTACCGATCCAGAGATGATTCATAAGTTATTCCCTTGTCAAATTGTTTTGAATACTTCAACAACTGGGTAGTTGCGTTTCTTTCATCTTCATGCATCCCTTCTAGGAATCTACTTATTTTCTGGTGCTGTTGTCAAACTTTCGTTCCAGCTGATTCTCCTTTCTGTTTAAGATACACAAGCATTGTCATAGAACATGATAAGCTTCTGAGCATCTGCCTTTTGCTTTTCGTATCAGTTTGGGTTCATTTCTTGTCTTTTCCAAAATTTATCCAACTATTTCAATTCAGTGAGGCAGTGGGACCACAACAATGAACTTACTAAAGTGGGGTTAGGAAAAAAGCACATGGTGTGGATTCTTAAGCGTTAAAGAAAAGGAGGAGGGATCTAGGCAAGGGTGAGGAAGAACTATATAAAGGAGATGAAGAACACACTTAACATGTGCTAAGGTTCTATCAGCCGGTAGCATGAATCTATTATGTCTTAATCAAGTTGGACCATTGCTGGTCCATCTAGGGCTTGACTGTGTGCCCATTCATATGCAAGTTGAATTAGATATCGAAAGACAGTGCTTTGCATAGAGTAAATCTCTGATTAAACCAAAAGGAAAGAGATGCGGGTCTGGCTTGTTGTAGTGACTCGAGTGGTTTTCTACCACATCCAAATGTCTGACTCCTGGATAGGCTAACAGGGATGATTGTTGGGTAAAGAATGAAATTCAGCTTTGAATTATTCACCTGGCATATTTTCTTCTGGTTGATTCTATACATTGACATCATGCTAAAATGTTAATGCAGATCTTGTGGTGTAGCTTCTTATGACACGGTAAGCTACAGCTTCCTTGCAATGTCACACAGGCTGAAACATCAACATCATTTTCATTTTGTCATTGCAAAGTAGCCATTTTCTCCCAACCCAATAAAATAAAGTACTGTTTTTTTCCTTTTTCAGTTGTAGTGAGCTCTTTTTGGGATCACCCATTAACTAGATGATCTTGCAGATTTGCATTTATTATCCTTTAGAATCTGTTGGCTTGGTCCACCACCTGCTGTATGCTGAAGTTTGTTACCTACAAGCTACAACTGTCATTCTCAGCATGTTCCTTTCACTTATAAGATTTCAATTGCCAATAGTGCACTGATACCAACAAACTGTGTGTTCGCTCCCCTATGGTAATCATTTGGGGTCCTGCAATTGGAAGGGATTTTGTCCTCTGCGAATGCACTTGATATTTGTACCCTGGATTTTGTCTCTACTATCTTCAGCTGCAGTTTTGCTAGGCGATTCCACAAATCAACATCATTCTAGGAACTCTCAATGTGTGAGAGTAATACCACTTGATAGCTCAGTGCGTGAGGCATGGGTTTTAGATATGGGTTATTCAAGAGCACAAGTTAGTGATATACTGCTTCTTGTGTTCTGTGAAAAGGAAACCACGCTTTCCGGCTTCATCTGTAAACTGAAGGAAGAAGTCCTTTACCAAAAGAGAAAAATGGTTAGCTTCTTTATTGATTTTGATTCTTTATGCTTCTTCTTAGTGGGAAATTGATGTTCCTTTACATGAACTGAAAATGCAACATAACTTGATCAGATACTTGGTTTCTAAGACAACTAGTGCCCCACAAAAGAATCTCACTTGTGTTGCTTTTCCCTTCAAATTTGACTCCTTTGTGTTTGAAAGAAAGAGGATCAAATATTGAATGGATTCTTGTCTGATAGTTCCTTAATCAAAGCAACACCCATCTTGTATACCAGCATTTAAAATCATTGTGGTTCCTTTTGTTTCAGGGATTTTATTTTACTCTGATGATTCATTTGTTCTTTTTTGAATTATTTCATGTCTCTGGTATAGTTTCACTATCAATTTATTCCCTTGTCTCCCGAGTTCCTCTAACTATTAATTGAGTACTTGAGTTAGATGGATTGTTTTGTTGGGTTGGACCAAGTATGTACATTGATTTTGTGGGGGACTGGAGACACAAGGCCCTATGTCTTGTATTAGCTAATAAGCCATAGGAGTTTGAGGAGAACATGGGGTCATATTGGTCTCCGCATGAAAACACACCAGCCAAACCAAAGCAAGACCATGGACCCGTTCTATATATAAAGCAACAAGGGTAACGAACTTTTCTGTCTTATTGGCTCTCTTGTCTCTCTCTCTCTCTCAGTCACACACAGACACTCACAGTGTTGTGTCCCTGCTTCTCTTTTAAATATAACCAATAAGCCCTACACACCAACATTACTTGCCTTGCTCCTCTTGGCTCCATTTCTTCTCATCTTCTGTGCTGGGCTGGAGGTTGATAGACCCTTTGTAGGCACCATGGTTAATTCAAGTTCCTTGCTGATTGCTTCTGTGACTAGTCAAATATTCATTTCCATGGGAAAGTAGTGGGTCCTTAGAAGGGGATAGAAAAATGGGGAAGGGTGGTAGTAGGGTTTTGAGAGTTATCTCTGGAGCTGTGTTGTTGTTTGTGGTAGTTTGGTTCTTGTGTGTTGGAGTGTTAGCAAACCATGCAACCAGAAAATTGCAGAGATTTGCAGTTTCATCAACTGGGAGGCATCACTTTCATGAGGGGTTGGATCTCAATTATGTCAGCAAGAGAAGAGTGCCCAATGGACCTGATCCAATTCACAACAGGTAATGATTTTCATAACTTAAATCTAATTCTTCTTTTTTTCTGTTGAAATGATCATACATTCGTACTAAGGTTAAGCATTACCAAGAATTAGCCAAGCTATAACTTCCTTCTGATCACTATATCTATCTGATGTTTGTCAGAGCGGGGTCTGAATTGTGGATAGCAGAGTAGGAACATCCGTCTTTTTCTTTCTTACTGTGAAAACTGAAAACAAAGCTATTAGTACTGAAATATACAAGTATGTTCATAGCCTGTGTATAATAAGATATCTGGGTATATAATCAAAGATGGCCGTGACCCATCCTAGATCCTAATTGGAAATCCATGGAAAGCTGACAGTGGTGTAGCTCCTCTTTAGCAAAGCTTCTTTAGTTGTGAATCTTTCTCTTATTTTTATGAGAAATAGAAGACATCGGGGAATGGACTTGGACCACTTTAGGTGATTTAGAAAGTCCCTAGTAAGTGTATCTCTAGCTTTCGTGAACATTTAGTGAACTCTCTTTTGTTCATTTGTTCCATTATTAGACTAAAGTTATCTTTATCCGAATGCAGCTGAAACATATCAGGAACATTAGTAATGCCTACTTCTACTAACACTGCAGCTGCTTTTTCCAGGAGAGCGTCCCAGTCCAGAAAGCCACCAGGTCGAACATAGCAAGAGGGATCGCGGCAAACTCATTCCCTTCCCTCCGAGCTGTTAGCCACTGAATTGAGCATCGAGTAGTATAGGTTTTTCTTAATACAGTTGTGTCATTACTAATCTAGTAAAGGTTTTTGGAGAATCATCCAAGTTGTGGTCCTGTTCGATGACCATCGGAGCAGACGATTGAGCCGCTCCCATGCAGCGTGCTGCATCAACGAGGAAAGAAAGGGTACAGCTTTGAAGGGGATTCGTGTTCCTTTGTTTAATCAAAGGGCTCTCTGCCAAAGATGAAAGCTGGCTGAGGGGTCTTTGCTTTTGCATGGAGGGAGTGTTCTTTTGGAACACCATCCAAGAAAGAAAAGGTTCCTTTGTCTCCGTACGTGATTATATTCGTGCTACTTAGTTTGCTTTGCTTTTGTAGAGGAAGTTGCTTGTTTGCAGTTGCTAGTATTCATCTACGGCTGCTAATATCTCTTTTGAAAATGGATTGGCTTTCTTTCTTTCTCTTACTACACTTTTGCTTTTGGTTGTTCAAAAACGCCAGGTAAAGCTTATTTTAGCCATTAAGCAAAGGTGCCCCCTTTCTCTTTCGACCATTGTTTTTAGGCTTCAATCGTGCTGCTGTTGCTGTTAGTTTCTGCCTTTTCCTTTTCAAGTTTATCTTCGGCGAGATCAGTCTTGTGGAATCATATATACTAGGCTTGGTTTGGAAAATGAGAAATGTTTGTAAAAACAGAGGCTCAACTCAAGGTCTTGCATTTGAATTTCAATCGTTGCGTTTGATGTTCAACTATTTCTGATAGAAAGAAATTCAAAAAATTTCCTACTACTATCCATTCATTTGAGATTGTGCTATAGTTGGTGCATGAAAAATGTCAAAGGACATGTAACGACCTCTTTTCTAAACTAATAAACGCCTGAAAAAGATGGGGTCAAAATGAGAATCAAAACAATATCATCACTTACTTCATTTACGGAGTGGGCACTCAGGATATATTGTAGTATTCGAGAAATCATTTCGTCTATATCTCTGATGATTACATTGTGAAGAAAAAATTGTTCAATGTAATGAATTATCGATTAGATCATCCGTAAGTTGTAATTAATTGGAAACGAAAAGCTAATTGAGATTGAAGGAACTATTGAGGAGGAGATTGCTTAGTTCTGTTAATTGCTTTTGTTTTGAAATATGCTTTAACTTTTTTGCTTGCCTTACCTCCTCTCCTCTTTTTGAAACGCTTCTCTTTTTTGTTGGGTTTTTGGTTTGAATCTTTTGAATGGTTCGATGGGATGGGAATTGGGAACCATCAGCAAAGAGGGAGAGGAAAGAAAAAGGAGAGTAAAGTGTAGATTCGAAATTACGGTGCCCTTTCTTCTTTTTACCGAAGATGGTAATTTTTGCATGGAGGAAGCAGATACCCATCTCGTGCAAACCTTGAAACTTTACACTGCTCACATGCATATAGTCTTGTTTGCATGGGGGAATCATCTTCATCTTCTGTTTGGAAGCTCGAAACACCTTTTACAGTTTTACCCCATTTCCCTAACATTTGATCAATGTGATTTGGGCCAAACTCCCAACAAGACGCTTCCCTCCAACCGAAAGCCCACGTACCAAGTAGAGTTAGCCCAGACCACCAAAGCTCCAAAATCCACACATGAATATGACTCTACCGAGTGTCATGTATGGAAAGGGATACATTCACAGCAGCAAGACAACCCCTGGAATGAGCTCTATTCCATCGGTCCAAGATCATCTAAAATTCCAATGCTCTCTATCTACACAAACAAACCAAAACACACAACTTGATTCATCACCAAGTTTGAAGTTCGTTTCTTCTATATGATATACCATGGAAGAGCAAAGATACAGAGTTTTCCTTTGATTCATACATACAGACAATGAGAAGGGCTTATTCTATCATACAGTTCATAATCTATACATACACATGCAAAAAATTACAACATTAAGAATGAGTGGCAAAAAGATCACCTTCAGACAGACACTCGACCGCCCAACTTGTCTCTGCTCCTAAAAAGCTACTACACTTGTTCACGAAAAATCAATGGGAATTCTTCATCCTGCTCCTCGAAGTCGAAATCATTGCCAATCATCTTCAACGACTGATAAACTCGGTACATGGATGGCCTATCTTTAGGCCGAGCCACGACACAGTCACAAGCTACCTGCAGCACCTCCAGAATCTCCTCATCATGTCCCTTCCCACGGATCTCTCCGTCAATGACATCCTTATTGCTCCTTCCCGAACCACAAATCTCATTCACCCATTCCACCAAGTTACCTTTAAATCCTTCTTCTCCGCCATCGATAGCCTTCTGCCCCGTCACCAGCTCCATAATCACAACTCCAAACCCATACACATCCCCTTTCAGCGATGCAACCATCGTGTTTGCATACTCTGGTGCAACATATCCAACCTCACCCAGATCCCCATTCACATAACTGCTCTCGTCGACATTGGAGTCTGACGTCATCATGAGCTTGGCAAGTCCACAGTCCATTATCCTAGCATCGAAATCCTCATCAACCATGATTACGTTCGAGCACATGTTCTGGTGCAAGAGCGGTGGCTTGCAGCCATGGTGAAGCCAGGCCAGACCCCGAGCGGCACCCAACCCGATCCTGAACCGGGTTGGCCAGTCCAAACCAGGCCCAGGACTACAATGCAGTAGATTATACAATGTTCCATTCGACATGTACTTATAGACCAACAGCTTCTCATCCTCCACTATACAAAAGCCCAGAAGTGGAGCCAAATTTGGGTGCCTAACTTGACCTAACAGATTCATCTCATTCCTGAACTGCTTCTCCCCAAGCTTAGTGGTGGTCAGACGTTTCACGGCAAGGGAAGATCCATCTGGAAGAACAGCCTTATAAGTAGTCCCAGTTCGAGTCGAGATCACGATGTTCTCAGGATTGAAATTGTTGGTTGCAGCCATTAGATCAGCTAGCTTGAGTTTCACAAGAGGCTTCTGGAACAAGGAGACTTGAACTAGCTTGTAAGCTCTCAACTTCTCAGCCCAACTATCTAAATCATCAGCAGCAACATCACCTCTTCCAGCTCCATAACCTAATCCCTTCTTCCTCCCATACCTCAAATGGAACCACCACCATACCCCAAATGCCAAGAGCAATGAAGCAGCAGCACCAAACACACCAGCAGCAATTATAATAGCAAGACTCTTCTTGCTCAATCCACCACACTTCCCTAACGGCTTCCCACAGAGCCCATCATTCCCCTCAAAATCAGCAGAATCAAACCCACTGAAGAAATCAGGAACCCTACCAGTGAGCCCATTGTTCTGCACAGAGAACTTCTTCAACCTAGACAAACTATTGAACCCATAAGGGATTGAACCAGAGAGCTTATTATTCGACAGAATCAAGCTGTTCAAGTAACTACACCGCGAAAGGTCGGGCGGGATTGAACCAGTGAGATCATTGTTCGACAAATCGAGCGTCACAAGATAGGGCAACCAATTGCATATCTGGGGAGGAATCGTACCAGAGAGAGCGTTGTTAGAGAGATCCAGCACCGTGATGCTGCCACAGTAGGCCAACGAATCCGGGACTGGACCGGCGAGACTCATGTCCCTCAATTCTAGGTTTATGATCCTGCTCTCCCGATCGTTCCAGCAGGAAACCCCGACGAACTTGCATATGTAGTTCCCCGTCCTGTTGCTGAAGTTCCAGGAGCTCAATTTCGCTTCTGGGTCTTGCAGCGAACTCTTTAGACCTTCCAGGCACCTGACGTCATCTTCCACGACTTGGGAAACTATTAGACTAGGGGAGAAGAAGGTGGCGATGAGCACCAGAGTGAGTAAAGTAACGAACTTTATGCTGTGGACCGAAGAACCCATCAGGGCGATTCAAGATCGGAGATTTCTACAGGGTTTTTTTAGCTGGGTTTTAAAGAGAAGAAAAGGGTGCTGCTGCTGCTGGGGAAGAAGAAGAAGCCATATTTGACTTTCAATGGCTTTCTCGTGGCATGGGATTATGAAGGGAATGGAATTTGGGATTCGGTAGTAGTACTTGGTTGATTTGGTGGATGATTATATGATAAATTTTTATTAAATAATGATTAAATTGCTTGATCATGATTTGGTTGTGTAATGTTGAAGGCATTTTATCGCGGGAGTGCTTTTCTTTCTTTCTCTTTCGGTCTTCGCTTTTCCCCTGTTTAGTTCTGGAGTTTATTATTGTAAGGCCCCCATTTTCTTAAGCATTGCGTGTTGCTGGAATTAGGTGAATGTGACACCTTTCTTTCTTTGACTAATTCGCAAAATGAACTATTTGCTGGGGAGCATGTAATTATAAGGTTTGATTATTCTTTGTTCTTTTTTTTTTATTCATTTCCAATTTTGAGAGATTAGTTGGTATTCTCTTCTGACCAGAACATGAGTAGACTTTTCTATTTTTGGTTGCACAATGTTTTGATTAGTTTTCATTTATTAAAAAAATACCTAAATTTTGAACATCTAGAAAGTACCGAAAAATCTATAATTTATAAAAAACAAACCAACATTAATTAATAGAGTTCGACAAAAAAAAAAACATTAATTAATAGAATGTGTTTTGGGGTGAAGTGGAATAATTTTTGTAATTTTTTTGAAAATAAACGTGCTCAGTGTGGAATAGTATAAGGATGAATGACATCATTGAAAGTGGCTATGACATGAACCAAAAAAAACGAAACAATGCGAGTTAGACACAAAGTTGATAATATCTTGATCAAAGAAATGCTGAAATGTTATAAAGGTTAAAAAATGTGCGAAGTCTTAAACCCCATATGACTAATTTCATAGCACAAGTGTCTATAATTAACAATGGAGCTACCAAGAGACATTGAATTACATTTAGTTCGCTAAATAATCCGCAACATGATTTGGTTTGCAATGGACTTGTAACACCTAAAAAATTTCGACCCTAGTCCATAATCATGAGTCTAGTCTGATGGATAATAAGAAATTATTCAGCCGTGATCCCTCATAATTCACTCATATATCTTTTGTCATCTTTGTTTTAACCTTTCTTCGTACTGAACAATTTAATACAACTCAATACCACGTTGCATATGTTGCATATCCATGACATTCATCTTTACTCCTTTTCTTATTGCTAATTTTCATCTTTGGCCACACTTGAATTACATGCTTGCATAGCATATCTTCCCTATTTCATCACACTGGATACTGACGACTAAGATTTTAAAAGACTGAATAAGGCTTCTGTTGAGCGGGCTTTTACTCAGTGGAGGGGGCAGTAGATCTGCAAATCGATTACAAGCCCAGAGCTAATTTGTCACATTCTAGAAGTGAAAATGAGCCTGTAAATTCGAATCCCGGGAAGCGGGCCGGGCCCAAAGGGGCAATTCCGTAATAATATCAGTTCGTTTTAATTCTCAGTACCACTGTACCAGAATTTCCAAACGCAGCGGCTGAGCTTTCGCTCGTCAGTTTCTTCGATTCATCGAGCACGAACGAACGAAACCAACAATGGCTGCCGAATCCGAGGTTAATAGACGTTCTCTTTCCCTGCGGTAAAGTTTGTTCGTGGGAATGGGTTTTTAACTCTGTGCGAGTCTGTGGTAGGTGGAGAAGATGGCGGCGGTAAAGCAGGCTTACGCTGAGATGATTTACAACCTGGAGAAGCAATCGGCGGTTCGAGAAATGGCCGCCGAGATGCGAGCTCATCGGCTTCAGCAGGACATCTCTGCTACGAACAAAGAATCCCTTCGCTTGCTTGTTCGTTTCAAGCGGATGATCGATACCAAAGTAAACTTCCCCCCGCTTTCGCTTTCATCAATTTGGCTGAATTTCATTCTTGCTTGCTCAATCCTGATAAGTAATGGAATCAAAATGATCTGTTAAGTTGATTGTCAGGGTTTCTATTAGGTGTAAGAGAGAGAGATAAAACAGCCAATTTAGTCACCTACAGTAGTTGTGAAAGGCATAATAGGCTTTCGGCATTGCTCATTTTGTGTCTCTTTGACAATGCTGAGCTATTTGTCACTCATTTGGCATGTTGACTTGTTATGTAAGGCTACTGAAGCAAAGATGGCATTTACACGAAGACAGAGCAAGATTGATGAACTTGAAGAACAATTAGAAGAGGCTGAGGGTATCATAGTAGATGTTAGAGCAGAGTTGAAATGGGTTCGAGATAAGCTGGACAAGGTGAGAAATAACCGATGCCATCCTTCTGTGGAACAAAACGTGGAGGAAAATTTCTCAAAGGCAAGGCCTGGAATTAGTAATACATCACCCAACTCGCCTTTGCAACTTGCAATAAATTCTGGCTTGGATTACATAGATAATAGAGCCTCACTGAATGGCCAATTGGTTGTCCCTCAAATTGAGAATGTTTCCTCTGGTAGTCCTGAATCATCATTGACTAAAATGGGAATGGACGAGTTCGAGATTAGTAGAAGTGACCAGACAATCAAAATGCTGGATGGCAGTCCTGGAGATTTGATCAATAGGCGGGGTCTCATTAGGAATGAGTTGGTGAGTACAACGAATAGTCAAGCTGCAGCGGACTGCCACGTTGTAAGGACTGCAGGAATACAAAGGAGCTTCTATCCGGATGACCTAAAGTACAATGGGATCAGGAGATCACGTCGAAGAAAGGCTCGGTTTGGAAAAAGTAAAGCTAAGTGCAGGTCCTTACAAAGTAAGCTCATCCTAAAACCCTATCAGCCACCTTCTATTTTCTCGTGGAAGAAAACTAGTTCAGCCAATGGGAACGCTAAACCCTCTTCAGACTTTGGGGTGATTGACATGAAGGGTTCCGGTGAATTGGCAGAAATCTCAAAGCACAATGGTGGGTGTTTTAAGAATGAAAAGTTAATGTTATCTGGTGAGCACTCTCAAGTTTGTCAACGCTCGACACTTGGCCAATGCAGGACTTTTGCATTTCAACTCTTCGGCAATGCTAAATCAGGTGATGGTCGGTCAAAGGTAACTGATACTGTAATTAACTTGAAGACATTACCACGTCTAGATCCGGGATTGACACTAATCAAAGGTGGAGTGAATCATCCATCTAGATCTAGAAGCATTACACTAAGTACGAAGGTCCTTCAAAGAGGTGGTGGACTCCAAGATGATACAAACAATAGCATGGAGTTAGGCTATCAATCAGTTAGCTTGGGACAAGGCAGGGAATGTGTCAGTTAGAAGTGATGTGGGAGTGAGACGATCTGCAGAAACTATGACAGCAGTGCATCTTCCAAGTTCTGACATGAACTACGATGAGAAGGTACCAAAGAATATTAGTGAATGTCATCATCAGACCAACAAGAATGAGATACAAATGTTCCACAAGAAATGCAAGAAGGATGCACCATCCAGTTCTGATCAGGGCGGCTCTTTTGGAGTTAGTACTTGGAAACGAAAATTAGATAAGAATCCAACACATTATCTTGAATCATAAAAAGCTGGATTGATAAAGGAATCATCTAACGAAGTCGACTGCTAGTTGAAGTAGCTCACCAGGTTGGATTTCCTATACTCCAATTCATTCACTGCTAGCTGCGCGCATCGTTAATCTTCCTCCTCGACTTTGCTGCTCTTGAAGGTATTCTAGCTGAATATCAGAAGTACACTAAAGTCTCCTCCATAAACCAACAGGGCTGAACCGTTGTAGTTAATTGTCTATCAATGGCACATGCATGCTCAGTGCTCAGTGCTCCAAATGCCCGAACTAACTCTCCCGACCCTTCCTCTCTTAACCTTCATTTTTTGCAGCTCGTTTCCTTATCTTGATTTCGTGGCTCCTGATTTCCACCGGAGGAAAGTTTGAGAATGCAACGAATGTCCAAGCCTACCTCCACCAGAATTTCTTCACACTGACGGAAATACCTTCCAGCACGGTACGAGAGTTCTTATACCTCATTTTTATCTATGTCTTTCGTGAAGGGAGTAAGGCAAGGCACAGTCGAGGTCTTTCTTCTAACATAGGGCCTCCCTCATGGCTCTTCCACAGGTCTATCATTACATAGTGACTTAGTGAGGTTGCTGCCTACATATAAACACCACAGATAGTTTGAGGAACCCAGTTGATCGACCAGCTGGATACTTACATTTGTACCTTAGACTTGCATAATTCAGTCCGTCTTTAGCTGTCGTAGAGTTGGGTTGTGGTCTTGTGGAATGTGGGGATGTTTGGAGGAATTGGCGGGAAAGGTATGGATATTTGATTTCGAGAGGACACATAGAGGTAAAATGGGTGCTTATTAACTATGTATTCAGATCACTTGTCGCTCTCTCTCTACTGGTTTTGTTGTTCCGTTTACAGCGACCGGCGGTGACGGAGGGAATAATGGATGGGGGAGAAATGTAGGGTCGTTTTCTGTCCGTCTGTGGGCGACCAAAACAGGCGTGCTTTGGCCTTTGTGTGGTAGCGTCACGGTTCAGTCCTTCTTTTGTTTATGCATCCCGAAGCTTAGAAAGTAGGAAGACATATTCTTCTGCTTCTGCCTGCTAAAGGTGACTTGGAATAAACTTTGGATCCAATACATGAGTACTTTTTGGTTGCATATCATCATTGGTGCCTGCCATGCATTCAATCCCTAAAGGAAGTGCTGCTAGCTTTGCTTTGTTTGAAGAGGAAATCATCGCTTACTGCTTCCTGGTAGAAAGTAAACGTACAACGTGGCTGCCTAGGTTGTAATTGTAAGAGAGAGATTTGCTCAGTTGGTTAGAGGCTGCTAAACTTGGCAAAGCTCTTCAATCTTTGTTTTATGGTTCATTATCAGTGCTCTAAACAACAATGGTAAAAAAAAAAATGTATGTATGGACAACCCTTCTTTCCTTTCGTTAACTCTCTTCAAGCACTTGTGAGGTTTTGTATTTGGTTGTTTGCTGATGCTTTCTATCGATTTCTCCTAAACAGTAGTACTTAAGCCCATGCTACAACGAAATGTGTTTTTTTTTTTCTTTCGTGGATAATGACAAGAACATCTCATCTGTATTAGCTAACGAAAGTAAATTCCTTCATTGTGATGAATTAATGATAACTGATGATTCAAAATATAGTTGTACTCAGATCGATATTTTAACTAGTGATATTATTTCAATATTAGTGATATTTTCGGTTTAAGTTTAGGAAAAAGGGAGTTTGAGAGAAGAAACCCAAAAAAGTTGAGGGACCAATCCAATCATTTGTAAGCAAGAAGGTGGAAGAACCACTTCTAGGGGCAGGGCAGAGAGCATATGCCTTCTTCAGTTGTCTCCCATTAACGCCGGCCGACCGGCGCTCTCATTTCTCATCAAATCATGTGTTCCCATACGCATGCATGACCTCTCAAACCCAATTACACACACTCATAATGAACCAGAGACCCATAATATATACCTCATTCCCCTCCTCTCTTCACTTCAAATTACCGCAAGGCCTCAAATCAAGAGCGAATCCTCTGGAATTGGAGCAACAATGGAGTCCAGTTCCAAGAACTACAGCCATTACGCTTACGATAGAGAAGTAACAACAGAAATGGAGCAAGAAGAGAAGTGGGCGCACTTGATCGTATACGTAGCAGCAGGAGGAACCACCGTAGCATTGGCGTGCGCGAACAAGTTGGGAGCTATGTTGCTGATAACGGAACGATGGCGGGTTCAAGTTTTCCTCCTTCTCAACTTCCTTCTCCTGGCAATCTTCCTCACTTCCCTCCGCTCCGCCTCCCCTGCTTCGGTTCCTCCGCAACCCAGACAGCAAAAACAGAGCTGCAGCGGGCGGTCGGAATCCGAACCGTGTTCGGAGAGTCGAGTAGCTGAGATCAGAGCAACAGAGAAGAAGGAGAGCTCTGGAGTGGTGAAAGAGAAAGTTGAGAATGAATTATCAGAAGGGGGTGATGAAGAAGAGAAGTTGACGAAGGAGGAGCTGAACGAGAGAGCTGAAGCGTTTATCGCCAAGTTCAGGGAGCATTTGGTTAGAGATGCTGCCTGCATCCATTGATTCAAGAATGGCAGAGTGGGGAGAAAATTGCATCTTGGTTAACTTGTAAACAGAGTTGTCCGAACCCAAATTCGTTTTTGTTTGTCGTCACCTATTCTTCTTCTTCTTCAGATCAATGGATTAATTCTTTTCCCCTTTTCAAAATACATTTGGTTTGTTAAGAAACCAAATATTCGATGGAAATTGTTATCTGAAATTACAAAAGGTTCATATATAATGCAATAATTTTTGTTTTTTCGTAAAAAAAAAAAAATGTTGCGACTAGCGAGCATAACATCAAATTATAAGGACAATAAAGAGAACAGAAAGAAATAGAGATTTCCCCATTAACGGTGAACCTCACTGCTTATTTGATATGCTTTGATTACAAGTTCAAATTGTGCATAGTTAGAGAAGAAGGCCTTTTTGCTGGAAGCTAATGATGCAGTCATCAAACATCTGTTCCAAGGTCTTGAAAGGAGGGAAACCCAGTTGACCAATCTTGCTAGTGTCCATGCTGTGCGGGTTGCTGTCTCCCTCCTGGGCCGACAACCTGAGCCCAAATACAACCAAACAAAAAAAAAAAAATTTCAGTAATGCATATGGGCCTTGAAATGGGCCTTTGAATTGTCTTTGCTAACTCACTTGGATTCGTAAGGATAGTCCGGATATTTGGGCCTGAGCATGTCGATGACCTCCGACCAGTGAGCCACGGAGCCCGACACAACCAGCCTCCCAGAGGCTCTCCTGTCCTCCATGGCCAATATGTGGGCTGCTACCACGTCGTCTATGTGAACGAATCCCACCGTTGTGTTTGGAAGCTCCCCTCGCAAACCTATTGATGACCCAAAAAATTGGCAAGAATTAGCTACAGCAGTCCTCCAATTGGCATAATAATATGGGAATAAGACCTACTAATCTTTGATATTAAATCATACTGAACCTTTGACAATTGCAAGGACGAGCAGGAGGGTGCTGGTGGGCTTGGGCCCAAGCAACGGGCCCACGACGAAAGAAGGGTTGACCACCACAAGGTCGATGCCATGCTCCTCGGCTGTCCTCCATGCTTCTAACTCGGCAGTCGTCTTCGCGAATGCATACCATAGCTGTACGTCAAGAAGCAGGAACTAATTACGATTATAATACTAAATGACGAGTTAATTAATTAATTAATTATGACATAATGTAATACAAATACATTGTAGCGCTTGCAGTAGTCGAGGTCGCTCCAGTGGGACTCGTTGAGAGGGGAGGCGGCCTGCGCATCGAAACGGTACCGTATGGAGGAGCAGGATGACGTCAGGACCACCCGCTTCACCGTCTGGGATTTGGAGCATGACGTCAGAACGTTCAGCGTGCCCTTTATGCATGGATCGATCAGGCTCTCCTGGATGTTGTCGTCGTAGGGGACGAGCACCGGCGAAGCGGTGTGGAAGACGCCGTCGACGCCTCGGACGGCGTCGTCGAAGCTCTCCGGGACCAACAGATCGGCTTTCACGAGCTTCAGCCGCTCTTTAGCTCCCTCCAGTTCCCACAGAAACCCAACTTTGTCTTCATCCCCTGAACGACGTACGACGACATATATATGTATAGTGTTCAAAGCTGATGATTTGATTAAACGTAAGGGGAAGAGACTTGGCCGGCGGGGTAGGATTACCTGGGTCGCGGACGGTGGCTCTAACGGTGTGGCCGTGTTGAAGCAACGACTTGATCAAGTAGGCGGCGATGAAGCCAGTCCCGCCGGTTACGCAGTACTCTTGTTTTCCCATCCTCACTCCTCCAGCTCTTTCTCTCTGTATTTCTGGTCATTACTCATAAGAAAACTTTAATGGCTGACTTAACTATATCAGGGCGGTTTATGCTGGATGGTATAACATTGGTCGTTTTTAATTTGTTGTAAAAGCCGATAACACAATGACAAATTTAAGGGGGAAAAAATATAAGGAAGCTTGGTAGATGTTTTTTAGGTGGCTTTTTCTTTTTTGTATGTTTTCTTTGCCATGGATTTCAGGTGGCTTTTGTACTTTTGTTCCCTTTTAATTTTCTTGCAATAGAAGAAGTTGTCACCATTCATAAAAAGAGCTGGGTAGATGATTCATGCAATAGGTGATGGTATGTGTTATATATATTTTAACCAATTTTTCCCCCTCAGTTTTCTTTCTTGTATGGCTCAGTTACTGAGTTAGGTAAATGGTCACTGAAGTTTAGATTTGGTGGCAATATATGATCGCTCATCAAATTCGATTTTAGCGATCATGTTATCCATCACTATCAATTTTTTGTCAAAAGCGGTGATTAGAATCACTTAAATGAAATAAAAAAAGTCATACAAACCATCTAATATGCTACTACCAGGGAAGTATGACGGAAGATATCATGGATGGTTTGAAGTAACATGAACTGAAATCAAATCGAATAATCAAATACTTTAACCGCGAAAATGAGTTAAAATAGAACGTAAATATCGGCTTGTTATAATTTATCTGTCATTCAGTGACCCATGCAACCATGTGGATGATTTTTTTTTATAGTTATATTATCAATACGTCATATTGCCGCAAACAATAGTAACTAATTCTGTTGATGAACGATTACAAAAAGAGATGAATGAATAACCACATAGCGCGACCTATATTTCTATGAGCAGAACCTCCTTGTATCTTGACTGGGTATTGGGCTTTCTGAAGCTGACATTTTGTTTGTGTTGAGTTGGATGGGCTTTGGTGGATTTAGGCAAGACGGGGCCCAGGAAATGGGTCTCTGTGACCAATTTGGCGCAGCTCATTCGACGTACAGGAAGGCGAGTAGGAAATGTGCGGAATCCTTATCCTTTTCGACTACATAAATGGTAGTGTACCATGTGGTACTACGTCTACTACCTAGCTAGCAAATCGACGTGTGGGGAAGAGTAACTCAGATGGCTACTGGTTTGATGGTATACTATAGGGTGATGGAGAGGGACGACTAGAATAAGGACCATCTAGGAGCAAGTTGCTAGACAGATGAATAATGCATTCATACCGGTAACTAGATAGCATTACTTCTCAAATGCCACCGTCGACTAGTTCGTTTCATCTATGGATCGAGTTCGAGTTTAGTCCGATCTTTTGATACTTGTGAGACATAATTGTATATGGTGTAAGAAAAAACTCTTGAATATATAGAAATGAAGACTTGATTTCTTTAAGATGACCATTTAAAGAAGTAAACCAAAGAATATGAACAAGTGAAAATGAGCTTCTAAATATGAACGCATAATTCATAATTATTAACCGAATGCACTAATTTTATAGAGAAAATAGAAGCGATCAATGTTAACAAATTCAAGTATATTGTATAGAGAAAATAGACATGGTGCAATTTATTAGAACATGTATTATTGTTCATTTGGATATCTATGTAGTTAACCCTTTCAACCTTCCACATACATCTAACTGAAGCGATGAAATCACAAGACTTGGCGACATCTTGCATATACCCACCAATAAAAATGGCCGGACTCCACAAGGCCGGCGAGGTATTTGGGCGTGAGGTGCGTTGCCTGCCGGCAAAGAGATACTGAGAGGCCGGCAACGGCACGGTCCTACTCCTGTCCTTGGGGCTCTAAGAGACGTTGATTGATATCAGTACTAATTAATTACTCCCTGCCACCACCAATCCATCACGGTCTCTCTCCCGGTTCCATTTATTAATGTTTCGTTTCGTTAAAGCAGAGTGGAATGTCTCAACTGCAGAAAACGAAAGCTACTGGTTTGTGTACCCACCAAGTCCAACCACCATGAGAACAAAAGGTAAACAAGTAATACTGCTCCTGAATTATATGAAAACACCTTCTCTGCCAAATACATTTGGGTTCTTTCACTTCTATCAACTGCATTAATTAATTACTGTAATTGAACTCAAAGACAGGCGGAGTTCACTAAGTAACCATGTAACATTTGATAATTAATATAGAGGAAAGCAACAAAACAAGACACGGATTTACATGGTTGAAACTATTTGGTTTAAGTCTATTTCACAAAGAGATTCATCACGCTTAGCTAAGCTTCTCAAATTTTCACTCATGTCATTCTCATTCATCTACTCTATACAACATAGCTTCATATAAATTGTTTGGGAAGATTGGGGGTGGGGGAGGTTGGATATGGTTCTACATCTTCTCTATCCGATTCCTAATGGGGACCAAATTGAATAGCATGATGAGGAAACTTAGCAATCACGAGAGAATAGAGATTTTGGCATCTACCCTATTGCAACGTTAAAGAAGGGTAGGGAGAGTCGACCACTCGATCACTCCAAAATTCCTATCTTATCGTTGATACCGCTAAATCAATTATTTAGTTATTTCGAATTCTGTAGTTAAATCAAGAAAAATAAAACAAAACAACACTCACAACACACACATGACCACCGGCACCAGCATTAGCAGCCAGCCACCTCACAAGGCAAACCATGATGAAGCTAATGATGGGAAAGTGTGCGGTTCCCTCTTGTCCCCTCTATTTTTTAGGACTGACTATTTGGTCCCGGACTGTTTGGTTTTACCCGAAACCGGACCGTATAATCCGGACTAAGACCGGATAGCAAACAATGCAATCTCATATTCGGGCTTAGATTTGAGGTAAAAAACCGGATAAAGACCGGATAAGAGACCCCCAACACCTAAAACCAAGATAAAATTGGGACCGGACCGGGTCAAGACCGGACTGTATCCAATCCAATCTTTGGTCCTTATATTCCCGAAAATACCGGACTTGGATCAGATCAATTTGGTCAAATTTAACCGGACCGGACCATATTGCCGCCCCTACTATTTTTATCTGAATTTTCACTGTCTCTTTTCCCCTTAGATATTTAGCTTCTTATGTAAGCCCTTCACGAAACATGGGAAAAGTTTAAAGATACGTTTTTACCTAATATGTACTGGCCATTCATTATAAATGAAGCTCTCTTTCTAAATTTGTAAGTTTCTAAATGTTCCAAAAACGTCACTCACACTAGCTCATTGGTCTCTTGAAACGTCCTGGAGTTCTCCGCTCCAAGATCTAAAGACCAAACCATAAGCTGAAGAAGACAAAAGGAGACTGCCCACATAAAAAGGAGTTACCCAGAGAGATTCCAAGATTTGTTGCACAGCAAAATTTGTCCTGTAACGCTCGATGTATACAATGAGCGTTTAATGGTGAAAACTAAGTTTTGTTGGCGAATCAACAGTTTTCTTCCTCTTCGGGAACCATGCTAGAAAATGATGAAAGGTTGGCTGTAGTAGGAAAGAGCAGAAGAGTTTCATTGGCTGCGAGGTTATGGCGAAAAGGTTTTCTAAGTGGTTGAAGAAGAAGAAGAGAGCTGACTGCAATTATCGTACGAATCTAGTTACAGGTATCTAAGCTCCAAATGTCTGCATATACTTGATCCTTAAGTTCGTTTTCCTCAGGGTTCAAAGGTTCTTATATTCCTCTCAGGTCTTAAGTACTTAATTTTTTCTGCAGATGAGAGCGAAGATGGAGAGGAGGAGACAAGTGATCATTTCTTCAGGTCAATCGATACTGATCCATGCATTCCAACTAATGAGTTAAGGTAAAGGTTCATGTTATTCTACTCATTAGAATAAGAAAGTTCAGGTCTCCTGATGAAGCTAATTGGAAGAACAAGGACAGGGCATAAACAAAATTCTGTTACAATATGTGCAGAGTATTCATTGGGACATGGAATGTAGGTGGAAAGTCTCCAGTGGGAAACCTAACTGTAGATTTGGATGAATGGCTGAATCTCAAGGAGGCTGCTGATATCTATGTTCTAGGGTAAGATAAGATAACTACGTACAACCAGAGATGGAGCTCTCTCTTTTCTATCCATCAAACTTCCTATTCAAGGTTTGAGAAATTTTTTGTCTATCTTTGCAGGTTTCAAGAGATAGTACCCTTAAAGACTCTTAACGTGCTGGGATTGGCAGACAAAACTGAAGCGACGAATTGGAACCTGTTGATAGGGAAAGCACTCAAGGCGTATGGGGGGAGAAGTAGCAGCAAGTACAAGATGATGGCAAGCAAAAGAATGGTGGGAGTGTTTATATGCGTGTGGATGAAGAAAGGGGTACTGAGGAAGTACAGTGTTTCAAAAGCTAGGGTGAGTTCTGTGGCTTGTGGCATCATGGGATGTTTGGGGAACAAAGGTGCAGTAACTGTTAGCATGTCTATTGAAGGAGTTAGTTTTTGCTTCATAGCTGCTCACTTGGCTTCCGGTGAGAAGAAAGGCGATGAAGGGAGAAGGAATCGTCAAGTGTTAGAGATCTTCCGACGAACTTCATTCTTACTACCATCTAAAGATGATCCTAATGATGACCACTACCACCCGCCAACCATCCTGGGACACGAGTAAGTTCTCTAGTGTTTTGTTTTCTAAGTAAATGCAATTAGAGGAGCTATAAGAAGATGATGCAGAGTTTTCTGAGCTCTATCAATAAATTATGCAGTAGGATATTTTGGTTCGGGGATCTGAACTACAGGTTGTACCTGGAAGATCACTTGGCAAGGGACCTGGTCAGCAAGTATGACTGGGAAGCTTTGCAGGCATATGACCAGCTCCGGTGCGAACTTGAAGAAGGAGGAGCATTTGAAGGTTGGAGAGAAGGCAACCTTGAATTTGCGCCGACATACAAGTATTCTGAATCGAATTGTGATCGATATTCTGGCAGCTTCGGGGGGAGATCTGGAGAGAAGCAGAGGACACCTGCATGGTGCTTCATTAGTTAAAAATAAATCACTTGACTATTCTCTATTATTATCTGCTATTGATGGGCAAATGATAAAAAAAATTAATGAAACGCAGGTGTGACAGAATCTTGTGGTGGGGAGAAGGGGTGAAGCAACTTTCATATTTTCGTTCTGAAAGCATGTTCTCTGATCATCGGCCTGTTTCGGCATTGTTCTCCATGGAAGTAGAAGTCAGAAAGGAAACAAATCAGAAAGTGTTTCCTGTGAATGCTACTGAGTTCCGACCTCTTGAAAATTTGGTGAGTTCACAAACGTCAGCACCACAATTGCAATAATGACCAGCGTGTAATTCAGACCTAATGATATCAAATTTTGTGTTTCAGCTGCCAAGAAACAGTGAGGAAGACAACAAACCTGCTACCTTGCTATCCATGCTTGAAAGGGATATAGACGAATAACAAATATAGATAGTCACAAAAAGCTGGTGCAAAAGCGAAGGATACAGGTTTGTACACAGGGCTTCTGGCTTGTCATGCTGTACCAGGTTGCCTTGAAGGAGATGCAACATTCCCAGATGTCCACCTCTAGTTCTTTTTGAACTCGCTATTCTTTTCACTGTAGATAAGCATTGTTATGCATAACCTGAAGACAAATGTATACAAGGGCTGAAGGCCACTAAGAGTAACTTAGTGTTCATAGAAAACATTCATTCATCGCTACACCCCGGATATGTCGGACTAAAGACGAAGACAGCCAGCTGCTACTTTGTAAACAGTTCAACAAATCAAGAACATTCTTTATATGCATCTTCAAGAGATATGAATTAGGAAACATCTTTATGAATATCAACATAGGATCTATATCTATCTGACATCATATTCGAATTGAAGGTAACCAGCCAGTCAGATTAACACGACCTACAAATGTTCTCGTGCTACATTCAACTACAAGAATGCAGTAACATGACAAAATTTGTATAGGGGATCAAATTTAAAGAAGAGTGCCGCCAAGCTTCTCCGAATTATCCTTGTGGCAACTTGGACAAACACATCACTTCTGCAGCTCATCGCCAAGAACAGTGCATTCCTGTTCTAATTCAGAAGTCTGCTTGTGTCAGGTCAAAGAAATAGATTTGGAGTTTACTTATAAAGAATCATGTTTCATTAGGCATTTCTTGATAAGAACGGTAGTTTAGGGCGGGTCAAGACTGAAAGATGATATGCTCCTCAATAGAATTGGATTTATAGAGTGAAACCTCTATAGGTTTTTTTTTTTTTTAATTCTAAGAACACAGTCTAGAATCCATCAAATTCTAAAAGAAAGATGGAAAATCTGTAGATAGAACCAAGGATATCTTCTTAAATCCTGCAATGCTTCACTCTCTTTCATTATCATCTCTACCAAAGAAATCTTCCCCTCAAGGTCACCATACTCCAGCTGGATCTAAACAGTAACCATTTCAGACATGCAAGATCGTTGACCACACATTTTAAACCAGAGCAGCAATTTCTTACTTGCTTCTGAACATTTTCCTCAGCTTGGTATGCTTGTGCCTCCTTTGCTATCTCAGAATTGACTTGTGTAAGCATAGCATCAAGATTTCCTTGATCAACTTCAGTACCTGTCTTCTCTGTACCAGAGGCCGAAAACAGTTCCACATCAAAGTCAGAACTACAAAAGAGCGAGATCAACTACATAACAAACATAACCAAGGAACCGTAAAAGATAATCTTTAGGAGCCGCAATCACCAAGCTTATGAACACTGAATATGCTGCTTATGAGGGAAAGAGAAGGACAAAACTCAAGTGCATAAGGACGGAAGAATTTTAGGTTCCATGGCCAGCCCATAGATTCACAAATGTGCATATGATCACCTGCAGCAGTCTCACTTGATACCATCTGGTGGAAATTCCTACATGACGCACGCATAATTCGAGGTCTCAGTTCACTTGTCAGACTGAACAATCAGATCTGAATTGAACGCTTCTGAAACATGCATAATCACTATCTAGAGATGACAAAACCAAGCATAACATATGCATCTTGCCACTAGGGCACTCTATTCCCTATATTAGACGTAAAAGCCAGAGCCTAGTTAAAGAATATACGAAATGTACAGGCTAACCTTAACCGAGAGTTGACCTCCAACATCTGGCGAATGAAATCATCCCTGGATTTAGAGCCACAAAGCATTACAAGCCGGAAATTTAGTAGGTATTCTACTCAATCAGCTAAAGAACTGAAGGCTATTGAAAGCAAAGCAAACTGTTCTTACCGTAAAGCTCCTCTTTGGTTCTTTACATCCAAGCACCATTCAAATGAAACAAACCCCCAAAAAACAAGTGAAATTAGGAACAGTGTCCGAGTAGAGTAATTGAAAGCTCCAATCCTACTGATAAACTACAAGAACCTAAGCATTTCGGCTCGATTACCTTAAGCTTCTCCAGTTCAGATCCGGCTGCGGAGATTTGATTCTGGAGCAGAGAATTTCTCGACTGCAAAAACCATTTGTGAAACCTCACTATACCGCCAGAATTCAATTTGAATCACAGCTAAAAGGAAGTTACTACAACCGCTTGGAAATTTCTTGAAGCAAACCTGCATCGTCTGAACCGAAGCATCAAGCATGGATAATTCAATCTCGTAGCCTTTGAGCTTCTGTTCAGCATTCTCCTTGAACCGCTTAGCCTGGTCCACCTCCGCATCCACAATTTCAAGCTCGGAGTGGGGGTCTTGATCTCGTTTCTTCGAACCAAACAGTCTTCTCTCTGCATGAACTCATCGCCGATTTCAAAGAGAATTCAAAAGTCGGACATCGGAAAACAGCAAAACAGTCGCAGCTCCGATTACTCAATTTGAACAAGCTCCTATTGAAAAGCCTCTCTGCGTTTGGATTTTGCGCTAAAGCTGAAGAAGAAAGAAGGAAGAAGAATGGAAGAGAATCATTCCGAAGTGCCTACCTCCTTGCGGTTTCTCAGAGGCGAAGTCGCGAATCAGAGCTAGGAGCTGCTTCTGCTCGGTTCCCGCCATTGCAATGCTGCTGTCTGCTGTGCGCCTGAATCCTGATGGTGAGCTTTCTTCGTGTTTTCTTTTTTAAGTGAGTTTATATTGTACCGTTTGTGTTTGCGACTTGCGAGTTGCCGTGAGTTTATTCTTACCTTTGGGCTTATTGGGCTTTCTCGAAGGTGGATGTAGAGTATGGGCACTGGATAATTCGAGATTGGGCTTCGATTAATGAGTGTATGATTCGGAAAGCCCGTAATATTTTTACGAATAGCTTTCTGCTCCTTGAAAACAAGAAACCTTTGCAAGCAGGAGCTTTTAAACGGAAACAAACAACAAGGCGGTCGGCTCTGAACTTCTGATCAAAGAAAAGACAGACATGCCAATTGTTGAATGTGCAGCTACAAACATCACTGCTCATAAATGAGGCCGTCTCAGAAACCACACAGCCATACACAATAACGGTGTCGTTTTCACTTCTTCTCACGCTACCACTTAACGACGTCGTCTTTAGAGCCTCCAGTCTCTACGATGTCGTTGCAAGGAATCGTCCTTCAATCTTAAGGAATCGTCTTTACAGCCTTCTCGAGCAGTATTCTCCAGCTCTCCATCTCCAATCTTATGGAGACAACTTTTCTCGAAGGCTGCTTTCCTCGATCTGGTTCAAGATAGTCATCGCCTCTACAAAGAAGCTATGATGATTACTATCTTAATCATCATACTTAGGAAACGGTCATCTGCCGAGAAACGGTTATCTTCTCCACTCTATAAATTAGGTAATCTGACCTAGCTGTAGAATTTGGCAGTCGACAGAAAGAGTCTTGGGTGTATTTTCTTTCTATCGTGGGTCCTTGCTTGAGTGTGTGTTTTAGCTCCTTAATTCACAGTGTTTGAACTGGGTGAATTAAGGATTGGGAAGTTTGTTGAGTGTTTAATTTCGTTTCATAGAGCCAATTTGCTTTGGCTTGACTAAGTGTTCGTTTGTAGTTCTGAATCTCTTATCTATAAATAAAATCATCTGTTCTTTTAAAAAGATCTTATTTAGAAAGAGTAGAATTAGTCAAATCAACAAATTCTATCCTCTTTATCTAATCTACACCAATTGCCAAATGGCCACCTGATTTTCATAACTATTAGACAAATAAAAATCAATTTTCTATGATCTTCCAAACACCCAATCTAGCCATCTTCCTCCACCACCTCCTCGTCGTTCCAATTGCCACTACTGCTGCTACCGCCGCCACCGCAGCAAATGCAAACTCCTCGGAGTAGAAATCACCGCCGGAATCACTGCTTTCTCTAAACAACGCATTTTCTAGACTCTGATACGCCATCACTCGGCCTTCTTCTTCCCCGTCGTCCATGAGAAACGCACCCAGATACTTGTGTTCCCCAATCACATTAAAATCCCCCTGGTACGCTGCGAAATACATGGTGGGGATTTTCATTTTTGCCCCAAGTCACGTCGAATCCAGGACAGTTTCTCAACGTCCTTCATTTTTATTTTTAATAATTCTGAAAATGAGGTAGAAGTAATAAAAGTTAAAATTTTATTTATATTTATTTTTTAATAGCCACATCACTCATTTAAAGGTCAACTATCATAAGAGTTGACTATCACGCTAGATAAATTTAACGAAGACTAATGGAGATTGACCAAACTTGAACTATTGAACTAATCTTCATAACTACGAATGAAATAAAATATTTTAATTACCAAACATGACATTTTTAGTAAATCAAGTGATCAAACTTGCAATTGACCAAAAAAAAAAAGAAACGAGATGATATTCTTATATTTAGAATGATCACAGTACACCAGAATTTTGAAAGGACAAAATATAATAAATTTCAAACTCGGGCGAGTTTGTGTGAATGTAACTAGTCTAATGCTTTCTACTTTATAACTAAAATTCATCCCCTTTTATTGATCGAAAATCTAGGTTCATTCGATTAAGTGATTCAATCTATATTAGTTATCCTTACACATGAATCCAAATAATGAATTGTAGTTGTAAAAAAAAAATGAATTGTAAAAATACATTTTTGTTCTTACGATACCATAGTTTGAATATTGAACTAATCACGCACATCACCGATCTTTGAAAGTTCTTACTAATAGTATCACTCACGCATCACATTCAAAGTCCTTGTTTGACTGCTACGAGACAGAACTATCGATCAAGAAAGAAGAAGAAAAAAAAAAGCAGCTTAACCATTCTAATCAGTGTAATAATTAATTACTTTCCCATTGTCTCCTCCAAGCAAAAAGTGCTTTGGAGTTTGGCCTATATAATCTGTATGATAATTACGTTGGAGTGTCCCACTACATTATACTTTTTTACCCTTAAAAAAGAAGGTGGGGGAAAATTAACAGATGTGGATGAATGATATCCATTGTTTTGTTGTTTGCTTCATTACCCTACCCGAGGAACGAATAAAGCTACAGAGATCTGGCATTTGTTTTTGTTTTTTCGCCTAGCTTTCCAGAAAGGGAAAGGGAAATCGTACAGGCGAACAGAGGATCAAACAGTTGAGTCACTTTGTTTTGTTATATAGGAAGACAAGTTGCGACCTTTGATTTGATACCACAGGGACGGACATCTGCTAATTTAAGGGCGCACTAAACACTAAAATGGCCTCCTCCACTTCCACTTCCACAAACGGAAACCTTTTCTTCTACCGCTTCATCATTGAAATGGCGACCGTACGGCAACGATGGAGGATGCAACTCCATAACATTTATTCATTTTTTCTTGAGAAACTTGGTCATAAATGACAAGGGATGATACAAGTTCATGAGAGCAACCGCTTAAATGGATACAACATCTCTATAGTACTGGTTATTTATCGCATGTGTAATGGTGAATCCTGATCCTTACGAACATTTGGCGAGTACCTTGAACATATAACTTTATGAATTTAAAACCTGTGAATTTACTAATTCTATCGAATAAGAGTTTCTCAAGTATGATATTTCTGTTAGAAGAAGAAGTCCGAATGGCATAAGGATTGGGGTTAGGCGCCAAAGCTTCAAGTTCAAAGTCTGCCAATTGATACTGTGTCGTTTAAGTTAAGTTTGTCTGTGTAATAATCAATACTGCACCGTTTGCAGTCATCGACGGATACAGGGGGCCACACTGGGCCCGGGCCCAGCCCTCCCTGCCCCCCAAGACCCAACCCAGCCACTTTTTTAATGATTGGATTATTTGGGCCCAGCCTAGTCCCTGAGTCCCAAGACCCAGCCCAGCCGGCCAGCCCAAAGCCCCAAACAAATCTGAAATCTTTAAAGTCAAAACCCAATACCCAAACTAATAATCTCAAAGACTGAACTAATAATCTCCCGCCCCCGAAGTCTCAAACTAATAATCTGAATTCTGAAGTCTAAAAAAAAAAATGATAAGAAGACAAACAGTCGGAACAGAGCTCCCGGCCTCCCCACCTCCCCGAGACCCTCGCCCGGCGCCGAACAGAGGGAGATCCCCTCGACCCCTCCCCTGTATTTCTTCGTTCTTACTTCTTTCTCTGCAGCAGCGGCTATAATGAGGAATCAAGTTCCCTTAATCCCTTGATCCCTTCACAGTGAAAGTAGTGATTAGATGACAATTCCCTTAATGGCTTGATCCCTTCACAGTAGTGATTACGGATTAGACGACAAGGACAACAGCAAGTCAGCAACAGGTAATTGCAATTTGCCAATTGATTTTACCGCTTTAGTTTACTTAATCTTATTTACTTAGAAATTAAGTTTGTACAGTGCAATTATGCATTAAGTTTGTATCCAAGATGGGCGATGAATTTCTTGCTGATTGCTTAACTATTTTCTTTGAGAGAGAGTATGTTATTGGTATGGATGAAGACTCAATTATTGACGAATTTGCTAAATTAAAAGACCGTCGTGTACAATTGACATTGTAATGCAAACTATAATTTTTTTTTGTTTACGGTATCTAATTTTATGTTCGAATCCGGCCCAGTGCACTTCTATATCCTGGATCCGCCGTTGTTTGCAGTATGTCTGTGTCAACTGTCAGTCCTTGAGTTTCTATCATAGTTCGTTTTGAGTCCTGGTTAGTTGAGTTAGTCGTTGCGAGCTTGTAGCTCAAGTAGTTAGTAGTGTTAGCTGAAAACTAGGATCGTGGAGTTAAGGTTGTTAATTGTAGTCCGTGATTGGGGCTAGCAACATCATCCTCTTTATATTTCCAGTTGATCATTAATAAAACCTCTTCAGATTGCATTCAAAGTGTTTCTACAATTTCGATGTACAATCACTTCTTTTGACATAGTAAACTTCTTTGATTTTTTGTGTTAATAATTCATGTGAGAGATTGAATGAGTACTAGCAAACTAGGTTTCGTCAAAAAGAAGTGGAAAACCGATCAAAATATCCACACGATCGATACAGTAAATACATATAATGACTCCCAATTCTGTAAAAAACCATTAAAGCAATCATTATCATTAGCTCATGTGGACAGAGTCATAGGTTAAAATGGAAGTGTCGAATGTTACCAAAGTGGCGGATAAACCAGCTGGAGGATAAAAAGGTAGCCACGTCACTATTTTGCTAAGATATGATAACTAAAATTTCTACATCAATTAAATTTTGATAGAGTTGAATTCACGTCACGTGAAAATTAATTAACTATATTGAAATGCTTAGTGGTTAGTGGATCACAACAATAAAATAAGGAGGAGAGAAGCTCAACATCTGTAGAATCGTGGTCGAGTTTCGGGTATGAGAGATCACCCCATCCACGAACGGTTGTGTCTAAATTACAAAATAATTTTATTCAAATTATTTATGGTTTTATTTTTATTATATCATATTTTATCTATAATAAAGATGTAATTATGGGCAATCTTAATGCATTGAATAATTTAAATTTAGTTTTCATTTCATAGTTTGTTTCCCAATTTTGCTGAAAAATCATTTCAAATATTATCTTCTAAAATACTTATTTATATGGACCCACCTATCCTGATCCAAAAATATGCTCGATCTGTCACGAGATGAATAACAGTATCGAAATACCGAACATGCACATTGTGATTCCTATTATCCATGTGACTATGTAGTATGTACTTTCCCATATTCCTTCACCTTTCCCATACAATGACCCCAACGATTTCTTTTCAGAGGAACCCATTCGATAGAACAACGTTGTGTAGGACACCACAATCACCAACCAATCTGTTTTTACGTAAAAAAACAAGGACCAATTTTGCTTTAACGATCAATCCAGTTTAAGCCTCTATAGTACTGGTGATCTGGGAAAGCTGCATGCATGCATCTCTCCTATCCTATATATACATCGAACACAGCTCAAAGAACAAGCAGCTGATGGTCGCTTTTGTGAAGTAGCTAGCTAGCATATTCTTTTTCAGAAAAAAACTTTGGTTCCCAACAAAAGTGTTTACTTTTTTAGCTAACACAAATTTAGAGGTGCACATTGATGTATGCTTGATAGACATTCAGAAAGAGGTTCTAATTTGATGAAGATCGAGCTGATATTGCCATCAAAGATCCATCAATTAAACGATAGGTTTGAATGAGAAATGAGAAATTTGGGGAATATTTTGAAGAAATGAAGGGAGATGTAGAACAAAATTAAAGTTTGGGTAAGGGTGTGCAGCAGGTTGGTCCGTATTGGATCAAATCGACGTTTGAACCGGATCATACTGAACCGAATATAATATAGTTCAATTCTTGATCTTCATGAAATTTATAAATACTCAAGAAAAATGGATTAAAGTAACGTTTGGATGAGACCGAATACGATGTTATTAGATCTAAATTTTTTTTCTTTATATAAGAACTGACTGATTTTTTCTTTATCCTTTTAGGGAGAAGTTATGAACTATGATACCATAAGGTCCATAACGATATGTATATTGACAAAACTGAAGCTTCAATTGGCCACTTCTTTGGGGATCATTGGGATAGTGACTTGGCATTTCCTAAAAGCTAGATCAAAACCTTGCCATCAATAGTGTACACAACAATGACTTAACCAAAATGATTGATATCAATAACTCGAGTTGTTTCACAAATTTTAGATGGATCTTTTACCATTTCTTTTCATGCCCCCTCAAACGAAAAAACAAGTAACTAATCCATGAGTTTGAAGTTTGCATAGTCTTGTCATATACATTGTGCTTAAAACCAATTGTTGATATTGTGGGTGGGTGGTGGAAATTTGAACACAAGACATCTTAATTATCAACTAATTGGTTCCACTAATTCGAGTTGTTGAGAGACGTTTCGTGATGTTCCTTACAATTATTACATCATCAAACCTGTTTCGTTAGGATTATGTGTGTTCTTTTCTTTTCTCGATCACGAGAGATTATTGTCGAGGACCAGTTTCTATCAAAATAAACTTAAGGGTCGTTTGCTTCAAGGATTTCATAACGAGGGTTTTGTCATGGATTTGCTAATTAAAAACCTTGGGATTTATTAGGGATTTTGGGCATTATGGATTTGAGGAAATCATTTGTTTGTTGAGCTATTTTTATCATGGATTTGATGAGGTGGGCATGGTTTTTCAACTTGTCTCCAAATCCCAGGGTATGAGGTGGGATTTATAAAACCGTGGGGCCATGGATTTGGAGCTAAAAAAAACTCAAATACGTGGGGCCCACAGATTTATCTAAACATTTTTTGACAAAGCAAACAACGGATTGTGTGTAAATCCATGATGGTTGGTTTTTTGGTACCAAATCCATGATGCAAATCCTTAAAGCAAACGACCCCTTAGTTGTTTGAAGTGACTCAAAATTATAAATTTTATCACTCTTTCCCACGTTCTCTCAAACGAAAACTAACTCATTTAAAAATTCACAAAAGTTTATATTAAATCAACGGTTAATATTGATGGTCTTAATTAAAAATTCTCCTACGTGATTTCACAAACAAAACTTTGATAACATATCGAAAACTAGTTGACCTTGATTAGCTTATTAATTATTAAAGTGGCTCAAATATAGATGTATAAGCAAGTTTAAATTTTCCAAAAAAGAAATAATTAGTCTTGCTTTCAATTGCCTCCTTATTCCTCCCCTTTTCTCTTGTACCGCTTTTTTGGGATTAGGGATGCTAAATGGAGAGAGGTGGATTCAACCCCATTCTGTCTCCCTCTATTATTTTTTATTAGCAGCTGATCATTTATTTGTTAAAGTTAGACATGCAATCAACTGGAGGAGTTACGGTGCTAATTGTACAATAGTTAGCACCGTTCTAACCAAGGGAAAAACTACTACTAGTTTGAATTAGTAGTGCTTTAGCTTAGATGTTGTATTGATTTTATAATAATCCGTAGTGATTTCGTTATTTTTGGTAGCGTTTTTTGCTAGTTATCACGGTGCTAACCCCTATAAGGGTTAGCACCTAATCCCATCCCGCAATCAACACATCCAAGAAAATATCTATTTTAATTTGCAAAGAATTACAAAAGCATCTAACAAGTGGCTGGCTAGACAAACTTCTGTGCTGATGTGAAGAATGTAAAGTTTTTCTGCACCTAGGGATCGAATTTAGAAAGCTGGATCTTATAAAAAAAAAATTAGAAAGCTGGAAGTTGGAGGTCTCTTTCTATATTCTAAGACCAACTCCAATGCAAGACCCCAAATTTGGGGACCATCCCCATTTTCCCAATTTTGGCTCCAATGCTACCAACCCCAAATTTGGGGATCTCCATTTTATCCATATTTACATTTACTTAAAAGTGTATTTATCGAAGCCTTAATATAATTCGTTAATGTTAATTTTTGTATAGTTCGTCATTATATTAAGATACAAATTTTCCGATAGAATTTTTTCAAATTTCGAGACCGAATTTTTTGGCGAAAAAATTATGGACCTAATTTTGGTTTACACACAACACTTGAAAATGATAAAGGTAAAGGAGTTCACATAATAATTTAAATGATACAACTTAGAGGTTACACGCAACACTTGCTAATGATAAAACTTAAAAATAACACACAACTTCTAGATAATAAGCATAACTTTAAATAAAATGAATTCAATTTAAGTCATCTTAGGAAATAAAATAAATTAACCAAACTATTAAACACAAATTAAAGTAGACAACCTTCACTTAATTAATACAAACCATAATTCACTAACCTCCACTTATTAATTATATAACCATCATTAATTAAACCAAGTTACAAACACTTAATGAAAAAAAAAAAAAAAAAGAGGACGGAACAACCGCCAGGGCTGGGCGGTGCGGCGCACGCGCACGGGAGACCGCCCAGCTCTGGCGGTTGTCCCGCCCCACCCCCAATCTGCTCCCCCATCTCCCCCATATTTGCAAACTCCCCTATATCCACCTCCATATTTGAAGACCCAAATGGAGGCCACCTCCATTAATGCAGGTTTTTGCTTTTTTGCAGGCTGCATTGGAGAGCTCCCTCCTCCATTTATGAAGGCTCCCCCATTTATGGGGGTTGCATTGGAGTCAGCCTAAGTTCAAATTAGAGAATTCAACCTAATAACTTTGAAGAGTGAGAAGATACATTTTTCTTGTTCATCAATGATTTATTTCGTATTATCGAATTAGAAATATTGTTCATGATCATATTTTTATCATGTGATACATTTCTCGTATATTTGTTTTTCTTAATTCATTCTAATTGGCTTAATTCCTCCTAACTCTTTGAAATTGAAACCACATAATTATATACATGTTGAAGTTCTTTAATTTGCTCCTATAAAATAAAATTCCAAGTGCTTTCTAGCAAATAATATTCGTGATGTGATAACCCTTTTCTTTCCCATCAATCCCACTATACACATCTATCTTTCTATGTAGAATAGTGTCAAATATTTTTCTAGTTCGAGTTTAATGTCAAAGCATGCATAGAAGAATCTCACCACTGAGAGGAATGTTTAATACTACTTTGAGGTAGTGTACATATGCCATTCCCTCAACAGAGTGTCATTGCCGTTTTACAGAAAGGGAGGCATCGATCCAACTTACAAGTAGCTAGCTAGCTAGCTATCTAGTCCCTCTCTGCAAAAAGCTTGAGTATTTAACAGCATCAGTAGCAGAGAGTTGAACAGATGATTATCAAATCATTCAAAGTAAACTCGGGTAAACGAATTGGCATCATTCAGAAAGCAGAGAGACAAAGACTGTAGAAAGTTGTAGAGATAAGAATATGAAAGATTCTGAGTTCTTCTAATGGAATCGATCTTTTGACATCAATGAAAGTTACCCTTTGCTTTCTCACCTCCTAGCTCGTGTGCAACTTCCAACTGAATATTCTGGGAAGATCATGAGTTTCATAGATATGTTCGTTATATCTTCACCTCTTTTTGATAAGCCCGTGCACCAAACCCAACTTGGTGTCAAATAAAGGTTGGTCGAGCATCCGAACATATAAAAAAACTACTTAGTCAAAAGTTCGGTACTACGCCGAGAATAAACTGATGTAGTAATTCAAATTGTTAGATGTAGAATTTGATGATGCAGAATTGAAAATAACACGGGACAACGAGTTTTACGTGGTATCCTCGATCGATTGATTGATCGAGACTAATCCACGGTGAGCTCGGAACAAGCTCACGACTGATATTTTATTAAAGACTACATTGTGACGGCTTGCTTACGACATGTTCGTAGCTAAGCTTATATAGAGATAGACTTAAGGTTAAAACCCTAAAGACAACCAAGTTCCCTCTTTTACCCGGACAAGGAAACAAGGGACTTGTTGGACAAGGAATTAATTACATTTTGACTAAGTAATTAATATCCTCAACACTCCCCCTCAAGCGAAGACATGAATGACAAGAATGTCGAGCTTGAAGCTGAACAACACTCAAACAACCTCTTGCTGGCAATGACGATCCAACAGGCGGTGACTTTGTTCACTTGTGGGAGAGGTAGACAAATGACGAAACTACTCCATGCTTGACCCAGTTCTTTGACATTGAACTCAGCATTGGCGAAACTCCTTGACGTCGTGGATGAGACTGATCCTACTCCATGCTTGACCCAGTTCTTTGACAATGAACTCAGCATGGCGGAATTCCTTGACGTCTTGGATGAGACTGATGACTGTGTTGCTGACTTTGGAGACTTCTAAATGCACTGCTGACCGTGCTTCTCCAAGCAACGTGACTGAGTTGGTACATCGCGGTCGACTTGATGACTGAGCTAGTCGACCGACGTATGTTGACTCCCTATTCTCCCCCTCAAGCTGAGCATGAACATAGTGAATGCCCAGCTTGAAAGTTTGAATGATCAAGACTATGGCTGATTCTGGACATTGAGGGGACGATCGCTTCCTTGATCGTGACTGCCTCTATGACTTGATCATGACTGGCTACTGAAGGAGCGACCATTAGTGTCTTCACTGCCATGACATTGCTGATATTCCGACTAATGACGACAACTGGAACAAGGCACACAATTTCAACCACGAAGATAAGGCAAAACACTTCCATTGTTGACCATGTAATTTCTTTGACCTGACCAACTCCTACTTCTCTCCTTTGAAATTAAGCAAAACGGAATCAATGGGCTAGCCGTGAATGCTTGATGAAGACGACCGGGCCGCAACAATAACAATGCTTCTCTGCAAAACATTGGAATTGTACGTAGCCGGAACTTTGAGCTGCACAAAGCAACGACACTCAACAATAGGCTGTGAGCAAAGGGTCGGCTGGTGACGAGCCTTCGATGAAGTTGCAGCAGTGACAGGTACTTTCTTGCAACGACGGAAGACGCCGCGGTCGCTGACATGGGTGGCGACTGTGAGGATACTGCAGACACTGATGGGCGACGGCGGTAGATGATGACGAAAGCCGGTGATGAGGAGGCCACTGTTGACTGTGCGACGAGGTCCGGCTTCACAACACTCCCCCTGAGTGGTAGCGCCACCAGCCGGGTGGAAGCGACGGTGATTAATGGACAGACCAGTGATCTTCCGGCGATGCGAGGCTAGGCGATGAGCTTCGGTTCGCCGGCAATTCAGGAGATGCCGACGATGCTTGAATAGACCATGCTTTGATACCATGTCAAGAACTAGTTGATCCCAATCACTCGAGTTGTTGGGAGAAGGTTATGCTGGATCTTATACCATTCTCTAACACGCCCCCTCAAACGAAAGCCAACTCACGGGCTTGAAATTTGCACAGGCCCACCATACCATGTGCTTGAAAGACAACGGTTAATATTGGGGGTCGTGGAGATTCGAACACATGACCTTTCGGTTCTAGGCTCTGATACCATGTAGAATTTGACGAAGACACCATATATTCGCTCGGACGTTTGACGGACTCGGCGACGGATATGGAATTCGCGAGCATCGCTGGAGGGCTGGAGAATGAGGTGACGAGCCGTCTGGTGGAGACCGCGACTGGATGGAGAGCTGAAACAGAGTGCTAGCTATTGGCTAAGCATGGACTTCTTCTTGCCCTTGACGAACCGGGCGTCGGAAGCGGACATCTCTGATGAGATGAAGACTTGGCTCTTCCTGCGGCGGAGAACGCCGTCTTTGACGGGCGATGAACTCGTCGGCGACAGAAGCTACAAGCTGCGATGAGCCTGGACGGGGGACGGAGACGAGTTCAGCCCGGAACAGGAACGCCACACGGACAACCCTTGATTGTTGATGTGAGGACGCAAACAGACGGAAGCGCAAAACCCTAATCAAGGATCGAGTTTCGCTCTGATACCATGTAGAATTTGATGATGCGGAATTGAAAATAACACGGGACAACGAGTTTTACGTGGTATCCTCGATCGATTGATTGATCGAGACTAATCCACGGTGAGCTCGGAACGAGCTCACGACTGATATTTTATTAAAGACTACATTGTGACGGCTTGCTTACGACATGTTCGTAGCTAAGCTTATATAGAGATAGACTTAGGGTTAAAACCCTAAAGACAACCAAGTTCCCTCTTTTACCCGGACAAGGAAACAAGGGACTTGTTGGACAAGGAATTAATTACATTTTGACTAAGTAATTAATATCCTCAACATTAGAAGATATTTGAGAAAATTTATGACTACTTAATTTTGTCCCCCTTAATCTGGTATTACCAGGGCAAAAAGATAGCAAAGTTTACAAACAAAGTACAAATCACTGAGTAAAATCAAAATTTTCTACAATCGCAGGCAACAAAGAAAGGGCCTTTCTGGCAACATCGTGAGCCACCCAGTTGTTACTCCTGCCAACAAACGGAATTCTAAAGTTCCGATACTGCTGTCTAAGGCTTGAAATCTCCACCAAAATTCTTCCACCCTTCACATCTCGGACATCCATGTTCTGAATTTTATCAATGACAGTCTTCGCATCCCCGCAAAACATTACCTCAGTTAGACCCTTCAAAGAGCACCACTGAATTGCATTCCCTTAATTTATTTCTTCTACTCATGTAAATCAATAACTTTGATTATGATTGGGCAACAAGGGTTTCTGTAATTCATTCATTTACATATTACGTTAATCATGTACATGGTGCTCCCGCCATAGTAAGTAAAACTGATATCACTGTAGGAATGCCCTTTCCAGTACACTTATGATGCGGGATGTGTAGGAGAAATGACACACAATCGGCCGCAAAAGAAGATCATATCGACGACTGAAGTCCAAAAAACCTCAAATCAAGATTGGTTGGTACGTGGGACAAGTGGTTTCCAGCATGTGATAGAAGACATTTTGGTTCCAATCAGAACTAAAACAGGTCGATCGAGAGACATATTCCGGCCGACACAAACCTAACTGGAAAATGGAAGTTTTCACCACAGGTGTAGAATTTGTATTCCCCCCATGCAGTTTAGCATTTTTCAGCACTGGTACGGTTGATGAGATGAGAAGAGAGGGAGAGAGAGCTAGTGGTTTGCTTCTTGTTGTGGTTATAAATTCAATCATATTATATGTAGTCAATTTGAGAAATACTATATATATATAGATTTTTCTATTTAATTATTTGTAATCTGTATCTCTTCATATACAATGAAATTGGCTTTCTCCCGCTCGTGTAATAGTTAGTTACCACACATCGTATTAGTAAACCATGTAATTCTATGTAATGTTTATTTTCTTGCATTTTTCATCATCTTGATCCGTTCTTGACACTTTGTTTCCTTCATTTGCTGTCTTTCAATAGCGTTCAGTTGTAGTGCTTCATTGTTTCTCTGACAAGGAAGAAAAGGGGACTTGATAGTAGTTTTCAGAGGGCCCTTAGTTTTTGTTGGTGCTGGAGGACTAAGACAAGACAAGACCTCTTCAATAACTTCATATACATATTTGTTAGTAAGTTGAATTTTGATGATCTTTCAGTATAGTGGAGGAGAAAACTGTAACTGTGGTGGGTTGTAGCCCACTAATTAAGTATTTAATTTTAAAAGGTAAAAAATGTGGATAATATGATAAATATACTTGGGTCATCAACTATCCAGTATTTAAGTTTAATTTTAAGAGGTTATCGTTGGCGTTTATGTTTATCCTTTTTCATTCTAGATTTTGTCGAAAGCCAACTCAGAGTATGACTTTATCCCCCCCCCCCCCCCCCCCCCCCTTGTTGAAAAGGATTGCGAAGAAATTTTTTAGAGAAAACTTTGGCACGAGATCGCATTATTGAATCTAAACTTGAAGATTTGTGCGAGTTTAGCGCTTTAATAACATTGAAAGTTGAAACTCCTGATGGTTTAATAGATACGCATAGAGATATGTATATTATGTATTTGCGTAATGTTGTGAGAAAATTCTATTTCAAAAAATATGTTACATCGGCGCTCCTTTACAAAATTTTATCGTGGCATCGTCATATCTTCAAAATCACATGAATGATGAATCCTTCATTGATTTGCTCATACAGGAGACAAGAACCCAAACCAGATTGACAGACAGACAGACAAGCTTGCATGAATGAAGGAACAGAGCATGTGTTCTAAAGTAGGGTTAATTAACTAGAAACTACTATTAGCAACGAGATTATATATCTTTTCTCGACCATTGTCCTGGTTGGTCGCAGAACATAGTTTTAGTCCTCGTTGCCGAAATGGACGTCCAGTTCGTGGTGTTCGGAAGTGAAAAGGACTCCAAGCTTGTTGAAGCTAAAGTACATTAATTATCCTCTGCAGTGTCCGGTGTCCCCCCACGATAGCTATTCATGAAAGGGTCGCATTCCCCTGTTCTTCCTCGCCACCACCACAGCCACGCCCACGCACGATACTTACTATTCATCAAACTTGGGATATGGACGAGAAAAGGACAAGTGCAGTCGTAGCAACATAACTGGCGAGCTATTTTTCTAGCCAACCAACAAGTATTTTCTGGAAACATAAGGCGTGCAAAATGCTTTGCACATGCATCTAGGATCTTCACATTGTTTTACGGGAATAATTCATAAGTGTACTTGTATTATTCCAGATTGTCAATTTCTTTACCAATAGAAGATGTTAGATCAGGATTAGTTGTGCTCTTCAAAGGAATACATCGACAAAGGTAAATCCGTGAGAGTGAATCTGATCAATCTCATCGTTACGTTGGTGTTACAAGTTTACGACACAGTTTTAATATTTATTTCTTTATCTGAGTTTTAAATATATCTAAATATAGTGATTGTTTTATGGACTAATAGATGTTGTATGATTAGATGCTTTGAATTTGAATTAATAATGATCATGTCTTTGTTGAATTTATGATTTAGTTCTATTTGGGGTTTTAACCGAAAACATACATGTCCAGTTAGTTTTATTGTACTAATTTTTATGTATGGTTTTGTATTGGATACACGAGACGTACGACTATTACTTGTGAGAATCCAAAAAAAGCAGGTATATGAATGGAGCTGTGAAACCTCTCCTGGCATGAATATGAATGAATCTAAATTTTAAATTAATATGATGATGATTTAGAAAAACCCACCCCACCTCACCAAGCCCTAGCCCAAAACATAAACCTTAACTTAATACCCTGTTCACTTGTCATTCCGTTTTATGTTTTTCCTTGCCACAACAAAAATCAGGGAACACAGACCAAAAAACACTTTCATTTATTATTCTGTTTTCATTTGAAAAAACAGTGGAGAACCAATTTCGCATCTGCGAGGAAACGATAAATAGTTGTTTCCTGGAAATAATGACACGGATTCCTCTCTGTTGCCTGGTGGGAAACCCGTTTTTTGTTTTAATGAGGTCATCCTTTCGAGTCTTGCCACCAACATTCATTAGTTTTCCCTACTAGCCAGCCACGAGCCACCATTGCCCAGTCGTCCGCTTGCTCCCTTGGCTGTCAGCCTATCACAAGGATTTTATGATTATTATCGTTACTAGCTTATAACTCGGCCCGTTGGCCGATTAACATCATGCATGTTCATATTTGATTGTTTATATTCATTAGAAACATGGTCCATTAATGAAACAAATCATAGAATCCAACACTGGACCATAAGTGCATTCGATCTGGTGGGATCCAATGAAGTTCGTTCGAAATGTCTCATCAGAACATTTTTCTTTTGAACTTGTATGATTGGTAGGATGAAGGTCCAAGACATATTAGATTCAATTTGATATGGTCTTGGTCAAAGTTGTGTTGTGTCCAGTATGGTTTGGGGTTGACCATCAAAACTTGAGAGCAAATGACAAAATTAGAGTTACATCCAATATACTAATAGACTCGATCAAAGTAATGAGGCACAAAATTAGACACTCCTTATCTACAGGTTCCAGTAGTTTGAATAGTGAATCGACCTTAACTTTAGTAAATCATTCAATGATTCCTCGTTTTAACATAAACATAGGTTGTGGTAGTTGCAACAACCATAACACCCAAAGATCCAATAGTTTCCACTCTCCGTTGTACAAACAATTTTTTATCCCTCCATCTTCAATCTCTCGACGTATATGTTTTAAACCAAAATTCAATTTCTAATCCTCCTTCTGCAACTCCATTTATGCTACTTTGATGGACCTTCTCTCCATGAACCTGAATTTCTCTATCAATTGAGTTTATTGTCAGCTTGATCTCCAACTCCTCAATCCTCTTTCTTGTATTTGGCCAACTCATCTTCCTCGGGGCAGTTTTAATAAGCTCGTAAAACCAACACTCATCTTCAATTCTGTCAATATGCTCTTCTCCTCCTTCTCTGCCTTCACCCGATCCAGTTCACTTCCATGCCCTTCAATACCCTCTCCATTTTCATTAATATCCTCATCTACCACTTCTCTCTCTTCAACTGCTCCGATTTTGCTTCAATGTCTTTCAATACCCTCCTTGGTTCAATCAGTGCCCTAACCAACTGCCTTTTCACTGCCTTCACTTGATGCAAACTACTTCCATGACTTTTTATACACCTTCCTCAAAATCACAATCAACTAACCAATATCAATCCATGGCCTTGGATCAGTTTTAAACTCTCTATGAACATACCACAAAGTCTAAATCTAAATATTCTTTCAGTTAATCATGAACTTGAGTTTATCAAAATCTAATCCACTCCTTCTAAGTTGGAATTCTCATCCCCCAAGCTCATTTTTGGTTCATTTGATCCCACATAACCAAGATATTATACCTCTAACTAAAATAAATCAAAGCATTTTACGAAAAGAAACCGAACCATGAACTTTACCTGCTACCAAATCCAAACACAATTTCTTCTTCTCACCACTTCCCTTCCCAAACCCAATATCAACTTTTACTCCAAGTTCACACCCCCAACTCCCAATGTGTTGCGTGAAAGCTTAATTTTAGCAATCCTTATGCTTGCAATTAGATTAATGGACACCAGCAAGCGCCCAAATTCAACTAGATGATGAGTTGTCTTCACTTTGAGTTTTGTCATAAAACTGCTGGCCCGATATGTTTATCAGTTTGGAG